TACGATGCCAATAGGCAAATACGCGATCGTAAAGGCCTCCAAACTCGATACGGGCAATAATTTTTATAGTGCGCTGTAAATTTTACATAACTTTTATATCTTCGGTATCAATTCATGGGGGCCAAATAATGAAAACACGTCATAAAAGCGTGAGTCATGTAAATGTATACTTGTCAAGTAAAGAGGCGAGTACTCCAAACAGTTGGGGTTTGACGAATTTAATTGAATCAGTATCATTGATATTCACGTTTTGTAACAATGTACAAAATAAAATTATAGAGCATTAACATTAATTTGCGGAACAACATCATTTTCTATTCTACCCTCAAGATCTCCTTTACTAGTTCCAAGTAATTACAAAATTCCATTACGTATTCCTTTGGAAGTCGAGTTCGCACCGTTTATCACGTGTAGCGTTTACATTTTTTTCGCGCAATTAACTCTGGTGGCGAGTGGGCGTAACGTAAACGGGGGGGACGGGGGAGAACCCGATTTATTTAAAATTTAATTAAAGGCACGCAATTAAAAATGGGTTTTTTTTCGATCAGTCGCGCTTAATTTAATTTCATCCACGCTGTCATTTTGAGGGATACGAAAAATAAAATTTTTAATTAATATGCAAATTAAATGTGACGTTTTGCGGTTACTTTTTTGCGGTGTCTGATCTTTCCTCAATTTAGCTCTCAAGTATTGTATGTGCATAGTGTGGCCGTACGAATTGGTTGCATTGAAGTATTGATGATTAATAGTAAATTGGTCTCTACTCTCTAAGCTAGAGCAAAAAGATATAATGCTAAGCATTTATTCGGTATGTACCAAAAGAATATGTTACAAAAGAAAACGAAATTCAAGAAACAATTAGATCGCGAGAGCTTTCTTATCCGAAAGAATGCAATAAAAGTCTGTGCTGAAATCCGAGCGTGCCGAAATTTGTGGGTGGGGTGGAAAACGTAATGCACACGCCCATAACCAGATATATAAAACACATGCCGGGGGAAAACGAAAGAAGAAAATTCTACTTACATTGTCGAGAATCGATTAATTACGAAATACTTGTGGCCTTTGTACTTTAGGTACTACGTTTATTGCCCAATGTTTGAATTGATTGTCGTTTTATTGCCCGTTTACGTATCTTGAGTTATTAACTATTAATTATCATTGAAATATTTCTCACAACCGCCAGTTTTTTCAAATATGTACACGTAAAAAATAAAATTTTTATTTACAACACAACCACGAGTTTCAGCGATTTCGCCACGAGGTGGCCGAAACGCTTACCGGCGGCGGATCGATTAGGGATGCGCACGAGTTTTCGGAGTGAAAACTTTTACAGGATTACAACAATTTCCTTTCTTCGTTCGCCTTGTTATTTATTCATGTAGGAAGATGCTTTCAGGTCACATCTACTCAGGACATCTGTAAACAGGTCATAAAATATATAGGGAAGTTGGATTAGCGCTCGACGTACTAAGAATAATCGTTGGTCTTTGGCAAAATGTTTTTTCCTACGTGTGTATCAGCAACCCTGATTTGGGGGTTGTAAAGAAAATTCCTCAAAATCGCACTTAGATTGGGGAAGTTAATTTTCTGGATAGCCTGATTGCACTAAAACATTTCAAAAGGGGATTTCATTAAGTCAGCATTCACTTAATATTTGACGAGTTTTCCCTGCCTTTAAAAGTAATTCACACATTTTGCTAAACCGCGTTGAATGTAAAACTCGTATTTCGCAAGGGTGTAATTGACTCTGCGAATAAGTCCACATTAAAACGCTGTAATTGGAGGATTTTCATAAATTCGTTTTCCTTTCATTCTAGTAAGGGGAAGTAGAAAGAACAATAATTAGTTCCGTTAGAGACGAGAACAATCCACGAATCGGTTCACTTGTTCGGTCTTAAAGTTTTTGTGCGGAATTAGGATAAAGTTGTTTTCCGTGGGGAAAATCTTAATTCTCTTTTGGCGGTTTTAATCAAGTGACTGTACCGTATTTCAGATCTAAAGGAGTTCCATTTTGCCTTAAATTGAAGATTAATTATCCAGTCCGTACAGACATGCAACTATTGCACCATGTGACATGTTTTTAAATTGATAGATGAAAATCATAATCGGTAGCATGTTGTCAAATCACTTGATGGAAGTATGCTCATAATAGTTATTTAAATAAAAGTCCGGAAAATGATACATTACTGGCGAGGAAATATTGAAGTGCGAGGCCCCTTTGGGGCCGAGTATTTAATTTCCGAGTCAGGTAATGTCATTTTACTGACGAGTTTTGTATTAAATTTTACTCGAAATCGTATTTGTATATAAAATTTAAATTTGTATCTAGAACTTTTGATTAATGGCAATTTGTCAGTGATGACAGGAGTCATTTAGCTGTCATAGGTGCGGCGGGTAAATTGACGATGCGGCCGGGTAAAAATAAGGTAAAAATGCAATATCATCCACGTACGTCGTGGGTAATAGGTAACATCTAAGTAAATACAACACAAAAAGTAATCCAAAAAAAATATCTATGAGAAAAGGTTGCGGATTCAGTGAAGGGAAGGTAAAGCCCTAAAGATATACAGGGTGACAATTTGAAAACTTACCACCCCCCCATATCTTAGTAAATAAACGAGATATTTAAAAAAATCAAAATCCGTTTCGGTAATTTGGAGGGGGAATCACAATGACATAGTTGGCGACGCACCCCCTCCAACTCCCTGCGCCCCAGCCACCCCAACTTTTAAATCTTAAATAGTGACCCCCCATGTGTGATACGTCGTTGGAAAGCTCTGAAAAAATGCTTTCCAACCATACCAAACAGCATTACATTTAGGTTAGTAATTATCGTGCAAATCAAAAAATAAACATGGAAAATCGTATTTAACTTGAACTTCCAAAGCCGACTCGACAGCAACTCATTTTTGGTCGCCAGTTATAATCTATTCTCAAACTCTTGTCGAACCTTTTCAAATGTTGGTTTTGCAATATTTCGACATTCTTGAATTATTCTCTGTCTTAGTTCGTCTAATGTTCGCCGGTTGCGTTTTAAATACGACAGATTTCAAATGTATCATATTAGTTTTTTTTTGATTTGCACGATAATTACTAACCTAAATGTAATGCTATTTGGTATGGTTGGAAAGCATTTTTTCAGAGCTTTCCAACAACGTATCACACATGGGGGGTCACTATTTAAGATTTAAAAGTTGAGGTGGCTGGGGCGCAGGGGGTTGGAGGGGGTGCGTCGCCAACTATGTCATTGTGATTCCCCCTCCAAATTACCGAAACGGATTTTGATTTTTTTAAATATCTCGTTTATTTACTAAGATATGGGGGGGTGGTAAGTTTTCAAATTGTCACCCTGTATACCTATACCATCGATCGAATAAACAATATTGATGTTTGAAGCAAAAAACTTTTATGATTATTTTGACGAAATGAATCTTTACGGTAATACGTTGCTATTGTAGCTTTACAAACTCCACGGACATTAGCTGCTAGTTTACGAAAACACGTAATTAATGATTTTAACCCCGCGTTGGCTTTCAAAATCTCTGCGCAAATTAATTGTCCTGTACCTAACGGCTTAAGATATACAAAGCAAAACAGCACACTTGGGTATTTGCAGTTAATCAACATTCCCGACCTCGACGCGTTTTATCTAAACTCACAAATTATCTACTTGAGAAGGGAAGATTAGATGAAAATGACATGTTTTCACATAAATACGACCCGTTCGCTCCAAGAACCTACATTTTAAGTGTAGAGCGCTTCGTTATTAAAATTACACTCTTGCTGCAAAGCCTTAAACGTCAAGTGTACGGTTTAATTAACTTTATTATAAAATACTTGGCTTCTTTCAGGAAGATTTTTTTTGTTTTCCTCGATCTTTGCTTGCGACATTCTCGAACTGGGAACTGAGCGTATTTGCGATCGTCTCTGATTACTTCTCTTGCGGTTGAAATAACTTCTTCAGAAGGAGCATTGGCTATTCGGGTAGCTTTCCTACTAAAAAATTTAAGCAAACTCTTTTCATATCGTGTAATATGATATGATAATGTGGTGTTGATCGTCCACAATCCACATTCCATTGAACCACGCATTCCAAAACCATGCTCCCCTGCCATGCTATTATAGAGCATGAATAGTCAAATCCGCAAACCAATAAGGGCCACATATGATAAAAAGGAATACGAAAACTAAAACAAAATTTGTCGCTTAGCGTAATATTAGCGGCAAAAGAGGAATGTTCAGGGCTGTCACATGCAAAGCTTATTGAGCTTATAAAGCTTGAAACTCTTTTTTGGTTAAGCTGGAGATTTACCACCTTTTTGAGGTGTACGTCGCGTTCTATATTAGATATGTCAAGAATTCAATAGCGCGCATGGGGGAGGGGGGGGGGTCGAGAAAGGTTTTATTATGTCTCTTAGCTTGGTGAATAGTAAATCAAAATCTGAAAGCCCCCAAACTCTAAAAAAAATGAAATTCACGACCAACTAATGGAAATGTACGATAACACGAATAATATGCCACGAGCGAATAATGCATATATTGATGAGCAATGCGAGTCACGTACAGAAATTATGTATCGTACCGCAAACTTGATAAGCTTTCAAGCTAAGATTATGTCAGAAATGACGGTAGGAATTCATTACATGCGTTACTTGTATGTACAGCTTTTAGGAATTAAATGTAACCTCTTCGTAGATGAGTGTAAATTAGTTTCAATATTAGATACGTCTCTATAATAGTATAGCATTTCTGAGGAGCGTGTAGAATTTCCCGTTATTACTAATCTTCGTTTTTAAAGTAGTCAATCAACCAACAACTTATTTGATATGGTTGATTAATATTGATTAGTTAAATGAATTCATTGGATCCATTAAATCTTGTACAATCTCTTCAAAATTATTGATGGCGCCGTAAGAATTGATTTCGTCAAAATATAACTCTAACGGAAAACAATAAATCAATTTATTAACTTCTTAAATTATACAGTGTTATTGCTACAATTTCTTATAGTACGATACAAATCACATTTTTGATCTTAAGTCGTTGAATTCCCCTTTATTCGTGTTAAATTCAGGTACAAGAAAGTGCGAGTAATACTAGCTAGGTTCGATACAGATTTTTCTTTTTTACATAAAAATATACATCTCTTTATATCGATAAGACACTTAGAATGCTTCTTATTTTTTTCTCTAACCTAATAACTTAGCATAGGCTTACTTGTAGATATTATCAAAAGATGGCACTTGCGATTTCCATTTTTGAGCAAATAGAAATAAGTGCGCTTACTTGAGTTGGATCAACACCATGAAGTAGGTGACGACGGCTCCGAGTACCTGAGATGGGTGTGTTAGCTAACAGTCATTTCGTTAATATACACTGTGTCCAAGACAACGATGTGTATCATGGGGATTTCGGAAACCATAAGAGATACAAAGATGGTCAGCAGGATTTTTACTACCAATACAACGATGTACGGCACGCACAAAGAAACAAAACTTGTAAACTGTTGGTTTCAACAGAATGGTGCACTCGCGCACAACGCCCTAATTGCGTGTAAATACCTATCGGACTTTTCTACTATCCAGGAAATTTGTCCGATAGGTATTTTCGCACGATTACGGCGTTGTGTGCTAGTGCTCCATCCTGTTGAAACCAACAGTTTCCAGCTTTTGTTTTTTTGTGCGTACCGTACATCGTTGTATTCGTAATAAAAAATGCTGCTAATACAGTGAGTACTTTTTTACGGCCATATAAAAAAATAAAGTTGATGATGATTTCTCTGGAACGAAACATTATATTGAAAAGCTCTCAACGTTGTCTTGTAGAGGTGAAAGAGTGGAAAAGAGAAAGTGGGTTTTTATTTTTTGCCTTTGTTCAAATAAAAGGAAAAAATAAAAAATCGACAAATTTCAGTTTTTTTAGCATATCTTCGGAAGTAATCTAAATTTTCTGGTTTTCCTTAGAACATGATAACTCTTTAATAGACATCCTTATCTTGGACACAGTGTATAGGTACTTACGGAGGCGAAAAGGTCGAGCGATACTGTGAAGAATTTTGCGCCCGAGATCGACATAGCCTTCTGGCACTGTTGACAGACGATTTGTACGAACGTTTTTGCCTCTTCAGAGCCATCATACCAATGACAGCTGTAAGCGGCTTCCATTACTGACGAACTCTGAAATAGTCAAGATAGCAAGTTGGTTGAGAGTTTCACGTAACCTACCTCCTCAATTAGACGGTTTCCGAATATGCAAAAGTGAAATACTTGTCCTAGGGCGTAGAGCAGATACCCAATGACCGAAAACGCGTAAGGGTTGACGCCGTCGATCTAAATTGTGTCAATTACAAGCGAAACTGTTACAAACACTTACCTTTGTCGCTTGGTAAGCTAAAAGTGTGAGCATAATTGTGGAGGTCAACATGTGTAAGAGCAAAGCGATTCCATACGTATCACCAATTGCAGTCACGAGCCTAGAAGCAGATCGATATTATTAATGAGAAAGTGTCATCATAAAACAAGTGCTCTTGCATAATTTATCCTATTCTCAAATTGCGTGACCACCCCCTTCTTTGAATTTTTAATTTCGTTACAATCGAGAAGGGCAAGGTCAGCCTTGAGAATGTTCAGCTGACGAACCTGACGACGTGCTTATGACGTTCGACCCAATACTTTATGGCGGATCTGACCATTAGCTCTTGCTTCTTCGTTAAACCATTAGGACCGATTCCACCACCGCCGGCATTAAACGATTGTAATGCCGACGATCTGAAGTGAGTTCCCAGCTCCTGACCCGTGCTGTAAATTCCTCTCAGGTCGAGCTCGTCGTTATGATTATTTTTGTCGTTGTAATCTGTAAGAAGGCTGCAGTTAGGATGTGGACACGATATTACAACTCACCGTCGTCCACTAGGTTGGTTTGCGAGTTGGCACTGGGCGCGCGGAATAAGTCGGCGGTCTTGGGGTGGTACGTGTCTAAGGTAGCCGATAGTTCCTAAATAGACATGATCACATTTCCTCTACAAGCGGTTCGTAACTTACCATGAGTGGTTTCAAAATCTCCTTCAGGTGCATCAACTGCTCACATGCGAAAATTAACCACGAGCAAAACATCGAGTCTGCCAAATTCGCTTGGGACATCGAGAAGAAAATGTAGTAAACCTGCAAGTACATCGGTCAACTTTCCCCCTATCGCTCAGGTAATCACCTGATACACGAGCGAAACGATGTGTGCCATGCCAGCCATCGCGTTCCATGGGTACCAAGACTTGATCAGCAGTCGGGGGATTTCCGTGCTGATTGTCATGTTCTCATTTTCGGGATCTTTTCGAATGCGCTCGCTTGGCCCGAAGAACGTAATTGTCGTCCAACCTACCCACGTTCGGTTAATCGACACCCCCAACGCAAATCCTACTTACTAATCGTGCTAAATATCGTCACGCTCACAATTACGACGAGCAGCTGTCTCATCTTCTTTAACGCGATCGAATGGTACCGATTGTTGGAGTCGACGAAAAGCGGATGACTGTTGGCCTGGTTCCAAATTCCCAGCGTTCTAAAATGACACGTGTCTGCAATAGTCTAGCTAGGGTACGTCGCGGTTCATACCTGTAGAACATTTTCGATCGTAACGCGAAGTAAATGTACTTCGTTATCGTATGGGTGAAAAAGAGGACCGTTATCGTATTGGCCGCCAAATCGTTGACGTCGTCACTTTCCACTATTAAATTACCAAAAGTGAATCTGTAAAAACGAAGAGTTAGAGGATTTCTGATTCATCACCTCCCAGTCCAGGAACTTATCAATAGGTGCGGGCCGACGGACAGGCGGGCGGAAAAGTGAAATGCTTTTCAGTTTTGTGATTGCGCTATTGCTAAATAGATCTTCTCCATATGACCGGTTAAGTCTGCATGAACTGCGTGTTGTACAGCCAAAGCTTATGAGGTTGTCGCTTTGTCTATAGTTTTAGGGGGAATTTTTTGTCAATTGAAAGTTTTCTTTACGTCCTCCTACGTGTTGATTATCTAATTGAAATAACTATTTACATAAAAGTCGGGAACATGGCACATTATACTGGCGAGTAAGTAGTGTTATTTTACTGACGAGTTTTGTATTAAATTTTACCCGAAATCGTATTTTAATATCAAATTTCAATTTGTTTATATAGAACAATTGATATGTCCATCTGTCAATGACGACAGGAGTCATTATAGACATTTAGCAATGTGACAGATGCGGCCAGAAAAGTGATATGCGGCTAGTAAAGTGACAGGCGGCAGGAAAGGTAGTCTGGTCTGCCTCTGTCATGGAAACTAAAATTTCCTGAGAGAAAGTAGGCATGAAATAGTTATTTGTACAACTTGAGAAGAAAGTGGAGTTTTTCAACTTGAGTTCAAAATTTGACACCATTAGCGTAGCGAGTGTTGTCAATTGAACGAGAGTTGAAAAACACTTTATTCTCAAGTTTTACACATAATTTTTTTCTGAAACTACAATCAAAATTGAAAAATTATCGTATGCAATAATGAAGTTTGACACATATAGCAATCTAGATACGGGTTAATTTTAAATATCATTATTAAGATTAACGCAGCAATTGTTTTTTACTTTCATCACTAGAGAAGAAAATCACATTTTCTTCCCCCTTTTTAGAGACGAAAGTAGTTTCAGAAAAAATGTATATTTCTGCTGGGATTATGAGTCGAATCAAAGTTTACAAATGGGGTTGGTTCTGGAAATCGTATGCGAGTCTTGTTTCCAAGTTTACTTAACGGGAAAATGTCATAATAATTGCGAGGACAGTTAAATCTAACTCTTGTTAATAAATGAAATAGCCCGGATCAAATCTAGGACAAGATTACAGAAGATAAAAATTATACAAGTATTTGGTTTTCATCTAATGGATAGAAAGGGGCGAAATCTAACCGGAAAACGATTTCTAAATAATGTTTCCGTATCCGTTTATAGTTTGAGGAGAAAACTTTTCGGTGTTTCAGCCGTATCAAGCCAAAATAGGATCTTTTTATTGTAAGCTTCGGGATTTATTACTTTTTTTTAGAGATTTATGTATTTTTCATTTTACTCGCATACGTGAACGATTTTAAAAATACGCAGATACGCGCACGTGTTATTTTTCTCGTCATGGAAAATCTGTTTTTGGCATATATTACTAGGGTATATTTTACGAGTTGTAATTTGACAATTGCAAACTGATATTCTTCTTAAACACCACATTACATTGGAAGAACAGCACTTTTTAAACAAAATTGACGGACTTTTGTAATGAACCTCAGAGTGCCCATTACGATGGTGCTACATACAAGGAAAATTGATTTTTTGAAATAAAACTTACCCGAACTGTGCCAGAAGAAGAACTAAATGGACCGAACTGTACAAGACCCGTAAACCATGAACCGCACCTCCAGTCTCGCTGTGGTAATTGAACAAAAAATGTCCGACGCCCTGCATCAACTTGATGTTTGGAAAAAGGTCGGCAACGAGGCCGGCTTTCTTAAATTTCATCATCTGGAAAAGTCCAAATTTTCAAAAAATCAAAGAACCTATCCACGAGAACAACACCTTTGCTGAGATTTTTGAAAACTGATTGCTTTTTTAACGAGCACCGTGCACCATTATCCGTAGGCACTCTGACCGCGTCCAGACGCCGTTTGTATCTGCGTCGATGAGCGTCTGTCTTTCTATTAAAATCTGTAAGTTCGAAATAAGGTCAATGTTAATTTCGAATTCCAAGTCTGTATATTTCGAATTCAATGAAACCTAGTAAGAGGAGAAATGATATCGTGGTCCAATAACATGGAAATGGTTCCGTTGTATTGGTCAGTTTTAGTCACGTGGCGCGAGGGTAAATAAGAACAAATGAACATCTGCTTGAATAGTCTGTAATTTACACAACCATTTTAAGAATTTATTAGCTCAAGTTAGATCGAAACCCAAGTCTCTCGTTCGGAAAATGGATAAAATTTTATTCCATTATTGACGAGGTCGGGTATCATTTTTTAATACAGACGTTTGTCAGTTTTAAACGTTTATCGGGTTACAATGTTGCATTTGAGTTTAATTAAATATTCATTTCGAGAGTGGGCGTCTATATAGTTTACGTGTAATTATTTTACCTGAAGGACCTCACAAACTTTTACGACTGGAAAATGACAGCTGGTATTAGTTTAACCCACTCGCTCGTTTTTTTGGCGTTAGGAACGTAATTAAATTTGAAAAAAAAATGTTAGCTGCTTGTTAAACGAAGGGTTGGATCATTTCCACCGTTTCGTGTTACTCATTACGGGGCATGCTAACTTTTAATTGGCGACCCTTAACGATCTGCGAAATTTGCAAAAAGCATTTGTTTTAATTGCGAATGTTTGATAAACATACAGTTAGTCGGCAACGTATTCATATTACAATACCCTCGACAATACACCTTAAACAATTGTTTAAGTAAATTTGGTATAGCTACGGCACAGAGGATCCATGGCTCTAAACCGGGTTCCTGAATGGAAATGTTGTAAGCGTATAATAGGTCCTCGTCCTCAAAAATACAAGGATAGGTACACAATTGGAAAATCAAAATAAAACAAGCTTTACATTTTATGTATTTAATTTGGTTTTGAAAATTCCATTATCTAGACAGTTACAATTCCCATAGCAGAATTCATATTTGATAATGCATGTTAATTCTATAGAAATTGCGCAACCATTTTGTTCAATGTACAATCGGCACCTACGAATTAGTCCATACACTCCTATCCCCCTTGCAGGAAAATGGTTGTATAATCCATTTTCATTTAGTAGAGCGTTATGTGGTGCGGCTCCGTCTTGTTGAAAATATAACCCAGATAATTCTTCCAAAAAATCTTGGACCTCATCGAAAATCATATGCGATTCTCCATATCTTGTTTTTTTAATATGATACAACCGATTGTAGGACGATTCGTCCCCGGAATAATTGTCACCGGAAAAATTGCCTCCGGAAGATTCGATTAGGTAAATTCGCTCACGTAAAATCGTCATTCGAGAATTAACACATAAAAATACTCGCCCTAGGCTAATTCCATCCACAAAGAGAAAACACACTTTCGCTGTAATCGATCAAAACGAAATTAGCATTAATATGCCCGTGTATGCACCATCAATTTTAATTAGAGTTTAGGATTGAATATCGTTTAAAATCCATGGCCACAATTTGCAATTGTCTCAATTCGTAATTGGGTCAGAGTTCGTATAGGAAACAAAAAATGCATTTTTCTGAAACTAGAAACAACTACGTTCGTCTCTATAAATTGTGATTTTCCTCTCTAGTGAGGAAATTAATCTTATTATCATTTAAAATTGAAACATACCTCGTTTCTAGATTGCTATGTGTCAAACTTCATTATTGCATATGATGATTTTTCAATTTTGATTGTAGTTTCAGAAAAAAATATGTGTAAGACTTGAGAAGAAAGTGTTTTTCAACTCTCAAACTTTGAACTCGTGTCGAAAAACTCCACTTTCTTTTCTAGTTGTACAAATAGGTAACTATTTCAGCTTCTTCTGCACATCCCATGTGCATTTTCTAACGACCCACAAAAAAAAGAAAATTAGACGCGGCTCCGATGTGTGTTGCTCCTCTAAATTTTCCAACATGGAAATTTTAAGGATTACAACCGATCTCGATAGGGACTTGCGGTTGAAACCATGTTTTTTTTAATTAAAAAAATGCATTAGTTTATTAACGTTATAACGGGCGATCAAAAAGGATCTTTGTCGTCTCAAAATTTACGTTCTTAACAATCATAACACATCGATCGAAATATCAACTTTACTTAGACACTCGGATGAAATTGTAACTGTTGTCCGGTTCTCATTTAATTAAATGGGGGGTATTTGTGCCTTTTACCTTTCAATTTCAATAACAAAATTTACCATAAAACCATCATTTAAATTTACTTTTTTGTAATTAATTGTAGTTCTCACGAAATTTACCTTACAAATGTTTGCCATGATTGCTACACTACACTAACCAACATTCTATAATGTGATAGAGTAGCAAAAAATATTTCCAAAATTTAGATGCGTTTTTGAAGCCCGTCCGTCAAGCCGTTTGTTTCTGTTGTGCAAATTCCCGTCAGTAATTGAATTATTAGCGGCCGCACTCCTTTTTTTTCCTCGTCACAATTTGCACGACCTACATATTATTGCAAAATTAGAAAATCGATAAAAAGATGACCTAACTAGGACTTATATAATATAAGAAAATTAGGCAAATAACGGAAGTTTTACGGCTAAGTGCATCACTGCTGCAATTACAAGTAAAACTATAATTAATACGAAATGAACTAACTTGCATTTCTTTCTATTAATAAAAATATAATTGTAAGAATCGGCGAGGCGTTCAAAATATAATTCGAGGAGAAAGTCACGGACCACGTGTCGACGAAACCGAGATTTGATTGGCTAAGTACGTCGCGATTTAATTTTATTGGATCGTAAGTGAATTAGCTAAGCCAGAACAATTCTATAAAACTTGTTTAGTACCTTAATTGTTCAGTTCTTGCGGATCGGTTTGCCAGGAATTTGTGCGGTGTGTGAATTATTTGGTTTTTCGTGTGTTTCATGTAAGTAACTCGATACTTTTAGTTTGGTCAGAAAAAATGAAAGTCATTACGCAAGATTCGCGAAGACACACTTTCGCTTACTTACATAAATATAACAAAAACTAACTAAATGAAATTAAAAAGGCTGTAAGGAAATACATATATCATTTTGGAAAGTAGGCCTACTTTTAAGTACAACCAAATTTGTTTCTAATTGCATACATGCGAAATTAGTGTAATTACATTGTAGTTTAAATTCTTATTCCGTATACCTATATCTCACGTTAGAAATTCAAAATTACTTAGGCACTCTTTTGTTAACGGAAATGTTTGCAAATTATATGACTAAAACCGAAATTGTTGCAAAACCTATAGGTAATATACATTTCGCAATTAACATCTTAAAATGTTAAACTTTCTTAAATTTGAGATGTAACACTTCCTGTTTAGTAACACTTTTTATATATTGGAAAAAAACCGAAAAATATTAGGTGTTTATTTAAACAATTGAGACCAAGTGCTTTAAACATTGATAAACCTTTTTGAAAAATTGTTAGATTTTTTAAAAGTTCAGGGAGATTCCGTCTAAAACTCTGGTGAGGTGAGTGGGGGCCAAGGTGACCACGTGTGACCTGTACTGCACTTGCCCAGGTTCACAGGAAGGCTGAACTCAAAAACTGTTGCGTCACTTGAACCTATGGGCAAGAAAGGTTCTATTTTTAATTTTGCACTAGTTGAAAGTTAATCGATGTAATTTTTTCGCATTTGCAATGCAATTTTGAGGGTAATTCCACATTCACGTTACTCACGAAAATTTAATGAGTATAATTGATTTTTGAAACTTTCTCAAAACAATTTACGATCATTTAGTATCGGGGTATCTAATTCCTACATTCCGTATCGTTTAACTTCTTTGTTTGTGCCTGTGACTTTCTCATAAAATTTGAGCTCTGATTTACAAAATATGTGGTTTGCATGTACTTTCGCACACCCCATACGTTCAGTTTTTCTCGTTTTTAATCATCATTTATTCACGATATATTATACAGTGCTATTCATTTAGAAGTAGACAATAGGGATTTCCTATGTCTAGTTTTAAATGACAAGAACTCTGCTGAAGGACGCCTAATTTTGTGCAACTAAGATAACCTCTAAAAACAAATTAAGATTTTGCTGTCTTAATTTATTGAAATATTATTGCTTTGGCTTTCGTATTTTTATTTTCGTTCGTTCAATTGAAGAAAAACTTGATATTGCCAATTGGTATAAGATGATGCCGGCAATAGTTGAAGGAACGTAAGGGATTTATTTTCTGTGTTGATCACTTTGAAAGTAGTGGTTATTGAAATGCGATCCATGTAAGACACCGTAAAACAACCCTCAATTTTAACGGAGGAAGTGAAACTGAATGTTTTTGTGGAAATGAATCCCATACGATACTTGAGAGAAATAGCGGCCGAATTTAATATCTCTTCATCATAACCTAAAAGCATACCATTTACTCGTTTTTATTAAAATCTAGAATGACAATGCAAAATGCGTGAGCATGTTATTTTGCTCGCATAAAATAAGGCGTCTTTCAGAAGGATTTTTGTCGTTTAAAACTAGACATAAGTATCCCTATGTCTACTTCTAAATGCATATCATTGTATATTATAATAACCTAGAAGCATTGAATAAAAATAGTGTTTTTATTCAATGCTAGAAGTGTTTCATGCGCTAATATTTTGTGAATAACACCAACACATTGTCATCTTAAAATTATTAAGATTGTCAGAGTGAACATCTGTTCGTCCATGAAGAGTGCCACTAATATGAAATATTGGGTGTTAAATATGTTCAAAACACCATCCAAAACTTGTCTGTAAGGAGTCCCTGCCCATTTTTGAAACTTTATAAATTATAATACTATACTTTAGAAATATAGATTTAAATACGAATTTTCGAACAACAATGCTTCGGAGGGTATGTAAAGCTGGCGATCCCGGCAGTAATACCACGACTGTCGTCAACAGACGGCTGTTGATGCGAGGGAGTGCCAGCCATACGATACAAAATTAAAAATGGGACGCGGAGCACAAAATAGAATGAAGTTCCTATCAGAAAACAACGGGCGCACCTAATTTTTGACGTCTAACATACATTGAGAATACATCACTCGATAGCTAAAACATCCCTTTATCGTTTTATATAATTAATAACTATTCCCCTGTTCTGTTTTAAGTTGGTTTGTTTCGAACCCCGAGAAGCTCAATTTAAATAAACTACCTACATTCAAACTGTAATTTTATGTAATCTTTGCTGAAACCCCTTAATAATCGTTCTTTGAGTATTTACTACTACTAAATTGAAATCACTAGCTATCTCGGTTAGCCATATCTGTTCAGTTGCAGTTTTCGACAATAATTTTATCTTACAACAATACCTTTCAATTTTTGAGAAATTCTGAAACGGATGTCTGTTCACACTTGACTGCTAAGTGAGTAGACGACTTATATATTATGAATCGCCGAGGCTGAAAATGACGCAATTAATATGCCAAAATTTTGCCATCCGAAGTACATAGTAAACACGTGACTTGGTAATTGTTTTTAATATGCATCACTTACACGAATATTTTGACTACTTCGTCCGTATATATATTGGGTTTCCGTTATGATATATCAGGGGGGAAGAAATTTGGTACTTGCTTAATGTTGATTTTATTTTGAATTACTTAATTAGTCCAAAATTTAGGTGAGAATTGTACAAGTGCCAATAACGGCAACAGTACTTCCGTTGACTAATGTAGATTTAGACAAAGTTGTCTACTGTAAGTTGAAGAAAAAACTGGATTATATAATTAACCGGTAAAACTAATGTAACATTCATACTTGATCAACTGTAACTGCTTTAGAGTAATTAGTGCCGGTTACGAAGCGCCCTTTGAACATGTACCAAATCGCAGCTTTACCATGTGCAGGTTTTTTCTTTGTCAAAATTACAGTAGACACGCTCAAGGTAAATGCAAGAACAAAAAAGAGGAATTTTGATTGGTTTACAACACGTACTTAAAGTTGTAATTAGTAGAAATTTCGTTTGATCACACGCATGAACTGGCAATTGAATAAAAAGTCGCAATTATTTTAAAATTAATTTTATTGTGTAACTGTTTGTAAATTATTGACCATAACAACAAATTTCGTAATTCAGCCGTTTGCTGGTAGGTGAAGAAATTTAATTGTTGTAATATTCTTTTTTCACTTTGCCGTTGCGAGAGAGAGAGAGTCTATTTAGGCCAAACCGTAAGAGTAAACTTGACCCAGCTCGCGTAGTGAATTACCTTTTTTCCGGCCGAAGCAATTAGTCAAGGTCCCTAAAATGAACAGGTGGACATTTTCTCGCAACAAATCGATTGATCGACGCAACTAGGCCACGCTTTAAATAATCATATCGTACGCCTCCTTTAAAAAGTTTAATTCTGTTACAGAATCAATAACATGACGCTTGTCCAACCCAGTCCCGATATGCAGATCTTCATCCGCAAGGAGCTGAACGAGGACGTCGATACGAGAGAAGACCTACTGGAAGCAATGAAGGAATGGCTTGCGAAACAGCCTCATCTGCCGGATAAGTGGGGTAACTCCTTTTTGTTGTTTATTACGTTTGCTGTGGTTGCACGCTGACGTTACGTAAGCGTGAAATTACACCAAGCGAGTCACTAATGTTTGGTAAAAAGTTGATGTCGGTCTTGGGACACTTCTTGGAGAATTCGGCCTCTATCTTTTAGAAACTCAGATATGGATGTGGCAAAAATATGTACAATTTGAGGATATTTCAATAAATAATCTGTCAATCTCTAAAAATAACACAATGGACATCATCTTTTTAAAATTATTGCCTGCGATGCTCATTTCTGCAACTCCATGTTGAATGGGAGTTTTCATCTTGTACCTACTGGCCTTTTTTGAGTATAAAGGGATACATCAGAACATTGTCTCCATTAATGTGCAATGTTTTGTACTATAATTGGATTTACTTTCAGACGAATCACGCATCATGACGTTTTTGAGGGGATGCAATTTCTCCCTGGAAAGATGCAAACAGAAATTGGACCTCTACTTCACCATGAGAACAGCCGCACCCGAATTTTTCTCGAATCGCAACATCAAAAATCCCGAATTACAGGAAATCATAAAAAAAGCGTAAGTAGCAATTCATTTCACCACAGGATCGATTTACGCCAGTTGTTGTTTTTTTCAGAAATTGTCCTCCCTTACCCGGCCTTACCAAAGATGGCCGCCGTGTAGTCGTTATACGCGGACTCGACAAGAATGACACATCATTGGTCCTTCAGGATGGCATGAAGGTTGTTTTGATGATCGGCGACGTTCGCCTGGCCGCCGAGGAAGTTGGCGTCGCCGGTGACGTTTACATTTTGGACGCCTCAGTCGTTACAGCCGCACACTTTTCCAAAGTTACCCCCGGAATTGTAAAAAAATTCTTGGTTTGCGTTGAGGTGAATATTTTCGTCACTAATCAGTCATTAGTATGTGTGTTCCGGTGGTAATGAAATTCAAAAAACTCAAACTGAAATTGATTTGCCACTCGAACTTTACGAGGGAAAGAATCAAAGGGTTCAAGTTTAAACTACCATTTTGCTTCCAACTTGGATTGTAACCTCTTGATCCTCAATTTACCAGTGCCATTAAGTGTGACTAACTTTGTGAACCTTTCAGGAAGCGTACCCCGTAAAGCTGAAAGAAGTGCACGTAATCAACGCCCATCCCCTAATAGACACCATATTCAACTGGGTGAAACCATTACTCAAGGAGAAGATCAGAAACCGCGTCTACATTCATTCGGACGGCTACGAGTCGCTCCACAAGTACATCTCGAAAGATATACTGCCAGAGGAATATGGTGGAACCGCTGGCAAAATTCAAGATTTCCACGAACAGTGGATGAAGAAACTGGAGGAGTACACGCCGTGGTTCGAAGAGCAGGAGAATATAAAGGCCGACGAGTCAAAACGGCCCGGCAAGCCGACCAACTACGATGATCTATTTGGCGTTGACGGCAGCTTTAGGCAATTACACATCGATTAGACCTCAATTCTTCTACTTAGGCTTTCATTTATTACCTTCGTCTTATGTTAAAAGTGGCTTAATTCTTACTTTTGTGATTAGTTTTTATACTTTGAGGAAATAAAATCATTGCGGTCACATACTGTGTGTATAATGTATATGTATAAGGGATTGGATATATAGCGTGTTCCAAATACTTCGATCATCAGGGGCGTGCTGTATTCTAGTGGCGTATCAAACTTGCCTTTTTTTAAATAGAATATTCCATATTTTATTACTGACTTGGAGAGTACTTGAAAAGTACTTATTTTTTTATGTAACATGTTATTACGCTTAACTTTAACGATTTGGCTGTTATAACCTTTTTTCCAAGTATCCTAGGCCTCTATGGAATAGAGGGCTATAATAGGCAACCAACCGACTACACACATTTGTTTTAAAGAATAATTAACGTCTGCTATGGAAACAGTAGCTTGATTATTCAATGTCAAATTAGGGTTGCCTATTAGTCTTTATTTTTATTATTAGCATCAAATTGTGATTTTTTTACACAAAGATGTATAGCAAAGACCATAAGGTTGAAATTGGTCGTAACCGTTTAAGAACTGTAAAAACAGCTCCAGTTTGTCGCCTGTAATGTTGGTTGTCTACTGTTGTCATCTGTTTAATGCCGTGATACTAGTACCAAAGGGATTACTCTTTGCTATTATCTGTTCACCGAACAGATGCAGTTAAGCTCCTCCCGAAAAATTCCTGGCAAATTTAAATGAACATTTTTTATTGGCCGAATTTTGAAAACCCGTAACACACGCAACTATTTGCTTCCATTTATAAATGCCGTATCTGAATTGACAGTCGTAACGTCAAACCTGTCATTGCGTTTTGTATTTGCCTTGCCTCAACTTGCCCTTAATTTCATTTATACGAACAAAATAATCTGTTTCAACTTAATAAACAATATTTGAAATTATGCACTGCTGTGTGTTGAAAGGTCAAAATTCAAAACATAACACTTTATAACTCAATGTGACATGCGATTTTAAATTTGCCGATTTTTATAATTTTTGTGACTGTGAAACGGGTCTGCTATTACATTGGCCAAAACTTATTGGGAGTGGCTTAACTGCATCTGTTGGGTGAAGAGATTATAGTACTATGCGATCAAAAAAGAGTTGATGTCGAGTCACCTTTGGAATTTTTGTTTACATGGAGGAATCATATTTAACCTGAATTTCCAAAGGCGACTCGACGTTAATCCTTTTTTGATCGCCCGTTATCATGATTCCATGCCATTAATTCGTTTTTTTTTAAGTATATATAGCCCATATTCCCTGTAGTGTGAATATATTCCATAAAATGCAATAGCATTTTATTTAGGGGGAGGGGGCACATTTCTACTTAAAAATCAACCCCTTGTGAGCCACTAGCTCACATGTCCAACATTTTAAACAGGTGACACTTTACTTGAAAGGTCTTTCAATTCTGTATACAACCCTTATAAATTATAATTGTACGGTATACAAGTTTATAAATTGTGCACAACTCTTGTGCAGATAAAACGAATTTTATTAAACCGAAATGCTAAATAGTTACCTATATGGTAGTAGCATCCTTTATTTATCGATGTTTACCTTCTTGGCAGCTGATTAATGGGGAGAGGATTCTCACATAACCATTTAAAAGCCGTCTGGCAGATTCAAGATACAAGACGAATCAAGCTCTTAGAGAAATGTTCCGCATCAATCTCGCATTTTTTTTTGTAGGCACTCTTGTATACAGGATTGGATGCAGAATTGGATTGAGTTGTTTTGGAGAGGGAATGACTGACATGGGGTTGATTTCTACGTAGAAATCTGTCTGCTTGAAAACCAAAGGTGACGAAATTTGTATACCCTCAATATATTTACATAAAAATGACACATCACTGGCGAGGAAATATTGCAGTATGAGGTAATTGGAATTTCACCCGGATTCTTTTGTGAAAATGTAAGAAGTTTGTTTTCCCCGAGATAAATAGTGAAAAGTGAAGCTCACTAATCACTACCATTACTGACCAATATTTAGAGGAGATAGTGATGTCTAAAAATTTCCCCAGGTCCAGGCACAACACTTTCCTTGATTGATTGAAGAATTGATGATTGTGACATAGAAAATCTTTAGATTCCTTCTAAGAACTTGTTCAGGAATCTGCACAATCAGGGCGTCCCACATTAACTTTAATGGATCAATGCATGGCCTAATACCATGGATCATTGCTGATCTCGAATAGAAGCACTTTCTATGTCATAATTTCGTTTACCTTTCCCGCTGTTTATCGAAACTGGTAATTAATTCGTTCGACAATTAACCGGAATGTTTATGTGTGCGAACGAGTCAGTCACACTTTCCTCTCTCGTCGTCCTCCACGGAGATAGTGTCGATGCAAATTTGCAAGAATTTGTTCAAAAATAAACTCACGTAACCAAGAGAGTTCATCCTCTTTAAAATTATTTTTAAAGGGGGATCGTCTGTCGGTGATTTAATTTTAAATCAAACTCGACGTCGAATCGTAAGTGAAGGTGATTGTGTTTAGCCCTGCAGAACTTTTGTTGGGATGGCGTTAGATTTTTAAAGGTGAGGAGGTTCGTTACGTACTTAATTTGGGGGTAATAAACCGGCCGGTGCGGCACTCATTTCCGGATGGCGATGGCAAAACGGGCAGAAATACTACATTTCATCGCATATGCGCGAGATGAAAAATTTATGATCTCATCACGTCACGCGCGCGTTGTACGATTCGATTGTCTTTGGGTTCGGAAGGCCAAGGTTGGCCGGAGGGTTTTTTTTTCCAAATTTTGTTGGTCGCGTAAATCCCGGCTTTCGAATCGACGGACACGGAAACGGATTATTTGCGAATAGTTTGGCGAGGTAATGCGTTTTGAGATTTGTTTTTCTCCTGTCGAAATCCCATTATGAAATGTCCCCCCGGGGAGCAGAGGAGAGAGAGATTTTTTGTTCTAGAAAAGGCTCAATTTTCGTGACACATCACGTTCCAGAAGTATATTGGTCGATAGCCACTCGTAACAACAGTTCTCAGTTGTGCAATTAAATGACCAAATACAAAAAATTCAATGTGAATTGTAAAAAACACCAATTGTTACTTTTCCGCACTCATATATGGATATGTAAAGTATTGTTTTCATCACAGAAAAAAGTCCGTTGTTGTTTTCCGGCTTGTTAGCACGATAACTCAAAATCTATTTTATACCGGTAGGTCATAAATTTCTTACTGAAATTTTAACATAAGCAGCTGTCAATAAAAGGAAATCGATCGATTGTGTTCAACATGTCAAAAGCTGCTTTCGCACATGTGCAAAAGTAAATGTCTTATTATTTAGTGGACTAATTTTTGTGAAATTTTAACGGTACTCACTTCTTATAAAATCAAATTGATCTACTATAAAAGGAAAGTGGTGGGTCTCAACAATTTTACCGTGTGGAAAAATTAAGTTTTGAAGAAACTCATTTTGGACTTTGACTCGCCTCCACCTACCCAAAAGTATTGTTAAGGACCTTTTACCATTCAGGTTTAATTTCGTTTAGACGATAGATCAGGTTTTTGAAACGCGTCACCATTTTGTTGTACAAATCGACAAAATAGAGCGCGTTATGACATAATTTTCGTTTTGCAAATGCAACTGTCGTGGGAAAACCTGTCCCCAACTATATCCATCAAAGTGCCATCTATCTATCATAATCGTTGTTTTCTGAGAAATCGCTCAAAACACGTACTTAATTGTTGCTTGGATTACGTACATGCAGTTATGCTGATTGCGTCTATAAATAGAAGAGACAATCTTCATTCTTCTCACGTGCAACAAGCTCATACCAATAAATTTCAATACGTATTCACCGCCGCGAAATGGGCAATGTTGTATGTGGCCTGTCCTTCCAAAAAATCTGTGCGAAGTTGCACACAATGAACGAATGTTGGGTCACCTGAGAATTACATAAAGAACTTCTCATACTTGACCTAGTAGAATACTAAGCTCGCTTATACATTGAAATAAAACGAAGAGTTATATTCTCATAATACTCCGTCATCCTTTGGAAGCGAAAGCACCTGCGAGTGCTTGTGACACCAATATTTAGTTGCAAGTTTGACTTTCGCGCGTCAGCTTGGGAACCAAAAATGTAAGTTAGTCTTCTCGGGCTGATTGTGTACTTGGTTTCTTGGTTTTGGAAAGAAGTGAAGTGTCGCGTTTTTCGCTGTTCTTTTTTACAGATGGTCCAGGTTTTGACGGCGATAATCGCCGGTTTAATAGCCCACGTCGCCTGCCACCCTTTCGACGTGCAGCCCAATTATAAGGAGGTGCTCAGGTTGTCGCTGCTGTTTTACGAAGCGCAGAGATCGGGACGTCTTCCCGTCGATAACAGGATAGCGTGGCGTGGAGATTCGGCTTTGGAGGACCGCGGACTGAACGGCGAAGATTTGACCGGCGGATATTATGACGGTGTGTCCATCGTTCGGCAGTTTGGAAGTTACCAAAATTTTGGTTTTTTCAGCGGGCGATTTTGTCAAGTTTAGCTTTCCGATGGCGTTCACGACGACGCTGTTGGCGTGGGGAGTCTTGGATTACGAAAATGCCTACAAAAGTGCGGGTGAGTTAATGAAGGAAGTATTTATCTGGATCATTTTCGCCGAGTGAAAGTCGTAATATTTACATTTTGAAAGTTATCTCGGTGTTAAAAGCGAACACAATTAACTGTAATTGTAATGGATATTAAATTGAGGTTTTGTGACAAATTGTTCAAGGCAAGAATTCCTATGGGATTTGTCACCCAGACTAATTCTACGTAAAATCGTCATTGCTTGTAACTACTCTTGAAATTCAATTGCAAATGACGCGCAACCACCAGAGGGTGGAACTGGAGATAGCGTGTAATGTTATCAGTTTCCATACCTAACTTTTACCACCCGGAGAAATATGGAATAGATAGTGTCGCATTTACATTGTAAATTGCATTTGAGACTTAACTTCATCTTACATTTTGCGGTTGATGAATCGCTCGCTTCAACTTCTTTGACTGTTATTAATGATCAAATGAGGACTACATATCAGTTTTACGTGCTTAATTTGTATTATGGTATAATGAATGGGTAATTAGGCAAGAACTTGTTCTTTTTATTTTTCGATGGATGTTATTATGGAAAAAGAGCCCTGCAATTATTTTCACATTTCTCCGCTGTTAAAATTCCCAAAAAATCATTCTTGTTTGTTGGGATCACACGAAACAATGGTTTATGTAAGATTTGCTTAGATCAATACCATCACGCCATAATCGCATTGAAATGGGCCACAGACTACTTCCTCAAATGTCACGTGAGTCCTTACGAACTCTACGGACAGGTAGGCGACTTCAGCATTGACCACAAGTTCTGGGGCCGACCAGAGGAACTAAACATGACTAGGCCTGCTTATAAAATCGACACAAAACATCCAGGTAAATGGGTCGCATCTATGATTCCGTCGTCGGCGGTATAACTAATCGTCTAGTGTTATAGGTGCGGATTTGGCCGGGGAGGTCTCCGCGGCCCTGTCCTCGACAGCCTTGGTCTTCAAAAATATACAAAAGGACTACTATAGTCTGGCCATACGCCACGCTCAGGAGCTGTACGCGTTCGCCGTTAACTACCCGGGATTTTACCACGAGGCTATTCCAGGCGCCAAAGCTTTTTATCAGTGAGTGACTTGATGGGCATTTACTGATGACGCTGAGATGCGGTTTTAGATCAACTGGGTTCGGGGACGAGCTCACCTGGGCAGCTATTTGGCTGTACAAGGCGACTTTAGACCAGAAGTACTTGCAGGATGCGGAGCTCTTCTACAAGAATTTCAAATTAAAAGGAAGACCCAACGAATTCCACCATACCAATAAGGTTGCCGGTATTCAAGTGTTACTAGCTGAGTTGACCGGCAAGTCGGAGTACGTCAGAGCCGTCGAGGCGTTTTGCAATTACTCCATCTATCAACAGAAACGAACACCAAAGGGCCTAGTGTACATCGACAAAGCTGGAACGTTGTCTCACGCTGCCAACATCGTCTTTCTATGCCTTCAAGTTTGTTAACTATTTATCTTGGCTCAAACTTATTATACCTATTTCAGGCTGTTGATATGAACATATCGTCTTCTTCCTACATTCATTTCGCTAGGGAGCAGATGTCGTACATTCTCACCACAACCGGACGAAGCTTTGTAGTAGGATACGGAGAAAATTACCCAAAAAAACCTCATCACTCTGCCAGGTTTTCATTTACTACACGTGTAGCCATTGCTTAACCAAAAACTTTCAGCTCGTGCCCGGATAAACCCAATCCGTGCGGGTGGGAGTCCTACAAGTCGAAAGATCCAAACCCTAAAATTCTCTATGGAGCGTTAGTAAGCGGGCCGGATCAAAATGATCACTATGAAGATGTCCGCGAAGAGTTTTTGTATAACGAAGTAACTTTAGACTATAATGCTGGTTTCCAAAGTGCGGCAGCTGGACTGTTGCAATATGAGAATAAGTGAAAATCGATTGTGTTTGTTGTTACCAATTTTTGTACATTCTGTAATAAATGTTTGAGTTATAGTTTCTTCGTCACTTGTCGAATTAGTTTTAGTATCGTTGAACGGTTATAAAATTCAAATATCCATCCGGTGGTGGCTCTCGGTATTTTTTCTCGAAGACTACGTTAAAAAAAATTAAAAATTATAAATGCGGATGTATTTTACAAAACAGAGTCATAACCGACACAAACAATTCAATTGAGACATTTAATATCTGAATCCACGGTTGAAGACGTATGGGACGAAGGTGTTGTCCTTGTAGTACTTGGAGTAGTATCCAGTGACATCCTTGAGTGGGTAGTTGAAGGAGTTGTAGGTGCGTTCGTAGGCGATTTTGTTCAAGAAGGTGATGAATCTGTTGAAGATGTTCTTGATCAAGAAACGTTCCATGTCTTGAACTTCGTATTTCTCGATCAATTTGCACCATTCAGCGGCAAGAACTTCAATGCAGCGAAGGAAGCGGATCTTGAGTTCGGGCAAGTTGGTGAGGAGTTCGGTGCTGATGATTTCTCTGAGTTCTCTTCTGATTTCCTTGATTCTGTAGATGAATTCTTCGACGTACTTCTCGGTGTAGAGGGTGTTTCCGAAGGTCATCTGAAAGAACGTTAGAGTAGAGATGATCAACGGTGGCTGGGAATTTCACTTACTTTGGTCTCGAATTTCTCCAAGATGTAGTCAAGGACGGTGATGAATTCACGGATGTTGTGGAAGAGGACGGTCTTGACATCGGTAACTTCCCAGGTGTTGCGTTCGAAACGTTCGAAGATGCGCTTGACGAGCATTTGGACGGTCAATACTAAATCCTTGGGGGATTCGTATCTCATTCCACCGAAGTACTTGTTGGATTCCAAAGTCTTGCCGTAGAAAGGTTCTACTTCGAATTTGCGGATTGGGAAAAGAGATTCGTATTTGTATGGGGTGTACAAGTTCTCTTCGATGTTTCCGTAATATTTGGTTTCATAGTTGTATGGGGTGTAGAAACGGTTATGGAATTCCTTTTCGTAGAGTCCGTATCCGTGCTTGCCATAGTATTCGTTGTTGTAGTACTTGGGGGTGTAGAAACCGATTTTGTAACCGAATCTGGTTTCGTGGATGGCGTTCTTGATGGCGTGGAAGTAGTTGTAGACGATTCTGGTGACGAGAGTTCTGATTTCTACGGCTGAACAAAAAAACACATTTTACCAACTGCGCTCGGCCCTAATTCGAAAGAGAGTACTTACGCAAAACTTTGTCTTCGCAGAGCTGTACCAATTGTTCGAAGATGGAGACAATTTCGTACAAGTGGGTGACGATCTTGGTTCTGAAGACTTTCATGTCAACAGTGTTTTCGGTCATGATTTCCATAAGGGGGAAGACGATTTCGCGGAGTTTGTTGGTGAGGTGGTTCAAGACGAGATCGAGTTCCTTGTGTCCCAAGATGGTCTTTTCTTGCAATTTGCGGACGATTTCGTTGACGTACATGAGGTATTCACGGAGAGCAACCTTGATTTGGGCTGGGTGGGTGAATTCCTTAAGGATTTCGGTGAATTCACGGGTGTATTCGTGGATTTCCTTGATCAAAACACGTGGGGTTTCTACGACTTCAAAGTCGCGGTTGATGTGCAAGAAGTGGGAGCGGATTCCGTGGAGAACGTTGATGAAGTCGACGAGGACGTACTTCAAGGTGTAACGGAATTCGGGGTAGGAAGTGTAGGTAAGGTGGACCAACTTTTCGATGTGTTCGTATACTACGTTGATGCAGCGGACGAAGTTGATCTTAAGTTCGTGAACCTTGGTGATGTCGTGGAAGTGGGTGATTTCTCTGAGAGAGTCACGTACTTGTTCCAAGACGTAGATGACGTGCTGGAAGACATCTTCGCGGATGGTGAAAGTCTGCAAGGTAACTGCATGTCTTCACTGAAGACAATTGCTAACAATTAACTCACCTCTTCGCGGAGTTTGTTGAGGATCACTTCAACAACTTCAACGAATTTGCGGGATTGCCAGGTGACAGTCTTGATAGCATATTCGTGGTTGGGGAAGTCCTTTTCGAGGACGAGGGTTAAATCTCTAACTTCGGTGCGGATTTCGTCCAAATAGTTGACGAGTTTTCCCTCACCGTAGAACTCGGGAAGAGTTGCGAAGGCGGCCTAAATTAGAAAAAAAATAGATTAGTCGTGTTCGGTACAAAAATATCGGTTCACTTACTTGGAAAGCCAAAGCTGCGAAGAAACACACTGCTAACTTTGCCATCTTCAATACTCTGTCGAAGACAAGTGGAGTGAGGATGAAGGGTTTTCGATGCTTTTTATACAGACCAAGTTTTTGACCTCGTAACCTTCACCATATTTATCAATTTTTAATTCTCACTTTTGCCTTATTAATTACAGATAAGCTAAGAGAGGTCAGGTTGCTTTAGGGTATAACGTATCTACTTTGTTGCTAACTTATTGATAACCTAAATTGTACGTATATTGAAGACACATTTTTAAGCTTTTAGTAAAATTTGATGTGGCAAGTTTAAAATTTTGGAAGTACTCAATGAAGAATGCTCATAAAAACCCTTGAAAATTTAAGAAAAGGTGATAAATTACGCGTTACTTGTGGAATCAATTATTGATAATAATAACCATTAGGTACTTCTCGTCTCACTTATCACTGCAATCTCTCGATTTAGTTCTTTCCTTCCAGATGAATTATGGGGCGTACGAGATCAAAAAGGGAATGGTCACCTTGACTTATAATTTTTGGTTTGGTTCCTATACTTATAACATGTCGTATTTGAACATATCCCATAGGAGTGAAGGGTTTATTATTTCGTCGAATGTCCATAACGACTGTTCTCATAACGCCAAGCCATGTTAGAAACAATGGACGGCCGCTGATCCGGTTGAAAATTAACGTTGAGGAGTTAGGTATTGTTGCTTCGTCATTAGTGAATCTTGGAAGCATCCTATTTTCTCAATGAATGAGTGTAATATACAGTATTTCAGTGAATTGAAATACGAATCCCCTAAGGATGACCTGCGAAAAGCTCAAGCACACCGAACTCCTCACTGACTTGCTCGAACTCAAGATCCCTCTTCCTTTGTTACATTGAAGTTCGTGCCGTTGAATAGTGCAAATTGATCGAGAAACTCTATTGACTCCCATATATCTTCTCCCATGGCTTAAAATACTAAAGTATTTAAAATGCATTTTCACTCTTAATTCTTATTTAATGTTTTGATTAGCGATTTAATGTTTAATTCGTGCTATCTCTTTATCAATCTAACTCGTAAAGACGTAAACCTTTTGGAAACATCATCTGGACTATGGAAGGCGAATCACAAACACCACACAAAAAGTTTTTATTGTGGATCTACCTACCATCTACAATAAATAGGGCCCAATTTATTAAAAAAAAACTATAAAATGTAAGAGTAAATTTCCAACTACCAACTACCCCGCTGCCTGTCGATCCTTTGACGAGGAAATCCGGTATAAAAGAATCCGGCCTGCGGCGTTATCCATCTCGCCTTAATCATATCGCTTCCCTTTTCGGCGATCATAACCGTCGGGGCGTTCGTATTGCCAGAGGTAACTTGGGGCATAATACTGGCGTCAATCACTCTCAGACGGTCAACGCCGTGAACTTGAAGTTGATTGTTGACCACCGCCATTTTGTCATTAGAGGGTCCCATTTTACTGGTTCCGGCCTGGTGATTTTCGGGACCGGTCTGCCGTTTCGCCGCGCATTCCCAGTACTGGTCGGTCCCGAAGTTGCGGTTTTCGCATCCGGCCACGGGCGTCCTATCCAATTCAAGACCGTACCGTTTCAGGGCATTGGTCTCGGACAGTTTAATTGCAAATTTGATTCCCTCTATCATCACTTTAATGTCGTCAGGATGCGTATAATAGCGGGCGTAGATTAAAGGATGACTTAATGGGTTTTTATCTTTCAGTCTCAAAACCCCGCGACTTTTGGGATGTAAGATTGTGGGGACGATCTGGATGCTTCTCGTCGAGTTATCTAGACGTTCACCAACTTGACCGGTACGCGCACAGTTCGCTAGAAATCCTCCAAAAAAGAGTTGGATGTCGGGATGTTCGCCGCTTGCATCCGCGAATTTGGAGTTGATTAAACCCGTGACCTCCGACACACCGGTGCCACTCATCAAGCCATCTCTGAACAGAAGATATTCCATTGCAGTTGCCCAATTTAATGGTGCCGTGTTTGTGTCGTTGATGTTGAAGTTGACAAAGTAAGCTACGTGGTTGTGAAGATTCTCGCCCACTCCCGGTAGGTCATGGACCGTATTGATTCCTACATTTTGCAAATGTTCTTTTGGACCGACTCCAGACAGCAATAATAGTTGAGGTGAATTTATTGCACCTGAAATTTCCCAAATTATTCTAAGACAATTGGTCTCAAAGTCGATTGCTTACCTCCCGATACAATCACCTCCTTACTAACGTAGACCACTTGCTTCTTACCATTGTTAATAACTTCAACGCCATAAGCGGATTTGGTGGAAGAATTTATAAGAATACGAGTGACGGTAGAATTCATTAATATGTGTAAATTGCTTCGATTAACAAAAGGTCTTAGAAAGGCTCTAGCCGTACTTACTCTCGAACCGTTACGGTTGTTTGTTTGCGCGATTGAAAAACCAGCGTGATGATTGCCATTTAGATCTCGCGTAGGATAACCTAAAATCGCCATATTCACGAAAGTAATATTTACTCAAATTCACTCACCTAGTTCCTCTCCGGCCTTGAGAAAAGCACTTGAAAGGGGTGGATGGTAGGGAAACTGCGACACACTCAGTAACCCACCGGACGAGTGATACCCTTGATCCATCGTATCCATCTGTTTATTATCCTCACTCTTCAGAAAGTATGGGAGTACCTCGTTGTAGTTCCAACCCTTGTTCCCAAGATTTTCCCAGGTATCAAAGTCTTGATGGGATCCACGTATGTACATCATCCCATTAATTACGGACGTTCCTCCGATAACCTAAAATTCATAGTAGGTCCTGGTGAATAAAACACATCGATTTACCTTCCCCCTTGGCCAGTAGCATCTCTGCTCAGTTTCGGCGAGGCAGGCGTCCGTCTCCGGTTCAGTTTGATAGCCCCAGTCGATCTCAGATCCGATGAAATTTAAAAACATCGACGGTATCTGGGTACCGGTGGGCTCGTCCAAACCTAAAAAGACGCCCACTTTACAAAAGGAAATCTTTGCTGCCACCTACCGGCTTCAATCAGAAGAACGTTCCACTCCGGTATCTCGGACAGTCGACTTGCCACGACCGATCCGGCCGAACCCGAACCGACCACTATGAAGTCGTACTCGGGCAGTACGTGGATCTTTTTCGGACGACCGCACGGATCTTCCAAGTCGCACTGGGATCTCAGGAATACCTCAAGTAGACCCATGAATAGCATGAAGGGGGCACCGCCACAGGTGGACGCCAGCGTAGGGCCAGGTTGAGAAGCGGGACAATTACACGGCATCTAAAAATATTCAAACAATTCTTGGAAAGGTGTTGGTAGGTTTCGGAAACATCTAGAGACGACTCAAGTGCAAAAGTAATTTGAAGTACGTACCTAGTGCCTTTTGATATTCGATCATTATAAATAGTAATTAATTAGTAAATTGATAGATTTGATCACCATGAGAACCTTGCCAGAAGGTAATATCTACCTAGTGTAAAAAAACGCAAAAATGGCCGACACCAAGCAGCAACCCGCTATATAGAAGCAAAGTCAAAACAAAAAACGAATTTCGTTCTCTTCTAGTACTTTCAACAAGGCCGACCTTGCCTACAAGACTCTTAGCTGTTAATCAACTATTCCCTTATTTATACTCGATCACAGATCTTGAAGCATCTGAACAAGCTTCCGAAGTTCAAACATAATTCAGAGGGTATTCTTTAATGGCCACCGGTATCGCGCTAATTTTTCTCGAACCGAATTGCCGCAAGGGTGCCAAATTGAAAAAATGACCTCGCTAATATTAACCTTCAAGGATAATTAAGCCAAGACTTTCTTTAGCTTCATTTTTCTTAGTGAAACGATTCGAATGTTATGCTAATTGAATTAGCGTAACGTAAAGTAAAATCATTACAGTTATATGATTTAATTTCCATGTTGTAGCTTTCTTTCCGTTAGCCGCTACTGATGCAGTTTGTCCCTTTTTTACGGCAACGGGCAACGAGAAGCCGTACCAGTTGATCACTCGGTGTGGAGGATTGCGTATTTCTCGGTATTGTCTTTCCAAAATTGTATGCATGACACATTAGGTGTAAGAAGACAAAGTGTGAAGATACTTTCACTCTTCTTCTATGAGATTCGACACGCTTATTAAGCGCAGGAATAATTGGTGACAATAATTAGCAATTTGCACGCTGGTAGTTGATTAGCGACCTTCTGGTCCTTTGTACTGGTACCTAAGTAGGTACTTTTACTTTCAGCGCCCGAATATCCTCATCTGACCCACTTCGCGTTACCAAACTCCGGCTGACATTTGACTTTGAACGAAACCAAATAGCCTTTTTCGCACGTTATAAATTTAACAAAGCACTTTCATTGACAGAATTTCTCAATTAACGGCGATGTGCAATTGTGCACGAAAGATGAGAACAATCGCTTACGTAAGCGCTTCAAGTAAAACTGGAACAAGCTGAAGATGCACGACACGATCGAAAATGGTACGTACGCGAAACTGCATCAATTATTGGTCCCCATAAGTTGAGTAATTGCAAAACTTAATCCCGGAAAACCTTACCTTTTCTCTCAAATTTGGATTCACGATAAGTTTCACTCTTTTTCAAACCCTCAAACCGCACAAGATATTTCAACCATAGCCGTGCGATACCAACAGATGGAACGGTTTACGGGTACTGAATCTGCAATTTCGCGGTTCGCGTATTATAAGAGAAAGACGTAAAGGTTCTGCATCCGTTTATCTCTAATGAATATTTAAATACTTACTCCGCAATGAGCTGCCAGAACGTCCTTAGCATTAATTTATCAACAATAGGCAATTGACCGAAAATAATGCGTGAGGTCATGCAAAGAATGGAATTTTAGGAAGTTTGCGCGAATCTAAGCGGAAATGATTTCATTTTCACAAACCTGAAAATCTATACAAGCGAAGTACCGGCCGAATTGAACGTGGAGATGGTCATCCCACTCTACACAGACTCAAAGTATTCAATGCTCAAAGTGGCATTAGCGCTGCACATTCTGATACAGTAACCAAAATGGACAGTTTTAATATTGTTTACTGTTACAACTTTTCCGGAGGAACTTAACGATTAATGAATAGGTAGGTATGCACTTTCTTGAACTTCAACGAACCGTCTTAGGAAAGTCTTTAATAGCATAGGTTAAGTACGTACCATTTTATTTTAGATTTCCTCTAGTGCAATACGTGAGCACTTGATCTTTGGAGTGCCCCACAATTTCTTTGACCTCCATAAAATGAATTTTGTTAATTAGAAAGCTCATGGGATAGAAAATAAGGTTTGCGTCCTTCAGTGCATTTTGCTCGCTCATTAATTAACAACTATACCTACTTATACTTTCTAATAGACGTTAGATTTATTTAAATCGATCACATCAGTATGTACAACAAACGGTAGTTTTAGTAAATACTCGATTGCAGATTCTTGGCATGAGTCTTTCGATGCTGTAATTCAACCATAGAAATGGGAACTCTTCTGTTGGGAAGTTCGATGCTGATGATTTCCTTATTTTCGACGCACTTTTCGAAACGCTCGAATGTTTGAATGCCCCACGCACTTTCAGACTTGAGTGTTGTCTTCGTAGGGTTCGTTGTGGCTAAAGAATAAGAGGCACATGGTAACCAACGCATTCCAATAAATAAGTTTACTTGCATGGAAAGGCTATCAAAAAGAAGACCGTAAACTATTCACTTAGGTACCTATGTTGGTCTGAAAGGATGAAGTGCCAGTTTTGGTTCCCCATTTACACTACAAAGACGGCCATCATTTACTTCATCATTGCCAGACACTTATCGCTTTTCTCGCATAACAAACAGATAAATAAAAAATCTGTGCAATCAACGTCTGGCAGAGACAGCTTTTTATAGAGAACGTTAATTAAACTGCATTTTCGCATACCTACCTCCACGGCGAAGGAGTAAAGGACTGAAAACTTTTTCCACAATAATAATAATAGTAACAATGATGATCGGTAGCTTTTAATTTCGTTCACATAATGAGAATATTGACCTGTTTATCTATTAACTCACTGTTCATTATCATTTTTTCACAACTTATTTTTATTATTTTTTGTTTTTCTTATAGTAATTACATAACCAACTTACCGCCTGGAATATTCCATTTTGACAAACAAATTTTATTCTAAATTACCAAATGTTCAGCTGGTGTTGCCCAATAAGAAAATAGGACGCTTCCAAGATTCACTAGTAGTTCCATGCTGAGCAAAATTACTATCTAGGTAACAATGACCTAAACTACTAACTTTTCATCGGGTTCGACTGGAGAAGTCGATGGCGTAATATTGATCCTTCTACTCCTATGGGATATGTTCAACTGATGCCACATGTTATACAGGGGCGCTATTAAAGGTGGAACGGAAAGTCTTATGCTCAAACCACTTGAGGTAGGTATAGCATTGTATGTTTATATACAGTAGATATAGCCACGAAAATTAAAACGCTTGCATTTGGAATAATTTCACATTTTTTTCTTATACAGAGTTTTTGAGTACGGCAGCCATTTTGAATTTTTGAAATGGAAATATAGGCCATGTGATACGTCATTAGAAAGCTTATTTTTTTCTCTCTTTTTACCAACTTAAAGATGTACTTATGTTGTTAAATTTGAAAACTTTGCCGTAAGTTTGGCTGGCACTTTAAATTTAGACACCTGTAAATTAACACAACGTCAAAAATTAAGAAAGAAACAATGAGCAGGTGTTCAATAAGTGACAAAAACACAATACGTAGTTTGTTTTCATACAACTATTGCATTACGTGAGAAATAATTCTTAATTTTCTGAAAATCGACAGTTTTTTCTCCGTTATTTTCTAATTTAACAACATTCATGATTGGGGAGTAAGAAAGAGAAAAAAATTCAAAAGGAGGTCGCACTCAAACACCCTGTATATAAAAAAGTTCTTTTTAGCCTCAAAACATGTAAAGAATTTAAAAAAGCAGCGTTTTAATTTTCATGTCTATATCTCAAACGGTTTGAGCGTGAGCGAGCTTCCGTTCCATCTTTAATAACAGCCCCTTGCAGGTGTCGAAACATTATAAACCAAGGTGAACTATTCCTTTTTGATCTCGTACGCGCCATAACAATTCATTTGAGAGGAAAGAAACCTTTTCTTAAATTTTCAGGGGTTTTTATGAGCTCTCTTCCAAATTTTATACCTGCCAAATCAAATTTTACTACAGCTTAAAAATTTAATATACGTACAATTACGTTCTCAATAAGTTAGCAACAAAGTAGATACATTATACCAAAAAGTAACCTGACCTCTCTTAGTTTATCTGTAATTAATAAGGCAAAAGTGAGAATTAAAAATTGATAAATATGGTGAAGGTTACGAGGTCAAAAACTTGGTCTGTATAAAAAGCATCGAAAACCCTTCATCCTCACTCCACTTGTCTTCGACAGAGTATTGAAGATGGCAAAGTTAGCAGTGTTTTTCTTCGCAGCTTTGGCTTTCCAAGTAAGTGAACCGATATTTTTGTACCTAACACGGCTAATCTACTTTTTTTCAAATTTAGGCCGCATTCGCAACTCTTCCCGAGTTCTACGGTGAGGGAAAACTCGTCAACTATTTGGACGAAATCCGCACCGAAGTTAGAGATTTAACCCTCGTCCTCGAAAAGGACTTCCCCAACCACGAATATGCTATCAAGACTGTCACCTGGCAATCCCGCAAATTCGTTGAAGTTGTTGAAGTGATCCTCAACAAACTCCGCGAAGAGGTGAGTTAATTGTTAGCAATTGTCTTCAGTGAAGACATGCAGTTACCTTGCAGACTTTCACCATCCGCGAAGATGTCTTCCAGCACGTCATCTACGTCTTGGAACAAGTACGTGACTCTCTCAGAGAAATCACCCACTTCCACGACATCACCAAGGTTCACGAACTTAAGATCAACTTCGTCCGCTGCATCAACGTAGTATACGAACACATCGAAAAGTTGGTCCACCTTACCTACACTTCCTACCCCGAATTCCGTTACACCTTGAAGTACGTCCTCGTCGACTTCATCAACGTTCTCCACGGAATCCGCTCCCACTTCTTGCACATCAACCGCGACTTTGAAGTCGTAGAAACCCCACGTGTTTTGATCAAGGAAATCCACGAATACACCCGTGAATTCACCGAAATCCTTAAGGAATTCACCCACCCAGCCCAAATCAAGGTTGCTCTCCGTGAATACCTCATGTACGTCAACGAAATCGTCCGCAAATTGCAAGAAAAGACCATCTTGGGACACAAGGAACTCGATCTCGTCTTGAACCACCTCACCAACAAACTCCGCGAAATCGTCTTCCCCCTTATGGAAATCATGACCGAAAACACTGTTGACATGAAAGTCTTCAGAACCAAGATCGTCACCCACTTGTACGAAATTGTCTCCATCTTCGAACAATTGGTACAGCTCTGCGAAGACAAAGTTTTGCGTAAGTACTCTCTTTCGAATTAGGGCCGAGCGCAGTTGGTAAAATGTGTTTTTTTGTTCAGCCGTAGAAATCAGAACTCTCGTCACCAGAATCGTCTACAACTACTTCCACGCCATCAAGAACGCCATCCACGAAACCAGATTCGGTTACAAAATCGGTTTCTACACCCCCAAGTACTACAACAACGAATACTATGGCAAGCACGGATACGGACTCTACGAAAAGGAATTCCATAACCGTTTCTACACCCCATACAACTATGAAAACAAATATTACGGAAACATCGAAGAGAACTTGTACACCCCATACAAATACGAATCTCTTTTCCCAATCCGCAAATTCGAAGTAGAACCTTTCTACGGCAAGACTTTGGAATCCAACAAGTACTTCGGTGGAATGAGATACGAATCCCCCAAGGATTTAGTATTGACCGTCCAAATGCTCGTCAAGCGCATCTTCGAACGTTTCGAACGCAACACCTGGGAAGTTACCGATGTCAAGACCGTCCTCTTCCACAACATCCGTGAATTCATCACCGTCCTTGACTACATCTTGGAGAAATTCGAGACCAAAGTAAGTGAAATTCCCAGCCACCGTTGATCATCTCTACTCTAACGTTCTTTCAGATGACCTTCGGAAACACCCTCTACACCGAGAAGTACGTCGAAGAATTCATCTACAGAATCAAGGAAATCAGAAGAGAACTCAGAGAAATCATCAGCACCGAACTCCTCACCAACTTGCCCGAACTCAAGATCCGCTTCCTTCGCTGCATTGAAGTTCTTGCCGCTGAATGGTGCAAATTGATCGAGAAATACGAAGTTCAAGACATGGAACGTTTCTTGATCAAGAACATCTTCAACAGATTCATCACCTTCTTGAACAAAATCGCCTACGAACGCACCTACAACTCCTTCAACTACCCACTCAAGGATGTCACCGGATACTACTCCAAGTACTACAAGGACAACACCTTCGTCCCCTACATCTTCACCCACCAGTTGAGATACTAGAGCAGTACAACGGATGCGTTATGTGAATTGTTTGTTGCAGTTCTAATTAAAGTTTTTGATTTTCAAAGCCTGTTTATTAGCTTTCCTTTTTGGAGATCGAATATCTGGGATTAGACCAGGAAACGAAGGTTTTGACCTAGGATTTTTTTTCGAAATGAATCGATTAACTTCAAATTTTGACAGTATAGGTATACGCATAGATCCGTCTGAATTTGGGCGATGACCTGTTTAGGGCATCGGTCGATTGTGATTTATTTGCATAAGGGTCAAATCGCATGGCTTCAGTGGCTAATTCACATACCCTCGCTAAGCAGTTAGGTGTCCTCTAACCGATAAATTTCTAGGCGGAGCTGAGGAGATGGTGCCATCCACAATCGATAATACGTTGAATGGGAAATCACGAGTAAGAAACTCTCCATTGCTCATTCCATTATTTCCATCGTTCGTCCACTATCGTTTCTTTCCCCAGCCCTGATAAGCATTGCTTATCTCATACACTGAACATTCGGGTCAAAAAATTTGATAAATTTACTAACTTACTTGGGGTACAGTGCGACATACTACCAAACTGCGCAACTACAAACGTCTTCCCTTTTCCTGCCCCTGAAACCGACGCACGAGAAAATATTTTGCCAATAGAGTTCGACATGCAGATGTATTTAGCTACTCTATTCGAATTTCATACTTGAAATTGTTTTGGTGGATCACACGCTCTATTTGAAAACTGGGGAAATCATCGCTTCCAACACTGCTTTGAGTAACATTGAAATGATTCTCCGAGATGTTCATATGCTCATGTCTTTTTTGTGGCGCATAGGGCACACATTGGCGGGGGGGGGGGTCTGAAGGAACTTTTGTGTTGCGATTTTGCCCCAAATTCAGCAGAAAAAATGCTAAGCCGTCAACAGGCATCTACTTGTTTAAACCACGTTAACACAGATCATTCTGGAAGGTACCGGCAAGGCAAGTGGGCTCTGTGGGTGCAGCATTTCAGCATGGTTACGTTGATGAAAATTTTCATTACGGTAAGTACAATGTTGGAGTGAATGGCGAGGTCACCTTTTATGTACCCAAAAATGATTCCCTATTTTCACGCCAGTGGACACATTCACTATGGAATATGTACAGGACAGGCTTTCCCTATGTAAACGTTACACAGGGAAGCACAAACTTTTAGAGTAGTGGATAGGAGTGTGGACACGAATATGAGTGCCAAACGATGGACGGGTGTGGTCTGACATGGGCATTAAATAGACCATAAATGTATCAACAGGGATAGCCAGGATAGAAAGAAGCTTTCAGTGAATCCATTCTCTCCATCCACGCCTTTTCAGTGTGCCATATACCTATGGAAAAGCTTTCATCCTCAGAGAATCCTTTGAGAATGTTGTCCTTAAAATTCGAAAGTGCCACTGGACGGGTTTAAGGAGGTTTAATATTACCTATATACTCATAAGAAATAAGTGCAGAATAGCATTACATGTATAGACACATAATACACCCAATTTGCAACGCCCTTTGCTTAGATTTGAGACCTATGAAAATTGCAAAACATGTAGATTGTAGAAGGGGCTGGTAATGTAGCTGCGATATGCTAAAAATATGATTTTCATTGAAAAACAAATTATATAACGCAAAAATTATCAAAGAACGACTTACTACCAATTACTGGTGTTACCATGATAACTTAGCGGATAACTTGCATCAGAATGGTACGATAGGGAAAATTGTTAAACAAAAAATCTTATTCATTTGGAAATTTGGTGACATAACAGAATCTGCGATGTAGTTTATCAGCGTGCAGAATGATAGCTAGGTCAAAAAGGTGACACGAATGTTGGTATAAAAGAGTGTGGCGCAGGAGAAGTCTTTACACTGATTACAGTCAGTTGACCGAAAATGGCTAAGTTTGTCGTGTTATTCGTCGCAGCTTTGGCTTTCCAAGTAAGTTTAAGTTTTATTTTTAATTTAATCGATTTTAACGAGACTTTCTCAACAGGCCACTTTTGCTTTCCCCAAATACTTTGAGGAAGGAAAACTCGTCAACTACTTGGACGAAATCCAAACCGAAGTTAAGGATTTGACTCTTTTCCTCCGCAACGATTTCCCCGAAAGCCATTTCGCCGTCAAGACCATCACCTGGCAATTCCGTCAACTTGCTGTTGTTGTTGATGAAATCATCAACAAGCTCCACGAAGAAGTAAAAACAGTTACATAAACTTTTGATTTTTTGCTAACTACAGTGCTTTCAGGTCTTCATTCATGAAGTTGAAGGTCACCATGTCTTCAAACAAGTCACCTTCATGCTTAGAGAAATCCACTCTTCCCTCAAGAAGATGACTCTTTTCACCGAAATGTCCGACCTTCACGAGGTCAAGAAAGACTTCATCCTCTGTCTCGAAACCGTTTACGAAAACATCGAGAAATTGGTCCGTCTTACTTACACCACCTACCCCGAATTCCGTTTCACCCTCAAGTATCTTCTCGTCGACTTCATGACCACCCTTCACCACATCCGTTCCCACTTCGAACATTTGATGAAGACCGTCGAAGTTGAATTCACCCCAAAACACTTGATCACCATGATCCACGAATACACTCGTGAATGTACCGAAATGATCAAGGAATTCAACCACCCCATGCAAATGAAAGTCGCCCTCCGTGGATATTTGAGATACGTTCGTGAAATCGTCTACCTTTTGGAAAAAGAAGTGAGTTATTTAAATTTCGGGATTTACAACCGTATACTTATTGGGTTTTAATTTTTAGACCATCGTCGGAGAGAAGGAATTCGATCTCCTTATGCACACCCTCACCAACAAACTTCGTGAAATCGTCTTCCCACTCATGGAACTCACCATGACCGAAGAAATGATCGACATGAAAGTATTCAGAACCAAGTTCGTCACCTACCTTTTCGACATCGTTGGAACTTTCGAACAAATGATCCAATACTGCGAAACCAAGCATATCCGTAAGTGTTACGGTCAAAGTATTATGGCCACAAGCTTATGGTTTTAATTTCAGCCGTCGAAATCAAGTACTTCATCGAAAAAATGATGTACAACTACTTGTACGCCGTCAAGAACGTCTGCTACGAAATCAGATTCGGTTCCAAAATCGGTTTCTTCATGCCAGAATACTACACCATGAACTACTACGGCAAATACGGATACGGTCTCTACGAAACCATGTTCCGCAAGCACTTCTTGAATTACGACATGGGAATGTACACCCTTTTCCCAATGCACAAATACTTCATGGGCAAATACGAAAAAATGTACACCCCAATGTTCACCAAGATGCACGATTTCGATATGGAATACTACAACAAATACGGAATGGAAATGTTCTCCCGCAAATACGGAATGAACAAATACTTCAAGGAAATGCCCTTCGAATTCGAAAGCAAGACCCCCAAGGAATTAGTTATGCACATGGAGATGCTCGTCAAGCGCGTCGTCGAACAATTCGAATACAGAACCATGAACGTTAACGACGAATCCACCCTTTACTACATTCGCGAATTCCTCACCTGCCTCGACCTCATCTACAACAGACTCGAATCCGTCACCTACACCGACATGATGGTCAGAGAATTCCTCATGAACCTTAAGGAAATGAAAATGGAACTCGAAAAGATGATCTCCATGCGCATGTTCCACAACGTTCACGAAATCAGAATGTACTTCGTCCGCTCTATCAAGATGGTCGCCACCGAATTGTACAGAATCGTCATGGTTGAGAAATTCGAAACCAAACACTTCGACCACGAAATGCTCAGACACATCCTCGCCGTATACATGAACTTCCTTACCAAATTCCACACCAAATACTCCGTATATGGTAGCGAATACATGATGCCCACCACCTTCGGCCTTAACACCCACAAGGAAATGATCGTGCGTATGCACACCCTCACCGAAAAGATCATGGAATCCTTCAAATATGACACCGTTGAAATGAAACATATGACCGTCCTCTACATCCGCAACTTCATCGAAATCATCGATTACGTCATCGAAAAAATGCACATCACCGTAAGTTACTTACCCGCCCTCATTGTAAAGTGCCCAATTTAAATCTCTCTCATTTTATTACAGATGATGGGCAAACTCGTCCGCGACGAAACCGTCATGCGCGATATCTTCATGCATCTTAAGCAAATGAGAACTGAATTCGAACACCTCCTTACTTTCGATACCATGGACATGCACAAGATGACCATCCGTTTCGAAGAATGCTTGAGAATGTTCACCATGCAAATGGAAAAGTTGACCATGTTCGAAGTTGAATACCCAATCTTAGTCAAAGAGATCTGCATGCGTTACGTCATGACCCTCGAAAACTTCTACCACAAAATCTCCATGCGAGGAATGGAAGTCTTCCCCACCAAGAACTTCAGAACCATGTACCACGATGTTGACATGAAGAGAATGATGCCATTCCACTTCAACCAGGAATTGAAGTACTAAATAACCAAAAGATACACTGTAACACCTGAAATTCAATAAATTTCTGTTTTGTCATCAGTCTGAGTTTTCTATACGCAAATTTCGTTGTGACAATATCTGAGTGACCTACCCTTACCTCTTCTCTTCTACAAGTAATTGCTTTTTGTAGGATAATTATGTCTGTAAAGTATAGAAGGAGGGAAGGAGACTGTTTTATATTTAACGTGGTCATTACAACCACTACAAAATTTTATTTACTGTCTTGTGTAACAAACATTTTCAAGTGACAGAACGCGCTTCGCCTCAGAAAACTGGCTAGAGCTATCGTCCGATGAACACTGCCTCATTCGGCATTGTAGTCAATACTAGGATTCTCTTCTATTTCTGTGATAGAACTTTTCCAAAAGTATGTAACTAGGTACATTTGTTTCCCCAGAATGGATTCGAATCCAGAATATTTTCGAAAATGCCCTTTTATGAAAAAGTATTCCTTGATTTATCAAGTCACGTCCAAAAATTCGCCGTTAAGGTGGCGTTTACATTGAAAAATTGGAAATTTGTTTTCACAATAACTGCCAAACTGGGTCCAAAAAGTTTAAACCCTTAACAACCATCGCTCGTTAACAGAAGTTAATTTTATTTACTTCGAAACAAAGTTATTGAGGAAATCGCAAGGCCCACCTTTGCACTTTTTGTAAACACCATCTGCAGGTTGCTTCGCCTTGCCAAATGCATTCACGAGAACTCTCACCAAGCAGGGCCGGACTGGGTGGGTAAGGGCCCCGGGCGCTCCATGACCAAAAGGCCCCCCAAACTCATGGACTCCCCCCCCCCCTCCCGAAAAAGAAGACAAGGGATTTGCAGATTTTTTTAATTGTATTTCAAACAACTTGCCGAACAGTATTGCCACACGTACGCCACACGTTTGGATTGAGCGAGGAGGGGGGAGCGCTGCCGCAGCAAGCGAGCGAGCCAAGTTGACTCGCTACTCCACATCGCGGAGCCTCGGGTAGCTGGGTTAGCGCTTAGGGGGGCCCCGCGGCGGAGGCTCCGTTTCGCGGTTTCACGAGGGCCTCGTCCAGGGTCCCCGATGGCGCGGGGCCCCGGCCGCTCGGGCGGCCTAGCGGCCTGGGCCAGTCCGGCCCTGTCACCAAGAGTATTTATATTGATCACTCTAAAATGGAATGTATTTTTTCCGGATTTTATAGAGACAAGTAAAGTTGAAATTACTGAGGTTTTAAGTGTTAGAGCAGTTTAGGCACTACATGCCATCGACATTCTTCGGGACGTGAAAGAATTAGAGGGTGGAATTTTCTAATAAATTATCTTTGATGGAATTGAAAAAATCATTGCACGATCGTCACGTGCGCATGATTTGAATTGAATCCGAAAATGCCTGTTGCCAAAGCGACGTATTGACCGTGGAAGTGACGTATTTAAAATGGCGGTTAATTTGGCAATTTTTTAAATTGGGCATTATTATAACCCCCCGGTGACATAGAAACGTGACGCATATATCTAAAGGTACACGTTTTCAAGCATTGGATAATCCAAGAATACACTCTACTTTTCAAATACTCGAACAATTGCAAGAGTTACCACTTGTTTCTTATTTGGCAAAGAAGAAACCGAACTTTAAAAGCCAGTAGATGAATCCTGAGACGATGATTCCAATCCTATTAACTACGAGGAAATACCAAAAGCAGTGCTGGATTCGCGAGGGTGGAGAACATGGCTTTTATCATTTTTAGAGCAAATAAAGTAAAACAAACAACGGCTGGACTTAATTTAAGAGGAAAAAATCAACTTTGATCCTGATTCCTTACCATATATACAGTGTATACCACGGGAAACGGATTTCTCGCGAAGGATCCACGAGGCCTTGAAATTAGCGTTCAACAAACTACTCCAATCTCTTTTTACTATCTACCATACCCTCCTATGACTTTATAATAAGCAATTAGAGTTACTCAACCCGTGCAGTAACAGGAAACCTTTTTTTTTCACTTTTGATGCGAATATCAAAGTCCAATTACTTTAATTTCCGAGTCAAGTAGTGCCATTTTACTAACGAGTTTTGTATTAAATTTTATCCAAAATCGTATTTTAATATAAAATTTCTATTTTCATATAACTTTTACCCAAAATCGCCGTGAAACGTTCATTTTCATGCGCCTACTTTCTGTCAGTAAATTTTACCCAAAATCGTCATGAAACCTTCATTTTCATGCCTACTTTATGTCAGGAAAGTGTTAGTTTCCATGACGGAGGCAGACCAGTCTAGTTTTCCTGCCGCCTGTCACTTTACCGGCCGCACCTGTCACTTTACCGGACGCACTTGTCACTTTACCTGCCGCACCTGTCACATTGCTAAATGTTTATAATGACTCCTGTCATCATTGACAGATTGGCATTAATCAAAAGTTCTATATGAAAGTTGAAATTTTATACGATTTCGGGTAAAATTTAATACAAAACTCGTCAGTAAAATTGTACTACTTCCTCGCCAGTATAATGTGTCATGTTCCTGACTTTTATGTAAATTAAAATTAAATTAAACTATTGATTAATGTCAATCTGTCAGTGATGACAGCAGTAGTCATTAGACATTTAGTGAAAAGTGACAGGCGACAAGAAAAGTAGTCTGGTCTGCCTCTGTCAGTTTCCTGACTTACAACAGTCATGAAAATGAACGTTTCATGACGATTTTGGGTAAAATCCATTTTTCCATTACGTCTTATACGAATACTTAGTAGTTAAGGTATAGCATAAGTACCTATACACTACGCAATAAATAATGCTATGGTAGGTATATCGTTACCTTCATATTTACTTGTTACTAGAGTCAGTATACCTATGACAACGATAAAAATTTGAGGGGGTAAGACTGTAGAGGGACAAAAAACTATTACTTACATCGTATCACCCTGACAACAATTTGTTAAACTTTAGTCTGGTGAAATTTCTGATTTTTGATCTCGCAGAGATTACTTTTTTTTATCGTAAATTGGGTACACCACGAAGAGAAGTGTATAGTTCGTTGCAACCTAAATCTTGCAGGTAGTACAAAATAGGGATTGTTCTATTAGACAGCGATCAAAGACAAGCCCTAAGATGATTTGTTTCAGAATACTAAAGAAGCCAGCCACTTGCAAAAGGTTAATTAAAATGATACTCCTTGCGTTTATCTGGGTGCGAAAGTGATAGCGATGGTCGAAAGGTTAAACGTGATAAGTCGACATTCAGTATAAAATCGGCCGAGTGAGCTGTGATAGTTACATTTGGTTCAAGCAAGTTGACCGAAAATGACAAAGTTTGCAGTGTTCTTCGTGGCAGCTTTGGCTTTCCAAGTAAGTATTCAGCGAACTTATAATTGATAATTTTTCCTGACCGACCTTTTGTTAATAGGCCACCTTTGCTTTCCCCAAATACTTTGAGGAAGGAAAACTCGTAAACTACTTGGACGAAATCCAAACCGAAGTTAAGGATTTGACTCTTTTCCTCCGCAACGATTTCCCAGAAAACCATTTCGCCGTCAAGACCATCACCTGGCAATTCCGTCAACTTGCTGTTGTTGTTGATGAAATCATCAACAAGCTCCACGAAGAAGTGAGTAATGAGTAAGCCTAGTAAAAGACTATCGTAACCAATTTCCTTTTAGATCTTCATCCACGAAGTTGAAGGTCACCATGTCTTCAAACAAGTCACCTTCATGCTTAGAGAAATCCATTCTTCCCTCAAGAAGATGACTCTTTTCACCGAAATGTCCGACCTTCACGAGGTCAAGAAAGACTTCATCCTCTGTCTCGAAACCGTTTACGAAAACATCGAGAAATTGGTCCGTCTTACTTACACCACCTACCCCGAATTCCGTTTCACCCTCAAGTATCTTCTCGTCGACTTCATGACCACCCTTCACCACATCCGTTCCCACTTCGAACATTTGATGAAGACCGTCGAAGTTGAATTCACCCCAAAACACTTGATCACCATGATCCACGAATACACTCGTGAATGTACCGAAATGATCAAGGAATTCAACCACCCCATGCAAATGAAAGTCGCTCTCCGTGGATATTTGAGATACGTTCGTGAAATCGTCTACCTTTTGGAAAAAGAAGTAAGTTATTTAAATTTCGGGATTTACAACCGTATACTTATTGGGTTTTAATTTTTAGACCATCGTCGGAGAGAAGGAATTCGATCTCCTTATGCACACCCTCACCAACAAACTTCGTGAAATCGTCTTCCCACTCATGGAACTCACCATGACCGAAGAAATGATCGACATGAAAGTATTCAGAACCAAGTTCGTCACCTACCTTTTCGACATCGTTGGAACTTTCGAACAAATGATCCAATACTGCGAAACCAAGCATATCCGTAAGTGTTACGGTGATAGTACGATGGTCACAAGCTTATGGTTTTAATTTCAGCCGTCGAAATCAAGTACTTCATCGAAAAAATGATGTACAACTACTTGTACGCCGTCAAGAACGTCTGCTACGAAATGAGATTCGGTTCCAAAATCGGTTTCTACATGCCAGAATACTACACCATGAACTACTACGGCAAATACGGATACGGTCTCTACGAAACCATGTTCCGCAAGCACTTCTTGAACTACGATATGGGAATGCACCCTTTTCCCAATGCACAAATACTTCATGGGCAAATACGAAAAAATGTACACCCCAATGTTCACCAAGATGCACGATTTCGATATGGAATACTACAACAAATACGGAATGGAAATGTTCTCCCGCAAATACGGAATGAACAAATACTTCAAGGAAATGCCCTTCGAATTCGAAAGCAAGACCCCCAAGGAATTAGTTATGCACATGGAGATGCTCGTCAAGCGCGTCGTCGAACAATTCGAATACAGAACCATGAACGTTAACGACGAATCCACCCTTTACTACATTCGCGAATTCCTCACCTGCCTCGACCTCATCTACAACAGACTCGAATCCGTCACCTACACCGACATGATGGTCAGAGAATTCCTCATGAACCTTAAGGAAATGAAAATGGAACTCGAAAAGATGATCTCCATGCGCATGTTCCACAACGTTCACGAAATCAGAATGTACTTCGTCCGCTCTATCAAGATGGTCGCCACCGAATTGTACAGAATCGTCATGGTTGAGAAATTCGAAACCAAACACTTCGACCACGAAATGCTCAGACACATCCTCGCCGTATACATGAACTTCCTTACCAAATTCCACACCAAATACTCCGTATATGGTAGCGAATACATGATGCCCACCACCTTCGGCCTTAACACCCACAAGGAAATGATCGTGCGTATGCACACCCTCACCGAAAAGATCATGGAATCCTTCAAATATGACACCGTTGAAATGAAACATATGACCGTCCTCTACATCCGCAACTTCATCGAAATCATCGATTACGTCATCGAAAAAATGCACATCACCGTAAGTTACTTACCCGCCCTCATTGTTAAGTGCCCAATTTAAATCTCTCTCATTTTATTACAGATGATGGGCAAACTCGTCCGCGACGAAACCGTCATGCGCGATATCTTCATGCATCTTAAGCAAATGAGAACTGAATTCGAACACCTCCTTACTTTCGATGCCATGGACATGCACAAGATGACCATCCGTTTCGAAGAATGCTTGAGAATGTTCACCATGCAAATGGAAAAGTTGACCATGTTCGAAGTTGAATACCCAATCTTAGTCAAAGAGATCTGCATGCGTTACGTCATGATCCTCGAAAACTTCTACCACAAAATCTCCATGAGAGGAATGGAAGTCTTCCCCACCAAGAACTTCAGAACCATGTACCACGACGTTGACATGAAGAGAATGATGCCATTCCACTTCAACCAGGAAATGAAGTACTAAATAATCAAAAGATACACTGTAACACCTGAAATTCAATAAATTTCTGTTTTGTCATCAGTCTGAATTTTCTATGCGCAAATCCCTGTATTATGATAAGGCAAATTTCGAGTGATCTATACCCTTACTTCTTCTCTTCCACGAATAATTGCTTTTTATAGGAAGTATGTCTTTAGTTATAGATGGAGGGAAGAAGTCTGTCTTACAATGAAAGTTGTTTTTACTTCAACCTAGTCTATAACTTTTGATTGAGAAGTCTGATCGAAAAAGTACGAATTGATTTGGATTCTACGCACCCAAATTAATAAGAAAAAGTGTTTTCCCGAGAAATTTTGGTGTAGTCGATTTTTGATAAAAAAGGAAGGTTATACACTGCCTTTTTTGAGCCCCGAAAAAAAAATTGTCTCAGATCGACCCGGAAAAAAAATTTCTTATAGAATGTGGCCTGTAGAATCCATAACTTCAAACAGTTCCAAGATTGGGCTACTAGTTCAAAAGTTACAGCCCTTTGAATTTTTTTTCGAAATTGGTTTCTTCAACTTTAATTACAACCAATAGAAAATAAGCGTATTAAGTCTAATGGATTTTTTGTCACAGTTAAATTGGGTACCTACTACCGTATGCTATCCAAACCGATCTGAGGTTTGACACTAACCATGGTCACCAATCTTGATGCTGATTTTAACGTCAAACACGATTAAATTGAACAAGGAATCAGAACAAAATTAATGGAAATAATATAGGAAGAATTTGATACGTTTTAACCTTAAATTCCCAAAAAAATCTTCGATTGTTTTATTAGAGTTTGTTACCTTAATACATTATTTATGACAATAGAGAGATATAACTGAAATTTAATTTACGAAAGGCGAATGCGTAAAATTAACTTCTCCAAAAGTATGCAACTAGGTACATTCGCTTCAAAAAAATTCGTTCCCGGAATAGTTTCAAATCCAAAATATTTTCGAAAGTACTGAAAACTTCCTTGATATATCAAAATTCACACCCAAAAAACTTCACCGTTAGAAAATCCAATGCAGGTTGTTTCGTCTTGCCAAATGCATTCATCAGAACTCGCTACGAGGGTTGAAATTTCTGAGAGTTTAAGGGTTGAACCAGTTTAGGCACTACATGCCATCGAAATTGTACACGGTGTAATAATTAGAGGGTGCAATTTTCCATATCTATGGTGGAATTGAAATAATTAATTAATATTTTATTACCACCCGCGCGTTACTAAGGAAGGCATTGGAGTAAAAAATTATCTTTTTTTGACGGAAATACACGTTCTGAAGCACCAGGAATCCGAATCAAACAAAATCTCGATGATGTCGTTATGTCTGTCTGTACTCTCATTTCCGGCTAAATGGCTGAACCGATTGGAACTAAATTTGGTTCACGCATTCCTACACATAAAAGGTGAGGGGCTGGTATCTGCACTAGCCGCAGCAAATTTGTTTACATGCAATGACTGGCTACTATATCAGCTACTTAAGACGATACAAATGTTGCCGAGAAAGCACTAGGTCTTGGCGGAAGGGAAGAGTTTTACCTTTTTTAGGCTGTGCTCATTTGGCAAAGGTTAAAAATATCTGATTATCAATGGACATTTCTTCTACTGATGCTTTATACATATCCAGCAAAAGTTCGGGAAAGTTTGTTGTTTAGTAATGGGCTATACAGTAGGGATGTAACGGAAGTGGTTACATCGGAATCGAATTCGGAAGCGGAGTTTTTAAATTTGGTTTATCGGAGCCGAAATCGGAATCGGAATCGAAAGTGCAAAATCAATCGGAAGTTCCGCTCTTTCGGAATCGGAACCGAAGCTCCGTTACATCCCTACTATACAGTACTGGATTGGCGTACTTTGAAGCCCGAATTTGCTTCGAAAATGTAGGCATTCTCGAGCGATATCAGAAAAAATTAATTTTTTAAATCTTAGTTTTATTATTGAGTTGGGTAAAAAGTTATCCTAATTGTCTAGAATGACCCACTTCTTTCTTACGACTGTAGCACGATACTAACAACAGTGTGTCACTTATTGGTCAATTAACTGAAGAATAAAGTGAAATACGCCTTTTAGACGACCTATGCAAAAAAATGTAAAAATACGTTTTCTGGGGGGCCCACTTTTTGACTACGAATACTAGTTAAGGCATGGCATAGTACCTACTTAATGCACAATAAATAATGCTATGGTAGGTTGTTACCATCATATTTACTTCTTATTAGAGGAGAACGATACAAATTTGAGGGGGTGAGAGGGACAAAAACTATTGCGTTCGTCGTATTACCCTGGCAACAATTTGCACACGCACTTGTTAATCTTAAGTCTGGTGAAATTTCTGATTACTGACCTCACAGAGATTACTTTTTTTTATCGTAAATTGGGCGCACCACGAAGAGAAGTGTATAGTTCGTTGCACCCTAATTTTTGCGAAGAATAGAAAATGGGAATTGCTCTATTAGATCGCTGCCGCCAAACCCTAAAATCATTTGTTTCAGAATAATAAAGAATCCAACCATCTGCAAAAGGTTAATTAACGATACTCCTTGCGTTTATCTGGGTGCGAAAGTGATAGCGATGGTCGAAAGGTTAAATGTGATAAGAAATTTAGTATAAAACCGCTCGACTGAGCTGTGATAGTTACATTTGGTTCAAGCAAGTTGACCGAAAATGGCAAAGTTTGCAGTGTTCTTCGTGGCAGCTTTGGCTTTCCAAGTAAGTAATCGACTGAACTTATAATTTATCATTTTTCCTGACTGAACTTTTGTTAACAGGCCACTTTCGCTTTCCCCAAATACTTTGAGGAAGGAAAACTCGTAAACTACTTGGACGAAATCCAAACCGAAGTTAAGGATTTGACTCTTTTCCTCCGCAACGATTTCCCAGAAAACCATTTCGCCGTCAAGACCGTCACCTGGCAATTCCGCCAACTTGCTGTTGTTGTTGATGAAATCATCAACAAGCTCCACGAAGAAGTGAGTAATGAGTAAGCCTAGTAAAAGGCTATCGTAACCAATCTCCTTTTAGATCTTCATCCACGAAGTTGAAGGTCACCATGTCTTCAAACAAGTCACCTTCATGCTTAGAGAAATCCACTCTTCCCTCAAGAAGATGACTCTTTTCACCGAAATGTCCGACCTTCACGAGGTCAAGAAAGACTTCATCCTCTGTCTCGAAACCGTTTACGAAAACATCGAGAAATTGGTCCGTCTTACTTACACCACCTACCCCGAATTCCGTTTCACCCTCAAGTATCTTCTCGTCGACTTCATGACCACCCTTCACCACATCCGTTCCCACTTCGAACATTTGATGAAGACCGTCGAAGTTGAATTCACCCCAAAACACTTGATCACCATGATCCACGAATACACTCGTGAATGTACCGAAATGATCAAGGAATTCAACCACCCCATGCAAATGAAAGTCGCCCTCCGTGGATATTTGAGATACGTTCGTGAAATCGTCTACCTTTTGGAAAAAGAAGTGAGTTATTTAAATTTCGGGATTTACAACCGTATACTTATTGGGTTTTAATTTTTAGACCATCGTCGGAGAGAAGGAATTCGATCTCCTTATGCACACCCTCACCAACAAACTTCGTGAAATCGTCTTCCCACTCATGGAACTCACCATGACCGAAGAAATGATCGACATGAAAGTATTCAGAACCAAGTTCGTCACCTACCTTTTCGACATCGTTGGAACTTTCGAACAAATGATCCAATACTGCGAAACCAAGCATATCCGTAAGTGTTACGGTCAAAGTATTATGGCCACAAGCTTATGGTTTTAATTTCAGCCGTCGAAATCAAGTACTTCATCGAAAAAATGATGTACAACTACTTGTACGCCGTCAAGAACGTCTGCTACGAAATGAGATTCGGTTCCAAAATCGGTTTCTTCATGCCAGAATACTACACCATGAACTACTACGGCAAATACGGATACGGTCTCTACGAAACCATGTTCCGCAAGCACTTCTTGAACTACGATATGGGAATGCACACCCTTTTCCCAATGCACAAATACTTCATGGGCAAATACGAAAAAATGTACACCCCAATGTTCACCAAGATGCACGATTTCGATATGGAATACTACAACAAATACGGAATGGAAATGTTCTCCCGCAAATACGGAATGAACAAATACTTCAAGGAAATGCCCTTCGAATTCGAAAGCAAGACCCCCAAGGAATTAGTTATGCACATGGAGATGCTCGTCAAGCGCGTCGTCGAAAACTTCGAATACAGAACCATGAACGTTAACGACGAATCCACCCTTTACTACATTCGCGAATTCCTCACCTGCCTCGACCTCATCTACAACAGACTCGAATCCGTCACCTACACCGACATGATGGTCAGAGAATTCCTCATGAACCTTAAGGAAATGAAAATGGAACTCGAAAAGATGATCTCCATGCGCATGTTCCACAACGTTCACGAAATCAGAATGTACTTCGTCCGCTCTATCAAGATGGTCGCCACCGAATTGTACAGAATCGTCATGGTTGAGAAATTCGAAACCAAACACTTCGACCACGAAATGCTCAGACACATCCTCGCCGTATACATGAACTTCCTTACCAAATTCCACACCAAATACTCCGTATACGGTCGCGAATACATGATGCCCACCACCTTCGGCCTTAACACCCACAAGGAAATGATCGTGCGTATGCACACCCTCACCGAAAAGATCATGGAATCCTTCAAATATGACACCGTTGAAATGAAACATATGACCGTCCTCTACATCTTCAACTTCATCGAAATCATCGATTACGTCATCGAAAAAATGCACATCACCGTAAGTTACTTACCCGCCCTCATTGTAAAGTGCCCAATTTAAATCTCTCATTTTATTACAGATGATGGACAAACTCGTCCGCGACGAAACCGTCATGCGCGATATCTTCATGCATCTTAAGCAAATGAGAACTGAATTCGAACACCTCCTTACTTTCGATGCCATGGACATGCACAAGATGACCATCCGTTTCGAAGAATGCTTGAGAATGTTCACCATGCAAATGGAAAAGTTGGCCATGTTCGAAGTTGAATACCCAATCTTAGTCAAAGAGATCTGCAAGCGTTACGTCATGACCCTCGAAAACTTCTACCACAAAATCTCCATGAGAGGAATGGAAGTCTTCCCCTCCAAGAACTTCAGAACCATGGAACGCGAAATGATGCCTTTCCGTTTCAATCGCTTCAATAAGTATTAATTCCGTTTGGGAACTGTGACATTTTGTAAAAATTAAACGATCCTAGAGCTTTTCATAGTTACACGTTTTATGTTGGAACCTCCTATTCCCATTGATTTTTTCCAAAATTTGAAGATGCATACAAATCAATAATGATTAATAATAATGAAGATAATAATAATGCATTTATTTTCACATCATGACAACTTCGAAACAAAGGCTGAGAGTATAATAAGGTGACCAAAGCAATTACCTAAGCTGTGTGGTGAAAATCACAGGGGATGTTGGTTCAGTCGTTGCAAATAAATGCAAGTTCTGATCTATACCACCAATTCCCTGAGGTTGTGTTTGCTAAACTTTATTTTTATTCCTTCCGTTTACTGACTTACATATACAGTATGTTCTACAAAAGGGACCCACGACTGTAGCGACTATAATTGTTTTTTTATTTCATAAAACAACATACAACGCAAACGCGACGCTTTCACTCTGAACAGTCCTGTGTTCAATGCAATTTCACGAACTTAACAACCATTGGGTTCAAACTTTGAACATATGTAGGTACAGATGTTTAAAGTGTGCAAATCTATCGGGAAAAAGATACGCGTAAAACCTTTGCGCTTGAGAATTGGCATGTTTGCAACCTGCGAATTGCACATTCACATCTGTAACTCGCTCAGTCAACCATTATGTATATGTATTAATTACTGAATGGTTTTTTTTAACTACTTTCCTCTAAATGGGGCTGAGTGCTATCAAAGATTAAGAAAAATCGTATCTCAAAGCCTTCCCCATAAATGTATTGTTGTGCTATTAAAACACGACTATAGTTTCGGCGATAATAGCCATCATCATCAGGTGAAATTTATTATTATTGATGGAAGGTGTTGTTCTAAAGGTTGAACATTGAAGACGGATTGAAAATGAATAGATGGTGCCTAATAGGCCACCCTCTTCGGTTTTAGAGCCTTTAAATGGTGCATTTAAATATTTGTCTGTGCCGTAAAATTTAAGTTTCAACACATTCCATCTTCAATGTGTCAAAAATTTCAAAAATGTAGTCAACCTTCTTTAATTAGTCAATAACTGTCCGGATGGTCGTCTTTAATGAGGCCACCCTCTCCGGTTTAAGAGCCCTTAATTTTGGCGTTGCAATATTCGGGTGTGCCGACAAAAAAGGTGTAACTTCGGCACCATCTATTCATTTTTAACCCGTCTTCAATGTAACCTTCACACAAAGCTTTACAACAACATCTTCCATCAATAGTAATTAATTTCACCTGATGATGGCGATTATCGCCGAAACTACGAGTATAGTCGTGTTTTAATAGTACAACAATAAATTTATGGGGAAGGCTTTGAGATCAGATTTTCTTAATCTTTGCTGAATTGTTCTAGTTTCTAAAACAGCATTTTTCTTAATGGGAAGTCACGTTCCAGTAGTTCTTCTACCTTACCACCTCTACTATTTCTAACCTATGAACCTCATACAGGACTGTGTGCATTGATCCAATCGATTTTCAAGATCTGCCCAATCATCCCTCGGTAGGTATCTCGACTGCATATTGATACCACACTCGGGTGAAACCGTCTCCTCATCCATCAGAGATGTAATACTCCACTTTCTTGATAGGGGTTGAGGTAGCGACTTTTTTCGCTTTGCTCCCCGAGTCTCCATCTACATATTGTCTGCTTCGGAGGTGCAAGAAGATTCAGTATACCAGGTTTGAACTTCTCCTCGCCGGCTTAGTTATTGGCTATCCTTAAAACAGGTCGAGGCTACTGTCAAACTATAGCGGAGAGTATTTCCATTAACGTTCCCATTTCTTCTTTAATAATTTTTCTAATTTCAGGGTCAATATGTTTGACAGATTCGGATGCCGCACCCCGTCTGGACGCAAATTATGAAAAACTAGTACACTAGAAATGGTTGGATAAATGCACTTAGTTTCAGGATTACGTAAACGCGAATTGTAAACGACACATAAAATATTAACAAGCCCATGATAAAACTGCAATTAACTTGAGAAGATTATAAGATCGCGGGGTCATCGTCAGTGCGATACATTATCGAAGTGTATCACTATAATTCCTTCCGAAGGAATGATAATTTTGGGTGTGTTTTTTGTCGCCGTTTTGACGTCAGAGGTTAAATAACACGAGCTTCTTTTACCATCCTCATTCTTCTCGTTTTAGGGCGTCTTCTCTGGAACCACCAAGTACGATGACGATTTCTCCTTTATTGAAGTATGGGAAGAAATCGAAGAGGAGATCAAGCAAGTTACTTTTCATTTGAGGAATTCCATAGAGGATCAGCGTGAGTATGTCCAGCCGGTTGTTGAGCAGTGTGAAAAGCTGGCAACTATCACCGGTAACGTGATTGGACAACTGGAGGAGGAAACGATTGATCACGAAATGGGGGACATAATCTTCAAGCGCGTGATGTACCTTTTTCACGAGGTGTACAACGCTTTACACCGCGTTGGCTTGCTTCACAACGGCTTTGAGTTAAAAAGCGGGCTAATCTACAACTTGGAGGTAACTAGCGAATACATGGAGCAGTTAGTTTACATCGCAAAGACATACTGTCCACAACTACGTGCCGTTTTGAGAACCCTATTGGTCGACATTTTAAGAGGCGTCCAAGGGTTTCCCAAACGTGCGGGAATACTAGAGCAAAACGTGATTATTTACGAAAGTCCAAACCGTATGGTATCCCAAATTAAAATACTCACCGAGGAGTTCATCCGTCTTCTCAATGAGTGCGAACACATCGAAGAAGCCCGAATGGTATTTCGCGGATTTACAAGATACCTACAAGAAATTGTCCAAAAGCTATATGTCGCCGCAATTCCGGACATTAGAGTCACGGACATTACTCAAAACTTAGAGTTGATGATAAAGACTCTCACCGAATTAATTTCACGAGAGAGTTCAAACATTGAGCGCTTTAAAAAAGAAATTGCCGTTGAATTGGGTGATGTGAACGAAGCATTTGAAAGATTGTTAGTGTTATTAAATACCGATGGCTGTTGTAAGTATTTGCTAAGCTCACACTTAACCTTCTTCCGTGTGCTTTCAGCGGCGGGCCTCAGGAGTTTTCTGGAGACCGTTATCTATTTCTACTACTATTCGATTAAACAAACTCATTTCGAAATTAGAACCGCATATAAAATCGCGTTTTATGGACGTGCCGAGTTTTCGGAAGGAGACGATTCTCTGGGAGGCGATCTTTTCGAAATTGCTACTCCAAAAGAGTCTGTAATCAAAATTCAAAGGCTCATCAAAGAGGTCATACCTATTGCTGATCGTCAGCAATTTGTTGAAACTCTCGAACGCATGGCTGCCAAAATTGACGCCGAGGTAAGGCATTTGACCGCACTATAGCCTTCTCACCTTGCATCAGATTAAAACAGGTCACTTATTACGCACGGAAATTGCAATGGGTGCACTCTCTCGGTTGTTGAAGACCCAGGCCAGTTCTAAGGGGGACCTTGCGGAAGTTGCTGAAACAGTTGCAGGCGAGCTAGCTAAGCTTGCCGTGATCGATAAGATGCAGAACAACGGCTTTGAGCATCTCTTACTGAAAGAGATTTGCATGGACTTTTTAGACTGCTTGCGTGGTGTCGTAGTATCTGCGGAAGCACTTGTTGCAGAGATTCAAAAAGTTGTCAGTTCCTTTAACAAACTAAACGATACCCTAATTACTGATTATTGCCTCCGCGAGTTTAGCAAGGTGCTCGAATATGTTTCGGACAAAATTGACAAAGAGGTACTTACCTACCTAAATTGGAACAACCCCACTATCATATTGTTACAGGTAAAAGTGGGGCATCTACCCAACACCGAAGAGATCATGCGGAAATTTTCTGCGTACCTAAAAATTGTGAAAAGCGGTCTGGATGGCGGCGGGGAGCGGTACGAGTTTCGTGACGTGGCTGGGATGGTGTCCTTGGAATTGGGTCAAGTGATTATGACTGAGAAGGCTCAAGGCGGAAAGTTCGAGGATCTCGTGCTCAAAGATGTTTGTCTTCAATTTTTGAACTTTTTCCGTAGCATTTCCTATAACCTGCAGTTGTACCATGACAAAATCGTTTAAAATTTTAAAATAAATTCATTATCACTATTACATTCCAACTGATATAATCAGGGACCTTTGCATTATGCGATATTAAATTTGCGGTCAGTGTCACAATGAGTGTGTTCGCCTTTGCGTTTCTTGTGGTGCTCGTTATTCAGGTGAGGCAAAATTCAAAGATAGGTCAAACTTATCGCGGTATTAGGCTTCCAGTGTGGAGATCAAGCAGATCGTTGCACAAATTGAAAATACTCAAAATAAGCTTCATTTGTACAACTCCACTGTGCAAGTTTTGAGTGCGATTAAAGAAAATTTGATTTTCAATCTTCAATGGCATGACGGCCTTAACTTAAGAGAACTGAAAAATATTTATGAATGTTACAAGAGCGAATATGAGGAGGTCATAGGATCTGATCTAGGACATTATTCGCCTTTGTCCGCTAGCACTGCTGCAATTGAAGTACTACCACATCCAACACCTGGTGAAGAATGGCGTATTCAACACGAGCTGGCTTACAATACGTGGCAGAAACTAGTTGCAAGCTTTGATCTAAATAACAAGCTAGCTCAAAAGGTAATATCGTGGCAAACGATGCAGGAATTACGGGATCTTCCAAACTTAAATACGGCCACTCTTCAATTGGAAGACCTTCGGATGATCGTCAACGGTGAGTCGCCTAAAAAACTTGCCGATGAACTTGTGGCCGCTCTTCGCATAGCCAAGCGATACCCTCGAATCGGCGCATTTCTCCAAGCTGTTGATACATTCGCCCATTTCATCCAGACCCGCCTACAGCACACCCCTAGTCACGCATCTCTCCTGGCCGAAATCTCAACCACGTTACTCAAAGTAATATCCGTAAGAACGCCGAATTTCGACGAATGTATAGACGCAACAGCCGAAGCAGTCCAAAAACTAGCAATCTTAGCCCAAGGCGAGCTCGAAGAAACCCCCCAATCCGCTCACGTCGAATTATTCATGGGAGGATTCAGCAATCTTCTTGTCATCTCCCGCAATCTTTTAACTGGCTCGAAGACATCCCACCTCGACTTTACGCTTGATACTCTCACGCACACAATCGAGGCCATCTTTCCGGGGAAAACACTGGTAAAGCAAGCGCTGGCAATTGAAGCTCTCTTTCTTAAGCGAAATTTGCTAATGTTTCACCACCATGCAAACTTCAGTTGCCTGAGGGACCTACACACTTTTAGGACAACACAAACTCGCCAGTTGATCTCGGAAATTTCCGCAGAAGTGCGACGCGCCGCATTTGCGGTGGAGGAAGAGAACCTCCTCCCATTACTACAAGCGTTAGCTGTAAGAATGCAAAATATTTTTCGGATGAGTCACGAGGACAACTTGCAAGTTTTATTTCTGCACACATGCTCAACGTGTACGGGGATTGAATTCATCGAATTGGCACAAAAGTTGGTCATTGGTAAGAAACAAGGAGCAGTAGTTCACATTTACTGGTTAATCTGTTGCAGATTCGTATAGCTCTCCCGCTAAAGGCAAGTCTGCAATGGCACTATTAAGGAGGACGCTTGGTGAAGTACAAGAGACGTGTCTCACACAACTTTGGCTTAATGAAATTGCATAAGGATGTTAATAAAATTATGAAATCCAAATTGTAGTTTTAGCATTTTTTCACACTTGCTTGTAACGAGAGCATTTACTTGCGTAAAATTTGTTGAGATTTTTCCCTTTGAAATATATGAGGAACAAAAATTGCCAAAGTTTCAAGAACATTCCACCAAACAAAATATTACTCCTAATTGCTTCGAGTATTTAATTTGTCGATTGTGAAACTACTTAGTAACGAAGCGCCCAACTTCTAGATATTTAGTTTCTTAAGATTCCCAATGTCATTGGAGTGGCATTTTTGTAAGGGCGATTCGATTCCTCCACAGAATTTGCGTCAAGTCCTTCTTTTGGACCTTCCTATAGCGGAACTGTACGCGGGTAGGGCGCTTCTGTACTCCTTCCATGTTTCTTTGCGCATCTGTCGGTTTTGTTGAATAGTCTTCTGACTTATATTAGCCCTCATATACATGCCATTTAGTTAAGTTTGTCCCAATTAGCGGAGTTGAGAGAGTAATACCTCCAGCATAATTTTTTTTGAGAAAGGTGGCTTTTTTGCTCCTGTTTGCTATTTCAAGTGAGGTACTACAAAATACCCCTACTGCATGACGAAACTGGGTTGCCGGGAGCACTGTTTTTGATATGTTTTATGGTTTGTAGTCTACAATTCGAATAGCCCTAATATGAAATGTTTAGAAATAAATTCCTTTTGTCAGTAATAGTTTCACAAGCTGGATTTAGTCAATAATAGTACACAAATTTACTCATAACATAACTTTTCTGTTACTCCAAAATTAGTGCAACACAGTTCCTAAACATTCAATTGTATTCACTTCCGCTTATTAACTAAAAACATTGCTCCCCTATTCCTTATTTATCTGGCATACCCTTCGACTTAAATCACCCCATTATGATCTTACATTTATTTTAGCTATAAAATGTTAGTAGCACATTAACTTTTAATATCTAAATGTTAAAATTACAAGATTGATAATAGAAAAATAGCTTCATTAACATAATAAATAAGGGAATGTGTGAATAGAAAAATAACAAAACTATTTCTCATTCTCTTCCTTAGATACGTTTAACTGACTAATTTTCTCTGTGACCTCCTCGGCGCACTTATTCAAATTGTTCTCCTTAAAATCGTTTATATAGAGATCACACTTGGTTTTTACAATATTTATACATTCCTCAAACTTCTCTTTGAACAGGTTCGCATCTGAAAATCGACCGTCAGTATTACGCTCCGCAAGTGAATGACTTACGTTCCACGCTAGCAAACTTGATAGCGAGACATTCCGACTTTATTTCCTCATCAGCAAAGTCGGCGGCTACGGTGTAGACAAAAGCTTTGTCGGTGCCCGCGCTCGGTTTCAGTTCCATCCAAGGTGTGATAAAGTGATTGGCGCAAACCTTGAAGGTTTTATCGCGTCTCATAACGATACGCACGCTATTATTCTGTTTGTGCTGCAAGAACTTCACCTCGCCGGTCCCACGCTCCTGAAATTATGACCGCAAGGTAAAGCTCAGTTATTTAAGATTAGTCCACTACCTTCCACTCGGGCCCTTCTTCATTTGATGAATCAAAACGATACAATTTCGCCCTAACTTTCAGCAGAAGATCTTGAGTTTCCTCGTCAGGTACAACCTTAACTTCTGGAAGAGTGATAATCGGTTCAAAATGTGGATCTACGTCAGTATCCGACGTAGCCGAACTACCACTAAGGGTACGATCTCTGGTGTTATTCTAAAACGTGGTGGTAATCAAAACACGTTGAGGTTATGTCACTTACAATCGCTTCGGTCATCTTTTGAGTTATCTCGTTAATTCGATTGTAATTTATTCTGTTAATTGCAAACTCTATTTTCTTTATCACCTTGAAGTGTAGACAGACATTTAAACAAAACAGTTGGAGATACAAATACAACAGTGTAATGCGGCTTTCAAATGCAGTGTTGCCAGATTTGGAAAATGTTGTGGCTTATGGCATTGTCAAAGACATGCCGCCATTTTTAACAATCGTCCCATTACCTAAATTTCTGTGGCCACTCAAAAGCTTTCCAGACTCCTTTTGGTAAAGAGTAGACTCACTTTACAACCATGGCGAGTCATTACGGGACTCTGGAAAACGGTAGAAAGATTTGTAGAGGTCTCCCGGGTAGCTATACACTTCAACGCATTCTAGGGGTTTTCCAAACTTAAAGCATTTCTAGAGCTATTTAGCCCTCTATCTGAGTTGCATAGGTCCTTCTCACAATGATCTGAACCCAGAAAATTTGATCTGTCTCTTTTAAAATCTGAGATTTCCTTCCCTCTCTAAAAGACGAGCCTTTAACGAGTCTCTAAATTCATTAAAGGTCTTCCTACGCCTTTAACGGTTCCTAACAACGACCAAAAGAACTCAAAGAGTCTAAGAGAATTTCCTAAACGCTTTTAGAGGAATTTTAGGAGTTTGCATGAGGCCCAACAAATTTTCAAGAGCTTCGAAGCGAGTCTAAGATTGTTCTATACGCTTTGACAGACTCTATTTAAGTTTCAGAGTCTTTAAAAATCCTGAATACTACTTAACAATTTTTAAAAGGTCTCTTTTAAGGAATTTCACGAGGCCTTGAGTACATTCGAAAACATGTATGAACGTTTAAAGCCGGAACCTGTAAAGAATATAAGACCTTAAGCCCTCCAAAGATGTTCAAGAGACTTTTCATCAACATTTAGTGTTTAAGAACCTCTTTAACGCGTTTGAAAAATGAAAACCGGACCATAAAGAGTCTTAAGACCATGGAGAAGCATTTATGAATTCTTAAGGCTTAAGTTCAAAATCTATTAAGAGCCTTTTAAATGTTTTTAGTCTTTATGAAGTTATTGTCGTTTATAAATCTTTGAAGCGTTTTTTATTGTGGTCTATTTAAAATTAAAAAAAAATGGATTACACTGTAGATCTTTACAAGTGTTAATCATGTTTAACAAATAGAACCTTTAAGAGGCTTTAATGATGTTTAACAGCATTTAAAAATGACAAATGGTCTCCAAGGGTTTCCAAGAGTCTCCCAATGATCCCAAAAAACGCCCAAAGAGATTCCAACGACCCTCGATAATTTTTTAAACCGTGACATTCTCTCTCCTCTCTAATAGCCCAGACTTCTCTGAGTCTTGAAGACAATTTACTAGCTTAACGGGTGTCTAAATCCATTGAAGGTCTTTAGAAGTATTTAAGAATCATGGACCGGGCCCCTAAAAAGACTCAAGAGTACACGAGAACACCATCAAGGCTTTTAGAATATTTAATCTTTGAGCCAAATATTTTCAAAACCCTTAAAAGTGACTTCAAGAATTTTCCAGGCGCAGCTCTCAAAAAATCTTTAATAACTTTGTTGCAAACGTTTTCATCGAAAATGCATATAAGTTCATCTTTTTGGCCATCCACCTTTCCACCTTTTAAAAGTATTTGAAATCTTTGAGCCATTTTGGAATCTCGTAGAAGTTTTATTACAAAATCGTATTGCTAATTTTGGAATGGTCTTATAATAAAAAAACACGTCTTTTACACTCTTCCAATAAAACGTCAAAGCAGATCAGCAGAAAACACGTAAATGAAAAAAAAAGAGATTGATCGATTTTATCAATCCGCATTCTTTAGAAACTTTTGGGCTCCACTGCAGCTTTTTAATTACTAAGCCAAATGTTGAGAAACCCCTAACAATCTGATGACGCGAGGGGTGGAACACTATAAAGATCAGTTCGACGGATTCTGTAGCCCATTTTCATTCAGCCGCCACTTGTGTGCAGTACCTACCGTAGTGAATCTAATATGTAAGTAATATTTCTTTTTAATTGACTATTTATTAATTAATTTATAATAATTAACGCCAAAGAAGTTCTTTCTCCAAGTTTTATCGAGGCAAATTGATGGTTACCTTACGAAATACCCGCGCTTTTTAACGGTTTTTTCTAAAATTTTCAAGTACCAATAGGGGTTGTTCTAAACTCGTCCACCCTTGGAATACCTAAATTTAATTATTATTATTTAGTTATTTTGTGAAAAAATCATCAATTTAGGCAATTATGGGCAAAAAAGTCGTTTTAATTTTTTCGTAACTGTCGACATCTCTCGGTGGAAAAACTTGAACAAAATGTCCGTTCCACCCTGTGTTGTTTCCACGTGTCTAATAAAATGTGAGGTTATTGTATTTGATCCCACTTGATTTCTTTGCTCTTATATTATTCTTTGTAGGCTTCTTTGCAAAAAAATGCCCTAATCCCAATCGAAGCAACCATCCGTTTTCTATTTTGTAAATTGTTGAAATATGCAAGTACCTGTGACAGGTAGAATGACAGGTGCACCTGTGGGTGTGTACCTACCTTTAGGAACAAAAGATCTTTATGTACCTAGTGTTATCGTATCTTTGTCAATTTCATTGAGCAGGTCACGGTGCACCCACTGACTTTTTTTATTATTTAGATCAGTGAGAGGCACCACAGCTAGTGACGCAATGCTGTACTAGTTGTCATTGTCATACTAACCGTATCACTAAATATTTCCTGTAGGAACACTACCCAAAGATTAACAAAGTTATATGTAAATAGCACGATGCTACCATAGTAGATAATTTCCGAACTTATGTAACTGATTTTTTGCTGCAATTATAATTCTTTTATTTTACGAGGTAGCGGTGATTTGTATCTGGCCTCTACCATTACAATATAAAGCGTCACAATACTTTGAAACCCAATTTTGAGAACATAATTTTATTATTGTTGTACTAGGGGTACCAGTCTGTTGCTGTACTGTGACCTTTTGGTCTACTGTGCAGTGTGCTTCCCGGTATTGTCTTCCCTTCAAGCATACCTGTATCTTTAACAAAGTTCAGGATTTTTATAGGGCGAAACTTCCTCTTCATTATTTTCTCATTTTCAAGTAGGTGCCCTTGCCTTTGTATTTCTTCTTCCATGCCACAAATTCCGCTGACAATGTTCCACCAGTTTGGTAACTTCTATCATAATTCTGTATTATAATACTATGCTTCTATATGTTTGGTGGCGGATAAGGTTGATTATACAAGGAGGTATGCGAGCATACGCCCCCTCGTGCTCCCATTTTGTCCACTGTTAAGCATTACTGTCACCAGGTCCCTGCCACATGCATGACCTGAGATTGATTTCCATTGCCACGCTCTTTTCAGTCCCAGACCTCATATTAGCCCTTTGTAGTTCCTAAGGTTCTTGTACCCGAATTACATCAATATGATGTTTGCAGATTAATTGGTCCTACTTTTACCATTAATAAAATAGTAAAATCGCGGGTTTACCTACTAAAGTGAGGTGGATGGCACAGTTGGTTGTGTGAGGGCCCCTCAACTGCTGTATTGTCTCTTCACACTCTATGCTTGCTATCTCCTCGCCTTCCACCTTCGTTTTGGAAAAGAGCTTGAACGTCGCCCCAGTGAATTTCAAGTAGGGTCGATGGTTGCTAGCCTGAAAACGCAGGTACACCATCTTGTGGTAGCAATTGAAACATTTGTACCGGATTATTGACTATAGTATATTTTGACGTATGTAATGTGACGTTTCATAGTGGTAACATATTGTTTTCTCATGGCCAACATTTTTATAATTCATTTATATAGTTATCAAGATCAAGAAAGAAAGAAAGTTTATTATTTTCCAAAGCACAAAAAAACAGAAAGAAAGAAATAAAAATAATACATTTAAATAATTTTAGAAAATATTAGAAGGTATACTTTATGCTATAGCAAAAAAACTTAAACTGTGCCTATTAAAAACAATCTTGTGTGTGCTTGTTGCAAGATACAAAATGTAGTGAATAACCCGGTACATCTGAAAAAGTAAAGTCGATTATTTTATGCATTACTAAGAAAAAAATAAAGGAGAAACGTCAATTTTGGCACTTTTTGTCCTATCCTTTATTTAAAAACAGGTTGATTTATAGCGCATTTCCTTAAGTGGTCGAAGTCGACCTTGGGTTGTACTTTCGTCTGTTCTTCAAAACACTATTTACTGGAGAGTATTCCTAGCTTAAAGTGATGGTAACAGGTCTTCTATAGAACCAACAAAATATCTTCTCCGTTCTCCCGTCTTTCCACCATTTGACTGCCCGCGACTACTTGCTTTTTCTCGTGCTTTACTGTTCATCTGAAATGTCTTTGACTGTTCACTATTCTGGAAATATCTTCAGATGAAATGTACAAAACCTTCTTGTCTGAATTCAGTTTCGAATGTTGCGGTGAGCCACGTCCTTTTTTAAATTCAGATAAGTTCGGGTTACAGCAAAAAGGGTTTGAAAGTATAACGTTGTGATCTTGCTTTCAGACAACTACAATGGAATTAAACTTAGATATTAGCACGTATACAAAATTCGAAAACCTCGACGCCTCCATCGAGCAATGCGACCAAGTGGAAACCCCTCCGGAAACGGAGAACCTGTCCGGATCATTCACTAGTTTAAGACTTGACGGTCAAGTACAAGTGCTTCCGCCCGTACGGAACATTAACGAACAACAGTATAGACACTTGCTACCCACCTGGTCTAAACGTGACGAATTCCTAACGACAGTTTCCCAACATTCGACGACGGCCGTGATTTCCGAACCCGGTTCAGATAGAAGCACACAATTCCCTCAGTACATTTTGGAGCAAATGCGTGCCGAAAGACGTCCGTGCAAGATTATCTTTTCGCAACCGCACCGTTTGGTCGCATTCGCTCTAGCCGAGAGGGTGAGCATGGAGCGTGGTGAAGCTTTAGGGAACACTGTCGGATATCAGATGCCTCTAGAGTCCAGTTACGGTTTAAGCGTCGCGTTAACGTACTGTACCAATGCGATACTGATGAAGACTCTCATGAACCGTCACCCGGACTATTTTCTGCAAGTCACGCATATATTCGTCGATGATATTCAAGATGAGGATAAGTTTCTGCTTCGTTGTCTCAAATCGTTACACCACCATCACGGTAGTTTAAAGATAGTACTAATGGGATACAAGTCGCACGTGGAACGTGCCCAATTTTTCTTCGACGACATCGGCGAGGTGCACGTGCCCGGTCGGCAGGGAGGATTGAAGCCGCTGTATCTTGCCGAAATCTTGAAAGAGATATCCTTACCTTTTGGATGCGACGATCACTACGACCCTGGCCAAATCAACTACGAGTTGATCGCGAAGCTGATCGATTTGATTTTTCATGGGAACCGAGGAACAACTTTGGTCATTTTGCCAAGTTATGAGGAGATAGTTGCCTGCAGGGAAAGTCTGATTAAGATGATCACATTCGACTTGAATCATTTACAGTTCGTCACCCTACACTCCAATATGTCTATTCACGAGTATCAAAACGCACGGAAATCAATCCGAGATATGTTTCAGGTCATTTTGGCGGAGAGCTTTGTGGAGAGCGGATGTGTGGCGTTGGATATCGTTTACGTCATAGACTGCGGAAGGGAAGTACGCAGAGTTTACAACAATGTAAGTGCCTATGTACTATTATCGTACTACACAACCAATTATTTCAGGCGACGCGCACCACTGACTTTAACTGCGGTTGGATTACCCGAGAGCAGTCCAACCAACGCGCCGCAATTGGCAATAATCAACTTTGCTTCCACCTGTGTGCAGAGGAATGTCTCGATTTGGCGGCGGAATACGATGGTCCTCCGCTTCACGTAAGTGGCGCACTTGGTCTGTTCGGATCGTTTCACTCTCACTTGCAGGAGATATGTTTGCAAGCCAGTAATTTGCAATGCGAATTTTACAATGTCTCCGAGTATTTCGCCTTTACATTCCGCAATGCAGTGCCAGACCTGATTCGCTTAGGCGCCATGAATAAAAGGGGAAAAATTACACCTTTGGGAAGGATGCTGGCTCAATTTCCCTGCGAACCGAGGCTGGCAAAAATGCTATGCTATGGTGTTGTGCTTAAGTGTTTGGACCCGGTTCTTAGTATTGTTGCTTTTCTTTTTTACAAGTAAATATTATTCATGTTTGGAACAAAACTGTCGAGACGGTGGGAGTACAATCAATTTTTTTTTCTAGAAATCCATTTCAAGATCAGGCTTTAGAGCGAGAGGGCTTGGATGTGGTACTTGGTATGGCAGGGAACCACTTAAGTGATCATCTGGTCTTACTTCGCATGTTCCAGCAGTGGCAGGTTTGTATATTTTCGTCTTAAGTTGTACCACTTTTTTTTTGTAGAATAGGAAAGCTAAACACACAACTTGCAACTCTAACAATTTTGTGAATTGGCACATAGTGGAAGTTGTACATCAATTTCGAACTCAATTCCTCTCCCAATTACGTGGACTAGGATTTGTGACGACCTATGGCGACAACGCAATTAAAGAAGTCAACGTAAACTCCTCGAACTGGGCTCTGATCAAAACGGCGTTGGCAGCTGGCTACACCGGACGGATTATGACGTAAGATTGTTGCTCTTTGTGTATCTGTCCCACGTTCCACGTTGCAGAAGCGAGCAGGAGATCAAGTATGGTAAATACTCCGCTCTTACTGCCAATGCCGTTTCCAACCTTGGTCGGCAAGTCTGTGTTATCTACGAGAAATTGGACAATAACAAGGTTGACGTAGCCAGCGTAGTTACGCCGATCACTGTAAGCTGTTGTGGTTCATCTCACTTGTGAGATTTTCTTCGTTTTAGGTGGCATTAGTCGACCACAGCGTGCGGATGAAACCCCTAACTGCCTCGCGGAGTTGCGACGACGTTCTACACGCTTTCTCTAACATAATCCACTTTTCGTACCTTTTTAGGGAAGTAATCGCCAAGAAAATTTGCAGCCCATTTCTCAAGCTAAACAATTTTGAAGCGCGCATTCTTCAATACGGCTGCAAGATTATTTCTGACGAAGAAGTTGAGGTTTTTGGCAACGGGCCAAGTTGTGTGGGAACCGTACCAAAGTCGTTTTCTAATCTTATCCCGAAATCAGCCGTACAACTCGTGATGGCGCCTCCCTTTCGCGCCACGGAAGAACGGGCATCGGTTTACTTTGTTATTAAACCGCCCAGCTTGGAAGTGATACCGCGCACGGCGACGAGTTCGAACTGGCGTTTTGCGCCGAAAACTGAAAAGCGCATGTTTCCCCATTTTAGGGTAAGTCCCAAATGCCCCGCAACCGATTTTATCTTCGTCGTTCCAGAATGGGCGCGACGTTATTCTCTTCTTTACCGCCGACAAGTTTGATTATTTTCAAGGAATCGCACAATTGACCGAAACTAACAATGGGGATGTTACCCAACCATGTCGCATACTGTGGTTGAGCAGTGTGCGAGTCAGTTTTGACCTCATAAAGCAACAGTAAGTGTATACTCAATTTCCACCCATCACACAATTTGCTAGTTTTCTTGACAAAATTAGAACTTCACAAGCGGTCCTTCCTTGCCTGGAAACCAGATAATATATTGACATAAACAGAAATTATTAATCAAATGAGAGTTGAATAAGTACTATAATTGTATTTTTCAGAAAAATTCGCAACTCATTCAACGATCACAAGCTTGTATGCAATGCGGAGGACGGGGATGAGGTCGAATTTTGGTGTGCCCAAAAATTTCGAGCTTTGTTTTACAATTAGTGTAGGTAAATTGTTATCATTTTTGTATATATGGTTTCAATTTGTTATAGGATTTAAGAGTTTATAAATTATTCTTTTACGCTCAAAGCGTGCGCAATATGTATAATAATAATTGTATCGAGAACTGGTGTTTAATTAATCCCGAATATTATTCGTTTAAATGTTTTATACAGGCTGATTCAAATTCGAGGACCACCATTGGGAATGGGGATCTCGGGAACTGTAAGAGAGTTTACATTTGGCAAAGTTGCGTATTTTGATGTTTGACAAAATGCAGTTTTAAAACTGGGAAAATTCCGACTACTTTCGGAGATAATCGAAATTTTGCAAAATCGTTTCTATTTTTTTACTGAAGTTATTGAAAACATTTTTTCAAAATAAATAACACATTATTATGGCAACTTTTTTCCCTCTATAAGATGCTAGTTTTAAATTTTAAATCCGACGTTTCGTCTCCGGTTAACCATCAGCAATAATGTTAAAATATCTCGAGAAATGTCTTCTACGTACGTAGTTTGTTTCGTTCTTTATAAATGAATAGCGCCATTTCTGATTAAAAGATATAGTCATGTTAAGGACGTGTTTCGAAAAATAAAGTCCGATAAGCAAGTGTTGAAAATCCCCAGTGCGCCTGGAACAGGAAGGGTGTTTCAAAAGCGTACGTCAGAAATATATAGCTTTAAACAGCGAAGTGAGCCAAAAAAACGTCAAAATAATTATCAACCAGGTGTCTGAATGATGCAATAGCCGATGGACACTCGAGATGCAAGAGATGTAATCGGAAGAAAATATCAATTTATTTTTATTGAAGTTTTCAAACAACTGACTAGTATTTTTTATCTAATACTAAGAGTAGCTGCTTATATTGTATGTACGGTCATTGGCATAAGTAATGATCGCCTAATAGGTAAACTTTGTATCATAATAAGCAACCAACAGGTTTATTACATGGAGCTCCGTCGGCTTTTTCAAGAAGTAGATACCTTTGGCGGTTTGCATTTCCATTGCAATGTATTCAAATGTTGGTTGCCTATGCTGTAAGATTTACTTATTCGGGGATCATTACTTTTGTCAATGACTGTACATCCAATACCCCAACTTTGTGCCAATCGGTGATTGAGAATACATAACAACAATACAGTAGTAATTATACCCGGGCCCGGGCTCTTTATATATATTCCGCTTTGGTGCTCGAACCAGCGACCATCGATTGTCTCTTGTTTTCCTTTGACACGGTACAATATTTGGTCTTTTAAAAACCTTTGCCTTTGGATATGTTTTTTTTACGAGAATTTTTGCGGAAACGTCTTTAAATATCTTTCAGCACAAGCCTTGTAGAGTTTCACGCTAAAGAAATACACCAGTTCCACCACACTGATTAGGCTTAATCCGATCGTCAGACTGAACATTCCTCCAAAATTACCTAGAGAAAGAAAGGCATACAAACTGCCGGCAAATCATATCAAACTTACTGACAATATCGAACCAATAGTACACAACGTCGTGCTCAAAAGCCACAACATTTTGAACATCGAAATATACGTGAAGGAGTGACTGATTTAGTGGCTTGTCACTGCAACCGAGTCCGATTTAGTGAATGGATATTCAAATCAACCCGGCCTTACCTCTCACCGAACAGTTCATCTGAATCTGTGCGAACAGTGTACGAAATCCCCCTGCAGTTAGGTACACAATGCAAGCAAACCAAGGAATCCTGTTTTTCAGCTTCCATGTCGTCACCGTTATAATCGAAGGGATAGTATCGTTCCCACTTATCTGAAACGGAAATGGGCAACGTTGCCTCAAAAACACACAATTCCCTTACGCTGATATTTGAACAAGCAAGGAAGGTCCTGAAAACTGCACTGAGGCACATCGTCCCCAGTGAATGTGTTCGCAAACATCAGGGGAATGCACTCGCACAAAGCAATCATGCTTTTCAATCGACAATTCAGCAAGCAATCACTGTGAGTTGAATAGTCACCGAAGAGGGTTTTGGATTCTTCAGGAAAAACACATTTACGCTAAAAGCTAAGGTCAAAGGACACCTGCAGGAACAATACTCTCACTTTTTGAATTGGATATTTTCTGACTTCTTCGGCTGCGTAAATCAGAGTGGCCGATAGCTTCACATACATTTCGACTCCAATCGGCACCAACCTTTGTTGCAAGTTTCCACTTACCATGTCGGGAAAATCTGACGGATTGAAGATGTCTACCTACAACAGCGAGATTTGTCATCACTGCCGCCAGTCCGTTACTAACAATTGCACCCGACGAAGAAAACAAAGTGTAAAAGTAATCAGAGGTATTGTGATTAATTTTCACAGATAAACCCTTCTTCAAACCTCCTCCTATGGACGTCAAGAAACGATAATTGTTTAATTTTCTGAAACCCTTTATAAATTTAATACCAAAAAATGATGGAGCATTTACATAATCTTGGTTGTAAAGTTAGAAAGGTGTTGGTTCCGTTTTAAGGGGATGTAATTGAAAGTACAGCAAAAACCTGCCATAGTCCGTTCGTTATTGAAGAGATCATTGCAGTCGTACTGTACTCCATTCCATGAACAATCGGAAATGAGATCCTCGCATGACGGCGACAACTGCAAACGCCCTCTTTGTAACAGTGGACTGCTAACCTTCACACTTACCATCTTTAATGTTTGATAGGGGTCAAAACGGCCCAAGGATGAGTCATCAAAAATAGCCAAGAACGACTGAATTTCTAAAAGTTGGTGATTTGCCAAGACACTCGAGTCAAAGTCGCTGAGCTTGCCCAAAAGCTTGACCATTTTAAACACCTCTTCGTACGAAGTGTTACTCTTTAACGCCCTGCAAACGCGCCACTTGCATATTACAAAGAAAGAAGACGGACGCTTACAGGTCGGCGGCGTACTTCTCCGCCTTCACTCTACTAATTTGATTCAAGTCGCAAATTGAAACGCCTGGAAATCGCACGTTCTGAATCGAAACGTCGACACTTTGCGAGGTTGTCACGATCGGATCGTTTGTAAATTGCCACCAGGAAAACGTCACAAACTCCAACGTGCAGTACAGCGCAATGATTTGGACGAAGCACCAAAAAACTCTAAAAAGAAATTGAGTTGGCGAACCTTAGAACTCACCGCTCCAAGAGCGTGCGATCCGATTTTCCCAATAAATACTTGAAACCGTGCAAGCTCGTTTTCTGAAGGTAAAGCTTGAGGGTTGCCGAAAAGGCTCTCGAAAAAATAACGCTCTTGTTTTTACGACGATACATGTTTGAAAAGTGATTCATTTTCACATCGACTGGACGGGTTCTCATTTCCTGTACGGATAATCATAGAATAGATCAAATTAGGAAGATAAAAGGATAGCGGAAAAATGAAAGGTGAAAGTGATTAATTATTGATAACATACCGCGCCTTAAAAGCGCTTGAAGATTGATATTAGTCCAGTAACTATATACCTACATCAGACCATGCGTCAAATCCGGTAGTTCCGATTTTTTGTGGGATTGCTTATGTTGTTAACCCAATGTATATTCGCAACATAGTCAAATATACTAAAAACCGAGGAATTTTCGTTTTCTTTCAGATTTTGACGATTTTAACTCTGGTCGAAAACTTGAATTATACATTGGGTTAACAAAATAAGCAATCCCACAAAAAACAGAACTACGCTTGGTACCCCTCATTTTCAGGAACAAAGTTACTGGACAATGTGGCCTGTAGAATCCATAATTTCAAACAGTTCCAAGACTGGGCTACTAGTTCAAAAGTTACAGCCCTTTGAATTTTCTTTCGAAATTGGTCTATAACTTTTGATTGAGAAGTCTGATCGAAAAAGTACGAATTGATTTGGATTCTTCGCACCAAAATTAATAAGAAAAAGTGTTTTCCCGAGAAATTTTGGTGGAGTCGATTTTTGAAAAAAAAGGAAGGTTATACACTGCCTTTTTTTTGCCTCGAAAAAAAATTGTCTCAGATTGTCCCGGAAAAAATTTTTCTTATAGAACGTGGCCTGTAAAATCCATAATTTCAAACAGTTCCAAAATTGGGCGTACTAGTTCAAAAGTTACAGCCCTTTGAATTTTTTTTCGAAATTGGTCTATAACTTTTGATTGAGAAGTTTGATCGAAAAAGTACGAATTGATTTGGATTCTTCACACCAAAATTAATAAGAAAAAGTGTAGAATCTATAATTTCAAACAGTTCCAAGATTGGGCTACTAGTTCAAAAGTTACAGCCCTTTGAATTTTCTTTCGCAATTGGTTTCTAGTCCATAACTTTTGATTGAGAAGTCCGATCGAAAAAGTACGAATTGTTTTGGATTCTACTCATCAAAATTAATAAGAAAAAGTGTTTTCCCTAGAAATTTTGGTGCAGTCGATTTTTGGTAAAAAGGAAGGTAATACACTGCCTTTTTTTGAGCCCCGAACAAAAAATTGTTTCAGATCGACCCGGAAAAAAAATTTTCTTATAGAATGTGGGGCGTGGGATTCTTGCGCATTTTACAAAATTCGAATTGTGCTCAAATCTGTCCGGCCCTTCCATGAGATTCAATACATTATGAGATGATCATAGAGGGGTGGTGTTCTATTCTTCAAAAGTATGAAAAACCCCTTATCAGAAATCGTCAAAAAAATGTGAGAACACGCATTCCGGTGGTTAACTAATTAACTGGGTTGATCTGTAGACCACATCCCGCTTGTACATTTATCAAGACAGTACAAGTGCGGAATTACACCACTGTTCTTCCACACCAACATGAATACATTTCACCTTCTGTTTGCACTATACGCTGTGTTTGCCATGCTTCAGCTCGGTAAGTGCAATGCCAATGCTTTACAATTCTATTGAAAAACTGGAACAGGTTCGGCATGCCAAGATGACTACGACTGCGATGACAGTCAATGCCGAAACGGATGGACCGCTTTGTGTGTTCCTGGTCCAAAGTGTGATTGTTACGAAGAAATTTAAATACCAAAAAATGCTGTATTAATTGTACAAACGAATCATAATTAATAAAAAAATAAAAAAAAACGTCTTATTCGGGTCCATAGTATCGGCCGACAAACATTATACCGGCCGGCGACACAATGTAATAGATAAACGGATGATCGGCAACGAAATCTATGGGCTTCTCCGGGTTGTAACCAGCTCCCACGCCAGCAATCGCTAAAATTTGTTATCAGCAATATTCACGTGGTAAGCGACCTACCGGCGGTAGCGGATGCCGCGATCGTTCCCTTTTCGTTCACCTCGATGTAGTTCTTCTGCACCACTTCGCTGACGTATAAGCTGCTGTCCGACATATTCGTTAAATCAGCTGTAGGTTTGAAGAGATCAATGATGCCTATCTATAAGTACAGGAGGTAACTGGGTCGCTCTATGGGAACAGCGAACTTACCTTCTCGAGAAGTGGTTTCATTTTGATCTTGGTGTCCATAGTGAATTTTGGGAAGAGGACGTGCACTTTTTTGTACCCAAAGTCTTTGGAACTGAGAGTGTCCTCGATTTGTTCTTCCAATTTACTTAACCCGTTATTGTCTTTCGGGAGTGCTACTACCATAGCAATATTAGATCCGCCCAAGTAAGACATCTTGAGGAACTGTGCGTTCGGATGATCAAAGTAGTCAAAGTTGTCTGTCTGTTCCATCATGGCAACTTGATTTGGAGAACCATAGAAAGGTTTTTGGGTCGTGCTTTGCTCCCGGAATCTCTTCGCCCACGTTGCTTGGAAGTAAATGGCGTTTAGGAGAATCATCCGCGTATCGTCCTTGACGTCTTGGGTCGTTAGTAGGTTGTTGATGCGGTTCTCTGTGTTTTCAGCCGCCCATGCGTTGACCTGGTCAACGGACGCTTTCTTGTTTTTAAAATCTATAGTTCCAACGCTAGATTCGAAGATTTCCTGTGCGGTTTTAGCAAACGTGTCCTTAATTGTAGTGTCATCGCTGACAAAAATTTTGTTTACGCTCTTCAAGGTGTAACTCCTATCGCTTTGAATTTGGGTTACAGCTGCGTTCACCATTTTGTTGGTTGTAGGTAAATCATTTGGCAACGAGATGCCATTCGCGAGTTGCAGCGCTGTCCTCTCTCTCGCGCCGTTTAGCACTAGAGCGAGTACTAACTCAGACGAAAGAGGACAGACCAGAAAGCTTCCCGGAGAGGCTGCGGCCATCTCCTAAAATAGACAAATTTACAGGGGTCGGTACTAACAAATGAAATATTACCTTATACACCTTCACCGAGAACGAGGTCACACTGTCTTTAAACGCAGCACTTGCATCTTCGTCCGCCATTGCTGCGACTGTCACAAAACCAACCAAGAGAAGTAAATTCATGATGATGACCCTGTAAAACGTATCGTTTCACAATAATCTCCCATGTGAGACATGTCTATTTTTAACGCTTCATTAACTTATCGCATTGTTGATTTGAAATATATTTACAAATAGCGTGGGCCAAAAGCAACTTCAAACTTATATAGTCATTACAAAGCTTTCGCTACGGAACATACTGTGCATATTGTGGAAAATCCCATACACATAAATCGGTATACCTAATATTAATTATGAGGTCATGCAATTCTAAGCAAATGGTACAAACGACTAATTTCAAAAATAATGACTTACCTACACAGCACAATGAACTGATGAAGACTGGTGAAGATTTCTAAAATTTTAAGGTGTAAATGGAAACATAATTTGCATAGCTAATTTAACAACTCTTTAACAAAATATTACAAGGTTGTCAAGATTCCTTTGTATTCCGCACCGTTGTTCGTTCATAATTTCCTTTTTGCGTTCCAACGTTTCTCTCCGTGTAGGGTCGGAGAAGAATAACCCTACCGCAGAGGGCACTGCGTGTCGTAAGAGGCGACTAAACAACTGCAGGTTACGACATGTTCGATCGATAGGAAGAAAGCATATTCCGCGACGAATTAGGGGAGTGTACGTGCAAAGCCGAATAATTTTTCTTGATCTTTGACATAGTTCTACCGATTGCGGTACAAAATGAAAAAATAGCTATAAAAATTATTTAATATGTACAAATGATTTTCTTACAAAATTGAGATACTTAAACAATATGTTACTGTTTGATAAAGGAAGGTGGCACTGACTAGCACAAGAGCTTAAATCCTGGACGGATCACAGCGATCATTTAGAGCACCTCAATGTGGGTACTACGTATAATGTGAGCATTGTCATTTTTGGTTTCTGATCCTCAACGGAGGAACATATAATATAACAAAATAATACTATATTTATCACCCTATCACCATCTCGCAATGGAGACGTCGCGTTTAGCAGGCCTTTTCGCGGTCGGGCGTCGCGCCGTCGCCGTCGTCCAGAAGAACGTAGCTGTTGCGCACGATCAACGAAAGTCGATGCGGTTGCTGCGAGAAGAGACTGTGGTTCGAGAGGTAGGCACCGTTTCGTCGCAGCGTTTTCATGCCGATCTCGATCGATTGCTTGGTAAACACCAGGGATTTGTACGTATTGATAAAGACCCCGATTAGTATGCAGCTGCCGGTGACGATGGATCCGTAGGTAAAAATCGGACAGGCCAAGTCTGAGAAGGTGGTGGCGAGATAGACCCAACGCCTGATCGCCGGCGTTACCTCGTCGATGCCCTAAGCGGAGTTGATATTACAAATTTGGGGACACTACAATCAGGACGTACCTCTTCCAACCACATTATTGGGAACATCATCGAGGGAAATGTGGAAACTGGTCGCACGTTTTCCGCTTGGTCTACGCGGAGATTTAGCTGAACTCGAAGTTTGATTTCTAACGGTACACCCAGTTTCTGCAAACGAAATTGTTGTGAAGAAAAAAGAAGATCGTAGACTTACCGGTTGAATTTTCACGTAATTCTCGTGTTTCTCTTTGATTGGTTCTAATCCATCGATGCTCTTCAATAAGCTGGCATCTGCGTTGTAGAAATGCGGGAAGGATAAGTAAACTGGAGCATCTAAATGCGCCAATTGAATATTGTTTGCGTGTAAAATTCGCTATCTTACCGTACTGACAGGGGCTGATATTTTGCAACCCTTTCGGTGGACAATACTCCGCACCGGGGCAGTAACATCTATTTCTTGACTCCTTGGAAGCAGTTTCAAAAACGTAATCAGGAGGAGTATACAAATCGACAGATATTCCTATTGGGTAGGTGTTCATTGAGCTCGGTGCAGATGTCGCCACTTACCTTGTTTGCTTGTCGGTCCTCTGTATTGGAAAGGTAAAATGCGGCACAAATCCTTGTCGTATAGAGCTACAATATCCGATTGGGTCACGTCGCGAGGCGGAAAGAACGACCCTTCGCTCGCGACAATATCGGTACAGGGTGGGTCCTCCCAATAAGGCAAACGGTCTATGCCGTTCAGCTTGTCAAGGAGTCCAAATTTTTCCATGCCAGTATAACCCGTATTTATAGTATGCACCTCGTCTAGGGTACCGTTGCGCTAAAATTCTACCCTTAGTTCGAAAATCAAGCGTAGTCCAAAACTGACCTTGATCAGTAACCCCATTTTGCCCATCGGTCTTTTGGTCTTCGGATAGAAGTTGTGGGCCAAGGTAACTAAGGGGTCTTCGTACCCGAAGACCAGCTCATCGGCGGTGACCTCCACAAACGGTTGGTAATTTCCCATCGTAAGCGCGAAGGAGATTGCCTTCTGGATGATGAATCCCAACGAGTTTGAAAGTGACGCTAGCGTCTAGGATTACAATTTATTTAATCGACGTGACGTTTCCCGGACTTACCAGCATAGGTATATTTGGAACGGTCAGCTTCTCGTTCTTGTTGACCGAAAGCTCCGGTACGAATTGGAGTATCTTCTTGTGCTGGTACGATACGGTACCATTATCGTGAAATTTAATGTTAACCTTTTCCATATTTTCTCTGCAAACAAATACAGTAAATACAACCGGTTCGGGCTAAGGTCGCAACGAGTTCCTGCCATTGAACGGCATTCCAAAGATAGCGCAAGTGCAATTTCTCTTGGCTCTTTCGTAATATCTACATGCAAATTCTTAACCTACTTCCGCAAATTCGCTGCAGCGAACCCGTTTTCACGGGATTAAAAGTGGGTGAGCAGTACTCACGAGCATTTTGTTTACGAGACACGAAATGGTCGATTGCATTTCCCGTATCTTGAAGTGTATTGAACCATTGCAAAACGACTGTTGACATTATCTCGTCAAGTTATTGTCCCTTTCGCCGGACGTTTGACTTATATGTGAAAATGATACAAGCCCCCGTCTCGTGGCACCCATAATCTGGATGGATATGTATAACAAATTTCATTTCTCTTCCCGCTCCTCTAAGAGATTAAGGGCTAAAGTAGAATCCCACATCTTTGTAAGAACCAAATGTGAAGAGGTTCCTCTATTTTCGCCCCAGCTGGAGTAATGTAGTAAAATTTTGAATCAGTGGTTGATGGAGTTTTGAAACAATTGGAAGTATAGTAGAACAGGTGTACCTCGGTAACCAGTATGTGATACGAAGACCTGATGCAACTATCTGCATTGCCAGGAGTTCATCAAACTTGCATTAAAAAAATGTGCATCGATTTATGATTCATTCAACTTTAAAGGTCGAACGACTTCTTCTCGCGACACCACTTTCTTGTCTGTTGCATTCCGACTTCGGCCTGTCAGGTGAAAAATACTACACAGCATTCCGAATCACCCGATCGCGTGCTTTTTCCATACAAAAGTTTTCATCAAAGGTGGGAAGGAGAAGTGATTGATTTCTGAATAAATTTACGACACAGATATCCATATGGACTGTTACCGGAGTGGAACTTATGTAACGCGATGAAAGTTCATTTTTTAAAAAGGCGAATATCGTTACGAAATTTATTTATAAATAAACGACCTCAAGAGTTTTTCCGCCCGCTGAAAATCCAGTTTCGTGCATCGCGACGAAATGAAAGCTACCAAAAATCGCGTTCGTCGGTTTGTGAAATGAGAAGAACTTCTGAGCGAGTACACAAATAAGTTGGGAAAGTTTGCAATTATCACTTGCAAGTTACAAAACCATTTGGTTGCGTAACTGATACACATCTTAGCGCTTCCAATGTGGTTTACTGAAACTATTTTGCAAGATACATTGACGATATTCACTTCGGCAAGACCTGAAGAAATAAATGAAGAACAACTATGCTAAATTAACTCAACAGTTCTTCTGAGTTACCTCCCAAATTAGGTACAATGTAACGATCCTTTGGTCGCTCATCTTTACTAGCTGAAAATTACGTTGTGCCAGTATTTTTCGATAGTCAAAGTCAAAGTGACGGTCACCGGTTGGAATTTAGGTCGTTACTGGACTCAACGCATATCGGAACTCGGAAGAACAGTGCGCTTGATGGCCTTAACATAGTAACGAAAATTTCCTCGAGCTAAAGTTCTCCGTCGCGTGATTAGTAGATACCATGGCACAAATTACGATCGAAATAACAAAAAAAATACACTGCACCATCTAATCGAATCCAAAAGGTGTAATTAAGATTGCATTATCATAACCATTAGAATGACATTGTGCAAACTGATGGGCAAAAAATAACTTAGCAACCTCAGATGGGAAATAAAACGGCGTACCTGTATACGAAAGGTCCAATTTCGTTCAGTTTCGGTTTTTCCCCAAGGTTAAGGAAGTTTTCCGGATTGGTCACGTTAAATATGTAGACCTTCGTCAGTCGCACCACGCCAGGCTTTTGCCAATAATAGTAACTCAGAGATCCGTTTGACAGTCGTAGGTGCTACGGAATTTCATTATCTACTCTTAATGCTCACCTTTAATCCTCACTCACCTTCAGTATTAGGTAATCCAACCAGGGCACTGACGACAGTAGTATTCCGATGGCCAGGGCGAACAGGCCAACGACAACGATGATGAGGCGATCTGTAAGCATACGGGAGTCATTTGCTACAAACACCTACCGATTCTTATTTTACTTATCACAAAAAACTCTACCCTCGACTCTACCTATGAATTTTTGAAATCATGAACTTTGGAAAAGCTTCCATAACTCTGCGTACAAATTGAAACGAAAACAATGAAGAATACCACGTGAAAATTAAGTATCAAAGCTAAATTGCACATTTATTATAAAAGAAGCATAATAAAACAACTTTTCACTTTTTTGAACCTGTTATTACAGGCGACCGCAATTTAATTTTAATATAAACAGAATCAATTTTCCTTTTCTAGACTAATTACGGAAGTGGCCCAATTATCGCTCCTTGTGGAACACCCGAAGGTATAGCCCCGCAAACGGCGCTAAAACCGCAATTTTCTAATTGTGTAATAAAGAGTAGACACGATAATTAATTTTGCGTATGGTACACTGACAATTACACCATCGCGCATAATTAATAGTGCGTATTTACACCTTATTGGTCATTACGCAATTTTTCATTTAATCACGAAGAAACGAGAGCGTAATTACACACTAATTTCGTACTCGGTACAAGTAAGTACGTATAATTACGCCAAGAAGTGCAGTAAAAGAGTCATTAATTTACATTTAGCGTTAAGATAGCAATCTCCGCTTTGGTTATTGTTTACAATTAGTAATTTATCTACGCAGGGATGTAGAAAATTTAATACCTACACACTTAACGGCCGTTTCAGTCGTGATTGCCTCCGGTGAAATGGAAATTCTTTCTCCTCGCTCGCACGCGGAATTAACTATTGTTGTGCCTTTCAAAGGTCAAGATTAACAATTGCCGCGATTTCATTCAACTTGAACCTGAGCAAATTGTCGAATTTGTAACTAATTACGATTGCACCACGCCACATTTGTAAGATCATGTTTGAATATTGACTAACGAATTAGGGGTGCGTGAAGTTAGCACAGCAATGGAACGAAATATTACGTGCCAGTCGTTAGTGCTTTATTGTGCACGAAAAAGTAACACGGCACGTCCACCCCTTTTTGAGGTACGGGGTGTACGCTTTCCGTGCCAATTTCACACCACTTTTGACCTGTATGATGCATGGACCATGTGCCGATAGGAATCGTGTCTTTCTCTTTGCAAAATATTCTTTACATAAAACAGGATCTAATGGAAGATTATATCTGCAGGCGCATACGATTTATATGGCTGAACAACAATCTCTTGCACTTTTTTCAAATAAACCGAGGGTTTAACGTACGCTCTTTCGTGGTAGAAATTAAAAAACAATTACCAAATCGAAAAGGGTATACTCCAAAACCTATTCAAAGACGTGCCACCAGTCTTTGCAACTTTTACGGTCGCTGAGAGACAAGAAGAAATGCAAATTTCACCCATTTTTTGGGGGCTGCTCGCAAGTGAAACACGTTGGACCCTCGCTTTATTTGGAAAAAGTGCCTGTTTGATCCCCTTTACCACCAAATTTTGTTTACATACCTACTTATATGTAACACCTTGTATAAAATTGCATAGTGCGTCGACATCCTGTACCTCAAAAAGGGGGGGGGGGTTACTTTTTCATGCACAATCAAGCACTAACGATTGGCACAAAACATTTCGTTAGTGCTTCCAAAAGTAATGTGAAGTTGGAACGGAAAAAAACGGGTACCCTGTACCTCAAAAAGGGGTGGACGTAATACGTTTCGATTACCGTGCTAACTTCACGCACCTATGAGTTAGGTACAATCGAGGGTACAATCCTTTCTCAATAATACTAAGAACATTAATTTAGATCTTTCATCTTTCAATAAGACTAATTAAGATAATTCCAATTAAAATGGATTACTGATATGTAGCCTCATCACCACTCTGCAAAGGATAGATTTTATTTATGTAGCCGACACAACTTAATTCCAAAATGTGAGAGTTGACCCAATTCGAATTTAATTTCGCTTTTAAGATTCATGATGAAACTATTTTACAGTTAAAATCAAAATTATTCAATAATACAAATGATTGTATACGTAACCTTAACACGTTTTCATCCAAAATGTATGCCGTAATTAATTATCGATTATTATTAATAAATTATACTCTACCACTATTATGTAAGGATATGTACACATACAAATTAAATTATTTAATAGTATCATTTGATGGCCGAATTTTACTAGTGGTCTTGATTTCGCTAATTAAATTAGGTAATTACGTAATAATTTCGTGCCCGATGCGATGTAAAAAAAACTCGAAAACGCGTAATCTATAGGTCATCTCTCGGGTCATCTTGCAGCACTGCAACAAAGTGGAAAAAAAATTATTTTGTCATCTGCCGTTCGCAATATTTAATACATGCCAAAGATGTTCTTCAGAAACTATTAATTACACTTAGAATCGAGCGTCGTAATTAGACGCATATCGCAAAAACAATCCGATGCTGATGGCCCACGGGCATTTGCGAATGCACTTCCGCAATGCAGTAATGCAACTTTCTCAGATGCAAAGCACTCGAACATATGTGCATGTTTCATAACCTTCAAAGTAAAAATTCCAAGATTGTTTTCACTACGTAATCGTCATGTACAAATCTGTAATTTATAACAAAATTATACACTTTTCGTGTGCCACTATTTAAATAGAGGACCCCAAGCATGGTCGTTTGGTTAGTGTTAAAAATCTTATACTTACGTAGTATAATTACGTATTCAAATACGTCTCTTTTAATTATAAATTAAGCCACAAAAAACACGGATGTTGAATATGAATATAGTGATTTGTAATTTTTGCTAACGTAACAGGGGGGTTTCCCAATTTTTTAAAAAAGAGGAAACCGTTTCGTTATTTTGTCCACCTTATGTAAGTTTTTTTTTAACTGTGTTCAAAAAAGAGTTACTATCGAGTCACCTTTGGAGTTTTTGTTTCCAAAGGCGACTCGACGTCAATGCATTTTTGATCGCAATGAGGGCACTAATAATTATAGGTAATGAAAATTACGAACCTGTTCTGAAGTGACAAAGTTTTAGTGTTCGATCGACCAATCACCCATACTAGAAATACTAGTATTAATTTAAGTAATTATATGTAGTAGATAGGCGGAATTTAAAATTGAAGAAACAGGACCTGTAAAATGACAATATAGGTTTGTGGTTACAAGTAGATTCGATTCAAGTTTCGTACTTTCACGGTTAATTATACATTTCGACAATATCCTGAATACTTCATTATTATAGCAACTAATTCAGGGGAGATGTAAAATGCTTTTGCATCGAAAGCACTAATTGCTCGCAAATTAAATTGTTTGTACTTCGTGGACTAAAAGGACTATACCTTAGTTCTAGGGTGATTGTTGTCCTTTTCTTTTCGTTATACCCCTCAAATTAAATATATAGGTGTAACGGGTTTGCATAAGAGTGTTTGAACTTCTTTTCTTTGTCGAAATCAAAATTTTGAATTTCCAAGTAGGTAAGTCAGGGAAATCTTCATGATCCAGGGTGAGATCAAAATTGGTTCAAGTGAGGGTACCGCGCCTAATTACATTTAAATTATAACAACATAATTTACGTACTGGTTCTGATCTTGCCTTGATCCGACACCAACATTGGAAGTGGTGTGAACGCGGTCGACGCCATGTAATTACTCCTCCTTCGACCGAACCGGAAGAACTGTTTGTACAGCCCCATCTTCCACAACTTCCGACAGCAAATGTACCTAAAACACAAAAAAAGTGAATAAAGTGCACCAATAAAGTACAATTCACGTCATGTAAAATTTAGTGAACGGCGACCGAAACCACAAATTTGCCGTCTAATTTATTAGACCGTAATTCTAGTTGTAAACTAATTAAGTTTATGGTTTTAATGAACGAAGTTTGTAAATGTTTATGAACTATCGCTTGTACCCAGATTTATGATTTCGATCGACAAATCTAACAAAGGTGGCTTCTTGGTAAAAATGACTTTCAGTAATTAAGACTGATTCGTAATTACCTACTTATCCACTTTAACATTGATTGATCGGTTATGTGATTGACTTTTATTGAGGAAAAGAGGCACTTTTTTATCCCCATTTTTTTAAATTATAAGAAAATTAAAAAAACTGTCGATATTCAGAATTCGGCCAGTCGAATTCCAGAACAAAAATTTGATCCACCCTGCATATCGGAACTTTGAACTGCAAATCACGTTTTGCAATCACCAAAAGGAAAGTTTGCGGTTTGAAACCGTAGTAAAGATCTATTGCGGTGTAAAAAAGAACCATAATTATCGACGTAATCAGTGCCCAAACTTAAGTTTTTTTGTATTAACGTGCGCGAGAAAGGATAATGACAATTTAAACACAGCCTACAAATTAACCGCTTCCACTTTCCTTACCCAAAAAACGAATCGTGCGTGATGTGCTTCAGTTTAATTTTCAAAATTACCGTCATAAAGTGTGCAAAATCAATTGAAGAAAGTAGTAATAATACACGGATTAATGCTTAAAACAGTTTAAAAACTTAATGAGCCGAGAGAGAATGTATCGCATATTTTGAAAGCGTATTACAGCAAAACTAATATTGATGTAGAATTAGTGGGGTTGTTGCTAACAAAGACGTTTTTCGATCGAACGAAAATTGCTCCATCATCTCCATTACATAAGTGTGGCTTAGGTAATAGTGGTTCTCACTTTTTGCGTTAACCAAAAATTGATGGAACGAAATGCCTATACCTTTCATTCTTTTTACTAAGTGACATCGCGTAATTTATGGGTGACCATGGCTTTTTTTTCGCTTAGCAATATCAATATTCATTTCACAGATCTTTTACAATAATTCTTCATTGGCTTAAATGTCATTTAGGCGGCAATCAAAATTAAAGAATTGATTTAGTACGTAAATGTAGCATTCAAGCTTCGCTTTCCATTTTTTTAAGATAAAAACATGAAGCAATAACTGCACTGATCTGATAATCATTACTAGAGGCCATCAGGGTCGGCACGATTTTTGACAAGGGATCAATGCTGAGACCTTTGATTCTACTATACTATTATATACATATGGCCGTATTTTTATTAGCAATCACCGTTTATTTTTGTCTTACTGTTGCGTAATTTTTTTATCCTGGCGAGGGTTGGTGTACGTGTACGTATTTTAAAAGGCGAAAAAAAAGTGAAAAGAAATTTGATTCGTCCTCATTTGTCAATCTCATCGTATCGGTTGGTAAAGACTTTGTATCATCAGTTTTGGGGTGTAATGTACATAAGCGATCAAAAATGAGTGATTGTCTAGTCACCTTAGGAATTTTTGTTTAAATGGGAAATCGTACTTAACTTGAAGTTCCAAAGGCGACTAGACAGTTACTCATTTTTGATCGCCTGTTATACAGTGTGATTGATTTTGCGTGTCCAAGCCTACATTTCTTTTATTATTGGAGATAATAAAAAAATGTATTAAGACGCAAAAATGCTCTACTTTCAATTTTTGATAACGCTACACATTCAAAAAGCAAGTGAATTAAAAACAAAAGGATATCAAAAAACAAATTAGGTATTTTTTTTAATAGAGAGGTATCAGATATGTTATAACTGCCTTAGAAATTAAAGCTACAGTAATGTGTTTAGAACCAATCGCAGTAGCCGTGGATAATTTAAACAAAAACATAAAATTTACAACAAATGAAAAGCAGTTACAGGAAAAATTACGCTAATGTGTCAAACTTTTTTTTCTAGTTGTACAATAGTTATTTGTACAACTAGAGAAAAAAGTGGAGTTGAAAAACACTTTCTTCTCACGTTTTACACATAATTTTTTTCTGAAATTGCAATCAAAATAAAAAATTATCGTATGCAATAATGAAATTTGACACATAGCAATCTAGATACGGGTATGTTTTAATTTTAAATGTCATTATTAAGATTAACGCAGCAATTGTTTTTTACTTTCCTCACTAGGAAGGAAAATGGCATTTTCTTCACTCTTTTTAGAAACGAAAGGAGTTGTTTCTAAAGTAGTTTCAAAAAAAGTACTACAATTTTTAAACGTTTTGAAGGAAAACACAGCAACAAAGAAATAAGGAGAAATGAAATTTCAGGCAAAGAAAGTTCGATGGCCCTCCCTGAAAATGATCACGAGAGTGCTGAAAGTTTAACAATTTGGGGAAGAGTCCAACACTGGGGGGTCGCACATAGGTAATACATTCCAGGAAATTGAATTCCGATGCCTCTTCTTTCCTGGAATGTGTATTCCATTCCCTCAGACTCCCCTGTGTTAGGCCTCTCTTCAATTTATTAAAACTAAATTACGATCAATGAGGACCATCGAATTATTATTATTTTTACGGCATTTTTAAGAATTACAAAAAATGTATTATTCTTGCGTTTTGTCAGTCCGTCCGCCCGGACCCACTTCTGCCATGTTTGAACGTTTTCATTAGAGGGACCTACCATAGATTTCGCTCCTAACTATACTAATAATTAGTATTTATAACATACATTGTGTGTTTAATTACTTATGAAACTAATCAATTTAGCATGCACCCATAATCATAATAAAATAGGTACGCAATATTATACTTCTCAAAGTAAAAAATTCACAAATTGTCATATTAGGATATTTAGGTCATCTAGTTGACTTCTGGAGATTAATTACACACTAATTATAATTAATTGCATCAAGGTTAATTGTTTTATTTTACTAAAAAGGATTATACATAACTCTAATGAAATTTTTAAGTATTGTAACTGGATATAATAAAAGTGCCAATAAATTATGATTACTAATTGGCCTCTGATGGTTATAATAACTAAAAGAGTCTCGTAGTCGATTTGTAATGATGTGACTTATGAATTCAGTTTTAGTTGTGAGTCTGATTTACTAATCATTTTACTAATAGTCGTTAATTAGTGGTAATGCAAAACTCACAGTTTGAAAAGTGTGGAATTCACCATATCCATTCTTTTGGTGGTGGTATACACTCGCAACAATGGGAGATATCAAGACAGCTACACATACGTAAATATTTAAATTTATATTACTCCATAGTTGTTATCAAGTAATATTAATTTATCTTACATTATCGAAAATCCTTGAGTAAATTAATGACAATGTTGGTGTTTTTATAAACAAAGATCTTTAAATAAACGATCATATTTTCAAAACGTTTTCCGTATTAATGGACGTTCTCAAGGCCACGGCTTATGATTTCGACCCTTCTCACTGATTATGTCAGTCTCCATTTGAAGACCAAGTAAACTAATTGTTTGGCATTTTGAATTCTAGGGTACTTCTAATTAGGACCCCACAAACTCTGTAGACTCACCTAGTTGGTTAGCATGTAATTCAGGAGTTGACTCCAATTATTTCACCACATACTTTCCATCAACGCGTATTTAAACTAATGAGCTTATAACGAGGCCATTAATACAGATCTACTGTAATGGCAATAATTGATGTCAATAATGATACTATCAAGCTTGTATTGGATTTGTACCTGGAAGGAAGTTTCAGTGTACACATAGTGACGTCAGTTAAATAATTAAAGGCAAAGTTTAGCATAATTAAAACGTGTTAAATTTATAATTGGTAGAGGTTGATCCTTTTTGAGACCATCAACGCAAATACATTGAGTTCTACTATAGTTATAATTAACCGCTAATTAAATCTGAAGGAGTCTAAGTTAAATCATAGTTTGTGTTGATAATTATATCATATTTGTTAGTTTAACGTCAACCGAATTATAAGTAACTCATTAATCAATTTAAACGTATTTCTGCGAAGAAACTACGTTTAAATTACTTATATGTATAGGTAATAAGTCTAATTAGTGACGTATTTAACTCAAGGTAAGGATTTGGGTGTCAGTGTTTTATATTAAAGTGCCTTTTTTTGAAATTATGATTTGAAGTAATTAAAGCACAAATGATACTAACCAATTTGTAACGCTATATTTGCGGTTTGTTGCTCACTGAATAAGAAAATGCATTTTTTCTTTAATTATTAAACAGAAATGAGCGAAAAAATTAAACGGAAGCACAGAAGATCACAACGTAGTACTAGTTGTTAGTTTTTCAGACAGACAATTTTTTGTTAATTATTTAGTCAATTTTTGACACAACTTTCTCGAGAAAAGGCACAAAATGATTAAGAAATAAAAATTATCCATTTGAATAAGTATAAAAAAAATATCGCTAGGTACAGGAAAGTCTCGATACCTTCACATGCATTTTGCGAAAGTTAGAAATCCATTTTTGTGTACATCATGTAATTAACTCTCTTCTGCATGTTGTTTTAACATTTGTAATAACGTTTGTAATTAGACAAAAAAGCGTGCGAAGAAGGATGTCGCCGAAACAAGACATCAGTCGCACGCTAACTATACCGCATCAAATTATGTTAATTTCGGAATAATTAAAATTGACTCCTCCCGTCTTCTCACACTTATTCATTGCCAGTAATTATTTACAAACGATTTACAAAAAGCTCATTTCCTTATTAGCAAATACGGTTTTGCACCTCATCGTCATAAGAACACAAACATTCATTGTTCAGATTCAAATTTCGGTTCTTCTTCTCGCTGTATGACAGACGAACGGATAGATAGACAGAACTGCATCCAAATTGGAATTGGGATTTGAGTATCTTCAGTCAAAGAGATCAGAAAGATCAGTAAACGTAGATTCTGTCAGTCCGTGCGTCACACGTAATACTTCTACACGACTGAACCGATTCGGGCGATTAGGCCAGTCGTATTAGGTAAAAATACCCCTCTACGGGGTACGGCGTAATTAAATTTACATTACAGTATTTATTATCGTTACGTTATTGGTATATATATTTTGCACTGGCGAGTTGCATTTACCAAGGTTTTGAAACGGCAAAGTATTTATTCATTTTTTTTGGTAAAGTAATTAACAAAAAAAGAAATAGGTAGGTCAATCTGTTCAGAAATTTTCTTTGTTTGTCGCTAAAGGTAATCTACACCTTCACTATAATTTAATAGTATTCTGGATCTCCAAGATATAATTGAATTTAATTTGAAGAAGAATTTGTCATATATATGCAGATTAGCCTAATTCGTGGACGAAGTTAAGTTACATATCTTGCTTGAAACTTGATTTATGGTATTGTTAAATTAGGTAATTATTGCACATTCTCCATGCCAAATAAACAAATAATTCGACCGCATCACATTAAGGCAGACGGAAAATGTTCGTCTGAATAATTCGGGCACAGGCCATAAACCGTGCCATGGAAAGTAAAAATTATGACGAATAAATTATTTATTAATTATCTTCTGTTTTTACTTTCATTCTTGCGTTATGTAATTAGTAGTACGCGAGCATCAAATTTATTTCCGCGTATGGGTTTTCTTTTACAAAATCAGATTTGATATTATTAGGTATAGGTAGTAACTTTCACGGTCCATTGTTCTCTAAATATTGCCGCTCATTTATGGTGTAATTTTTGATAATTAACAAGTCAAATGTTTCGAATTTGCCGGAAGACACGATTATGACCATTCGAGGCCTCGATTTTTTGTTTCCCTCATCTTGGTGTTTGTATTCCGTGGGATTTTTTGAGATTGGGAAGCAGGGGGTTGAGTGAATTTATTACTTAACTTCAGTATTAAGCATCCAAATTTGTATATAAAGCAATAACCACATTCACGACACTATCCAGATAACCTCCTTATTCTTTGCCAAGGAACCTTTGCTTCTGTGGGGTGTACAAAAAACCGCAGCAATTAAAGTTTCGTGTTTAAATTTCAAATAAATAGGTCACTTTTGCAAAACACGCCGAAAAACACTCATACTTAAAGCAAGGTCGACCACTACAAGGAAACAAAACATAAAATTAGCAACGCAATAGTCTTTGATCCTAAGAAGAGACATGCATGAGGCCGACCGAATTATGCTTAATTGCCAAAATATTTACATGTTTACATCCGCGTAATATGCTAATATGTAAATTCGTTCATTTACATTCTCATTCGGTTTAATTACCTTATTTATGAATATACCTATGAACAAAGGGAAACATTTGGTGATTGTTCCTGAAATTCCTACCGTTTCAGTAACTGATGGAATACACCCTGGTGTTTCCAATTAGCTAGTCTGCAACCACCCAGGCAAAAGTCGTGGTTTTTTTTGCTATTATTAAACCAGATTTCGGCTGTTAATTTGCTTGGTGTACGTTGCATCAGGGTTGAAGCAATTTTATCTATAGAAAAAGAATGCTTCTTGCATAATCAATAAGAATTAATTGTTTAGGCATAAATGCTAATTGATGCTTTGACTCAATGTTACAACTATTACTAATTATTGACCAAGAAGGCCATGAAATCACAAGCTCGGTTAAATTTCCAATTGTGCCTACCAGTTTTGGCCTCTCGTCCTTAGCTAAAAACCGCGGCTGATGCGCCAGACTTCTAAATTCTGAAAATCAGAAAATATCATGGTCACTCTGATTTATGACCAAGTTGTCAGAATAACTTGTTTTAGTCAGATCCTCTCGTATAGTTTCGCTAGAAGTATTACTAAATCAAGATGTCCAGTACGCCCTTCTACTTGGGGTTGATCAATGGCTTTCCAGTAAGGGGTAATATAAAACCCCCCAAACCTGAATTTTAAATTAAGCTAAGGTCAAAGAAACAGTCAAATGAAGCATTTTGAACCCGGACCTACCAGCAGAGACGCGCGGACACAAGCCTGTTTGCGGTCAATGCTGCCCACTAAATGAAATTACTAATTTAACTATGCCCAAACGTCAAATTTATTCGTGTTTTGTTTTTCTGACACAATAGCATTTGTTTCTTGATGATCAAAGCCGACTGAAGATTAAAAATGTTGTTCAAATTTTCCGACCGCGATTATTTTTCAGTGTGCATTGGTTGCGGAATCTCCTCGAACCTTCTTGTACATTTGTCAGGTCACATGCATAAGTTTTACTTACTCAAATGGTAAAAATAAAGTGTCTGGTTTTTTAAAATTTGCCAAAAAAAAAGTTGCTTATCCCTGTTTTTGCGTCCTTTTCTCATGTCTAATTGCTCGCTACCCTTAGCCGTGACAGCAGTAAACTGATCTAGCCCATTGTAATTTGAAGGAAACGCCATTCGATAAGAAATACAATTACAAGGATACTATATCGAAATATAATCATGGTTGACTTTGGTTTATACAAATTTCGGTTACATAATGTTCTTAAGTCCCCAGTCACGATCGTGAAATGAATAAAAATGGCTAGAGGGTACATTAAACGAAAAACAGGAGGTAACCTCTTGTAATTTAATGTGGTATCATCACCACCGTCCCTAATTATGATGGAGATCACGAATACCCAAAGGATCATGGAGAACGCCAACAAAGAAGAGCAGTTCGATGTCATCAAGAAGGCATTGACGCCCACGAAGATGGCACTCTCAAAACAAAAAAAAAACATCAGCATGGATGTTAAGTTGGCTACCGGACAGATCAAGCCTAGGTATATTGGAGATTTGCCAAAGCACGCGTAGAGAGGTAATGGCCGGCTTAAACTCCAGAGCAAAGCGCCGCTTGGTGGTACTGGAGGCGGATCCGAACTTCCAAAGGTGACTCGACAGCAACTCATTTTTGATCGCCCGTTATGTGTTTTATTTCTTGATACAATAGCATTTGTTTTTGAACAGTTTTGTTTAACCAATGCCAACTAATAATTGAAGATGATTGCAAACATTTTCACTGTTTTGAAACTGAGAACTTTGACATATACATTTTTTAGGACTACAGATTTTTGAACAGGGTGAGACAGAAGTCTTATTTACGTTAACCATAAAAATAATGGGTAATATTGAACTTCCATTACGAATCTGGCGCATTTGTTAATTTAAAAAAAGATTCAGAAACCCTTCGATTAACGTGTGTATGGGCACTTATCAATATCGTTTACTGGAAAAAATTTCAAAAATTGGAAAATTAGGCTTTAATTTTCCAATTTTTGAAAATCTATATCCATTAGTTTTTAATACTATGCGATCAAGAAAGAGTTGCTGTCGAGTCATCTTTGGAATTTTTGTTTATATGCTTCCAAAGGCGACTCGACGTCAATCTTTTTTTGATCGCCCGTTATACTCAGCCCATATCCTGTATCTATTATACCTTGCAGTTTCTACAATGTTACTATTGAACATCACTTTGTAGTTCTTATTGTGCAAATTCCGACAAACGCCAAAAACTTTGAGAAAGCGAACGCGTTTCAACATTTTTGTTTATTACAACAGTTTCCGATTGCTTTGTTTAAGTTGCAAGAAAATGTGAGTGGTTTTGGACGAAGTTCAATAACAGGATACACTGATTGTATTTCTTTAAATATTGGCAATTACATCGTAATTATGCCTAACCTAATTGGTAGTTTCCTAGGCGAAATTATACACAAGAGGAAATTGAACGAAAAGTATCAATTTGCGGTTGTATTTTTTTGCCAACAGAGGGCATCGCTCGAAATGCCGCGACTTGCATACCGGGTGTTGCAAATCTGACACGGTCAAGGTAAAGAATCGCAAGTTCCTAATCCCAGACGAGGCACGCGGATACAAGGTCGACTAAATTTACGACAACGTTTAAAGTGAGAAATTCATTAATAACGCGAAATTGCGACAGCTCGCGGCAATTAACGGTCAACGAAAACTCGCCTTTTGCATTTCAATACGAATGCCTCTCGGCCAACAAATGTTAGTAGAGCAATGTTACCGCGAAATATAATTAGTAATTTGCCTTTATTACGTAAGTTATTCTAGAAATCAAGTGGAAAAATATTTATAAACATCTGATTTGGAATGTCGAATTAAGTATGGTGTAACTTATGCGTACACGATGACGCTTAGATAATAGTGAAATGAATTTGATTAGTTAATAATTTATTTGTGTTTAATTTAGTATTACATCTTGAACCAGGTGGCCTGTCTCTTTGGTTTTGAAACAAAAAATTGTTGAAGTGAAATTCTTAAACTCCAATTCATAATTTAACATTTTAATATGAGCGTAATTATCAATTAATTAGTTGCACTTTTTCGCATGCTCGACTTACCGAAAAACTTTTTTTTGTTTTGGATTTAACCTTCCTCATGCTGAAAGGCAAAAAATCGAAAGTCCTTCCTAATAAAATAATAATATTTACATTATACAGGGTGTATGCGATTGAAACACAGTTCGTGGTAGATAATAACAATCTGGAACTAAAGAAGAGAGTAGGTAAATTGGAAGCAACGCAGTTCATGTGTGACAACTCCGCTTTCACTTAAAATCCCTTCATCAGAATACGATAATTTTACATAAAATGATAAAATAATATTAATTATAGTACAACAATTTAACGGATGTCTTATTATCCTCCCCTTCACGGGGAGAAGTACAATTTTTTTGCACTTGTCGAATCTTTGTACGTGAGGAACTTTTATATGGGAGACAATACCAAGCGAACCTAAGTAGGTAGATATCCAATTACTCCTGGAAAGTAATTCAATCAGTCTAATTAGAGGTTTTTATGAACTCTGTTTTACATTAATTTGGGATACTCGATTCACTTTAGTCGTATATAACAAGTCCTTAGCAACAAAGGCGTGGTTAAATAAGCCTAATTTAACTGGAATTTACCAGATAGGGGGAGTGGTAACCAAATTTTTTAAAAATCAAATTTTTTTTAAAGATGAACGTAATTTATCGATCTACCTCAAATTTTATTAGCATAATCGTATGAAGCCATGCACATAATTTAATTAAAATAATTAATTAATTAATGAACTACCTGGTGTGATTACTAGTCGAATTAGATGCATCACCACGTACCTACTATGATTCGATTTGTTATTACACTAACGTTCCAAATTGTTTTTAATGAGTCCGATTTCGTTTCGCGGGCAATGTAAAGTAAGCGTAGGACGTTTTTCATCACTTTTGATTATGAACAGTTTGAGATACTTGAAAGATCTTTGACTTGGGGTGTCTAATTTACCTAAGTGTAAGTGAGTAATCACTAAACCTACTAAATTGAAAAAATTTCAGGAAAACAACGAGTCACTAATTTGTAGAGCGTAATTAAATTAACACAATTTGGACCATCAAGTAAGCGGCTTGTAACTAAGTTATATAATCATTAAAATCGATTAGCATATACATTTCCATTTAGTACAGAAAAATCGATGAAAAAATCACTTACAAAAATTCCTCCGAAAAGCGCTCACTTAATCCTTTAAGTACCTATGCGTATCGCGACTTGGTCCTTTCGGCGGATCGAAATTAGTGGGTAAATTCGCGAACAAAATCGAAAGTCAACTGCTAGGTAAAGTATGGGATATCAGTTATCATTTCTAAACGAAACTACCTGCCAAAGGAGAGGGAGCAGAGTAACATCTAGGACAACTTCTTTCTTCGAACTGCTTGCAGTACACAAGTAATTACCTACAAGATGCACACGCAGAAGGAAGTTATTGCAAGTAGTAATTTTTCGACTTCTTCTTCCTTGCCGTGATAAAATTGTATGTATTAAGTTACTTAACGTTCAGCTAGAGTAAGTACACGATATGTATTGAGAAACAAACCACATATGCTAATTACGAAGAAATCTTCTGGCAAATATTTATAGTACTCACTTCCTAATCTAAGGGCCTTATGTAATTCCATTTTTTACATTAGACAAATATTTAAAGCTTCATTACAATCTGCACCCCTAATCTTTTTCCTACTACCAGTGCCTCTCACACAATATATTCGTCACCACTTTTATGCGTTTGCAAAGATTATTTTCACGCTTCTGAAGCTTTCAATGTAAAAAGTAAGTAATTACCTTCCTAATAGGTTCCGGTATCAGAGCAACAACCAAACAAGTATTAAAGTCTGCGCATCCATGCGAATGACGATAACACATTTTCTTTTCTTTATTTGTCATAAGCTTGGCATCTCCAGTTTCTCCTGACTTCACTCCAGAAATAGTCAACAACCTACAGACATTTCGATCTAGACACCCCCAATACATCCTCCGATGATTCTGGAAAATGTTGCCAAAGAAAATAAAGCTATTTGCATTGTCCAACAAATCGTTTATTTAGAAAAATAGAAAATGGAAATTATACAAAAAATATTAAAATCACGCATATAAAACACAAAATAACAACAAACTTTTATGGAGGGATGATTTCGTGATCGCCATTCAAAACAAGATGCCAAACGTAACCTACCCTGGTATCCTCCAGATGGCGCGCACAGCGTTTCCCCTTCTAAAAAGTCACGCGGAAGGGTGAGATGAAAAATCCCAAAGTAATATTTGTAGCTTTCTTTATTACTTGAATATAAACCGAAACAGAATCTATTCGAAACTAAAATATAACTAAATTGTTTAATTATGCCTCTACGGGACTTTTCCGACCTGCTAATCTTCAATGACTATCTAGAAAGAAAATAATATGAGCAACCTACTTTACTGGATATAAATATTCGAAGTATAGAAACTAAGCTAGCTGAACCTATCTGTTGTGTGATCACTAAATTTAAACCTACCTATGATGTAATGATCACAGCAAATCGTTGGGTTAGCATACTACATGGCATGAAGGAAACAAAGCACGCGTCAGCCACTAGGGTAATGTGTGAGAGGAACACATACCTACCACCCCGTCAGCGGTAGATAAAATGAAATAAACCATTGTCCATTCTAATGACATCATATGTCATTCTTATTAAAAATAGGACACAGAGCACGATATAAAATGAAGTTCAGAACAGAATTCAATGTTGTTTCCATGGAAATGACGTGAAAATTTAAGCTTGCGATAATGGACGTGTAAATTAAATACCTACAGAATTCTTAGATAAAGGGAAACTATCCATCTCGCAAAAGTTGTTTCACTCAATGGTTAAAATATCTCTCTATCATCTTGTATAATAAATAACAATGATGAGGTTGTTCCTTGCCTAATCAAGTTTACAATTAATAAAAGGGCACTTTCGTTTGCTGTATCGATTTCCGGTCTGTGCACTGCTGCTCTCTATGACAAGATATCTCAACTCTTGTTGCAGAAATCACACCGATATGAAGAAATATTTTCCAAACCACTGCAGGATGTCGCACAAGTTTATAATTATGAATTATTTTTGCTTTTTTAAAAAAAAAACGCCATCAGGTGCCACAACACCTTACGTACATAAAATTTTATTTACAAACTAAACTTACAAGTAAATAATCACAGACCTTTTTCACCTATGTATGGATTGAGAGTAAACCAGAAACACAGATTCCTTCATCTAACTTCTGTAATAAAAACCAACACCCCAAACGTAACGAATCCTTAGTAGCACATTTATATTTATTAAAAACCTCTCCCGTAAATAATTCGAACCTTAATTCTCCCGAAGCCCATTATTTACAGCACTCCGCTTTACTTATTTATAATTTTTTTTTGTCACAATTAATTATATTACTAAAATCCAAATTCGTCGCGTTCGCCCTTTGTCGCTTTAAATTATAAAATGTCACCGAGGATTGATTACGATGCATGCGATCGTGATGAGGAACTGCACCTGCTGTATGCACAGGGGTGACTTTCCGTTTGTGTCTCTTGATATGTGACTTCTGGCCGATTCGGCGATGCCTAAAAATGACGGGCATTAGTCGGTACGAAAGCGTAGAAATTGACTAATTGACACAGCTATCTATCAATTAGCACTAATTGACACATACATCTGTCAGTTGAATAGTAAGTTTTGTCAGATTAATGGTGGGTTTATGTATAACCACAATCATTATCATTAGATCATTAAGAAATACCCAATAGAAACAAAGGTATGGTTTCGTTGGTTGGCGACGCACAATAAACCTTTGTTCCTATTGGCTATTTCGTAATGATGTAATAATAGTGAACTAATGATAATGACTGTATAAACCCATGCTAATTAATAAAAAGTTTCGCTTTCATAAGTAAATATACTCACCTCCGACTCCGTTCACGTACTCGTGCGTTCCTGCGTGGCTGACTTTGATTTCTGAAATACACAAATCGTAGTTATTGTCAGTTAAAACCTCAACTTGCACTAACAAGCAAAGGGAAGAAGGAAAGGAAGTGGTTTTTTGGCTCGGTGGGTTGTTTTATTAACCTCTCATCATCTCTTAAAGCTTACGCGACTATAATGGTATTATAATTATTATCTGTGCATTCTTTCGCCGGTGAATCTTTTTTTGTGAACTTTATATGTAAGTACAGTGTCTTTTTTTGGTTTTGATTGAACGCTTTGAAAATAGTTCGGGGTTTTTTCAACGGGGAAATTCCAGGCCACGAAAACTGAGACATCCCCCTGACTAACACCACTACCTGAAACAGAGAGGGGGGGGATAAGGTGTCTCACCGGGGAGGGATAAGGTGCCCTGTTCTACTTTTGGTCAAACAAAAAGTGTGCGTGTTTCCAGTTTCCACATAGGTACAGTTTGTCAGATCGGGGAAAAAAGCACTTTCTCCCCCTGATTAAGAGATATCTTCCATCGCGTTTTGTTAGTAATATAAAATGTTGAACAAGTCCGGTAAAACAAAATCGCTACTCGAAATGGAATGATGGGATGGGAACGCAAATATTTATCAAATTCCGCAGCGCGCACGGAAAATGAATCTAATAACCCGAATGCGGTGGAATTAAATTGAAAGGGGCGTAAAAGTAGTGTGTTGATTTATAAAATGTTCGATTGATTTTTCACCAGTAGGCACCTACGTACAAAATCCCATTGGGAAAAACGCCATATGGTATGATTACGTGAAAAGCTGGGGAGGAGTTTTTTTTACTAATCTCTCTGTAAATTTAATATAATACGAAAAAGAAAGCTTTTCCAGCTTTGTCTTTTTGTTCGCGCAGTTTTTGCTCTCCGCGCTTGTTCGTCTGTTCGTACCGGGGTGAGTTTCAATTGAGTAAATACAAAGAGGTATACGTGTTCGAGGGGTTGGGATAGAATTACGGGCTTTACGTAAACACGGTGATTTTAATTGTTGCAGGAAATATAAGGCAGGTATGTATCAATCAATACCAAATACAGAGATTTTAATGGAAAACGATTACCATTCACAACGAATTAGACGTTCAAATATGGAATAGAAATTTCGCACAATATTGTTATTTTCCCCCCAAATAAATAAATAAACATCGCCGAAACGTTGTGAACCTCGGTTTAAGGGCAAAAAACAATTAAAACATCGAAAAACGAGAAACAAATTGAAGAAAGGCAAATTTTGGTACTTTGGGGGAGGTAGCCTATAATACGAAACTATTTGGAATTTGTTTTTGCCCTCCTTGTGAAGAACTATTTATTGTTTCAATTGAATGCAAGAGCGATATTTTGTGATGACCATGTCAACGCAATCCTTATTTGATAACTGTGGCAAGCTGGTCAAGTATGGGCGATTCTGCACAGATGGATGCAAGGGTCTTAAGGGATTGCGTTCTGGTCACGGTCGTAGAAGATGCTAAGTAGAGGTAGAGATCAGAAGTATTAGTGAGTTTGGTGTAATATGAGTGTCTTCCACGTGTAGGTGGTGAGTATATTGTGCAGGCCATCGTGCTTTGTTGTTGGGCTATTGTAAAACTCCACAGATATCCGGATATATTCCTATGGGCCTCGAGAGTACATACATAAACTGACGTTTACATTGGTCAAGTTGCTTGACCTAAGTTTACTTGATCAAGCAAGCTTGAATGAACTTGACCAGGGGCGGACTGGGTAACTGCGGGCCAGTGGAATTGCATAGGTTACGGGCCATTAAAGTATTAGTGTAGTAATGAAGGTGCCGGGGGGGGGGGGGGGTAGCTTTGAGGTGCACCACAAAAAAACATTTTAGTACAAGACTTCTTTCTCGAAATAAATTTACCATACAGTTTTTTTTTTTAAATTCAGCTAACCTTACATCAACCCCAATTAGAGAACGTGTTAATAATTTATTAATAGTGCAGAACTAAATACAGCACATACTTAACATTTCCAACGGGCCATTATGATCTACAGGCCAGGGTGTATCCATTAAAGTATTAGTGTAGTAATGAAGGCGCCGGGGGGGGGGGGGTAGCTCTGAGGTGCACCACAAAAACATTTTAAAGTACTCCTTTCTCGAAAATCAATTACCATACAGTTTTTTTTTTTAATTGCAGCTGATAATTAAAAGTAACAAAATATACAATCCACACGAGGTGCGTCGCCTATCATTGTATTTCAGCACTTTCAAAATACTACGACAAAAAATGATAAATTCATTGTAAAACACTTCAATTAAAACATAATTTTTTAACAACCTAACATCAACCCCAATTAGAGAAACGTGATAATAATTTATTAATAGTGCAAGAAACTAAATACAGCACATACTTATAAATTTTCAAGGGGCCATTATGATCTACAGGCTAGGTGGCAATCGCCACCCGCCCCCCGTGCCAGTCCGCCCCTGAACTTGATCCGTGTAAACGCTTCTTTAAATATTTCATTGTTTGTTGAAGTAGTACTTGACTCCTAGATTCAAATGGCAAATAAAAATTGAACATGTTTCAGATGAATTACGAATAAACGAAGTCTGGTAGTAAGAAACTTTTCGCATTGCTAATAGTCAATAATATATGTACCAAGATTTCAACCCCAAAGCCACACGAGAGTACCTAAAGCTAAATTAGAACTTGTTAACCTATACAAGCTCGCCTACATCAAATTTTCGGAAAGCTCGTTAATGGTGTATAAACGCGTTTTAATAAACTAATCTCCAAAGTGTGGGAGTAATTGACACAAAACGTCGAACAATAATTTAAAAAGGCTTAGTGCCATAAATCATCCACTTAGTCAGCACAATTAGGGGGAGTTCAATTAATTCGATTAGTTGGCGTTTTCAAAACGAACAACGTCAATAATAATAATAATAATAATGTAAAAAGACCTACCGTACAAACGTAGCGTTCCTTCGGCTCGTCCTAATGAATTCGTTGACACGCAATTGTAGGTTCCGACGTCCTTTGTGGAGAACGAACGAACAATAAGTGACATGTATACTCTGTATCCTTTTCGCTGCTCTCTTATTGCGTAACGTGTCCTGAAAAGGGAAAAACGAAAATCCATCTTAACAAGACGTCGGCTACATTTAAATTATGCACCTTGAGCATCGAGGCGACAGCTTTAAGTGCGCCTTCTAACGCAAATCAGGGGGGAGGGTTAAATTAAATTGGCACCTCACCTTTTCAAATCACCAAAATTCTGTGAAAAAAAAATTCGTGCACGCATCAAAATGCTATTTTTTTGCTTCTTGTTTCTGACAAGTTCAAAATTGTCAATTGGTGTGCAACGTATACAAAATTATAGCATTTTGATCAGAGAAAAAGAGAAGAGCCAAAATGAGTCACAATATTTTGACCAATTCAGAGGTAACAACTTAATTCACCCCAAATCATTATTCAATTATATTTCATATTAGATATAGGAAAATAGCATAAGCAGAAAAACTAATCTGCTTTCAATTTCTGATAAAACCTATTGAAAAAAACAAGTGATATAAAAACAAGAGCATCAGAAAACATAAATAGAATGGTTACTTTTTTCTGCTATATTCTTAAAGAGCTCTTTACAATTATATCACATATCTTATAATTACCTTAGAAATTAAAGCAACAGTATAGGTAAGTACTGTTTTTAAAACCAATCGCAGTAACTGTGGAAATTTAAACAAAAACAAAAGAGAGTTTTTCACTTGTCACGTCTGTCATAAAATCAGTTGAGTGAACAATGCAACTTATAAGAACCACAATGCAACAAAATAATAATTACACAAATTATGATGTGTTAAGAGGTGGAATGTAATGTGTAATGATAATACATAGAAAGCAAGTGCAATATGTTTAAATTTGTCTTAAGTTATAATTATATGTAACTGCTTTTCATTTGTTTTCTTCGCTTCCTGTTGTAAATTTTATGCGTTTGTTTAAATTTCCACAGCTACCGCGATTTGCTCTAAACGCATTGCTGTAAGTTTAATTTCCCACTTTAGAATATAAAAATTCGCCCTTTAAGAAAACTAGGCCCCAAAGAAAATATAGCAGTATACACATCCAGGCAAGCTTCTTTTCATCTAAGTTTTCCTTCGAGGAATATCTCGAATTTCCAGGGAGACCTCCATATTTCTTTTAGATTCGCATACTTCAGTGGAAAATAGACTTCAATAGCATATTATGGATCAGGTTTTACGACATATATATATATACGACGACGATCAATATAATATAATATAATATGTGTGGACGGATCCTTATGGGTTTATTAACGTAAATTTTTGAAGTGGATTAATTTTTTTTAATGGAAAAGGACTTGGAAAACAAAATGAGGGGGGGTGAAGGGTAGATCTTGATCAATAGTACTTCACAGAAAAAACGCGTCAAGTTGTAACTGTCGTAAACCCACAAATGGAATGCATTCAGTGTTTCACCTCACAATAAAAAGGTGCTTTGAATTGTTCCCAAACGGGTCATTAATCTAACTTTGAACACTTTCAGTGGTATTTCCATTAAATGTAATTTATAAATATTGCATACGACTATAGACGTGTTATCCTTTTTCTTTTCGAGAAAAATGCAGGCGCGCACGCGAATTTCCGAACTTTTCCCAAGGATTATGTCGTCGATATACCGAGGCTTCTATGTGTACGCAGATAAAATTTTACAGTTGATAAAATGTATTCAATTTGTGCTATACACTTCATCATGTCTCAGCAGCTTGATGCATGTTTGCATGTTTTCGGTTCCGTTTCATCGACCACGTAAGTTTGTCATCATTTATCATCTAATGCACCGAAATTTACTCCTGAATTGGAAATAATTGCAAAACGGCGGTGATGGATCAATCTTTCACTTACACGATGGGCTTGCCCAATTTCCCTTTTCGGTCCCCCGTCAACGAATTTCGGAATTAGATCAGAGGTCAACAAAGCGAACACTTAGGAGATAAATCAATACACGTTACTAAAACTTTTTTATTTCTTTTCGGTAGTTTCGTCGATTCAAAGAGAAAAGTTACCTGATCAATCTGAAGCTTCGGGAACGGCGGCAAGAGAAATGAGATTCGATATTTAATGTTGCTCCAAATTACTCCCAACCCCAGTTCTCGTATAGAAATGTGTCTATTGTCATGTAAGGAAATTGTTCCCAACTGTTGTAGTCAATCGCTTTCATATAATAGGCAGTACCGTTTTTGTTATTAATTAGGAATCGGGTCTTTCCAAAATTTGCTTATCGGCGAGTCAATTTAAAAGGTCAGTTAACAGTGAGCATTGGGAAATATATCAGCACTTTGCTGCTGTACGGAAATCAAAAGGGCCTTGACAAGAACAATGATGCTGACATCCTATTAAAAAAATTCAATTGTTTTTCGTTAGTCATTTGTTTTCTGAAAACAACTGAATGCTGCCTTATTACGGGCAATAAAATGTTAAACAACTTTCATATAGAAAAATGTTGTATACATTCGATATTGACCGAGATATATACTATATTCCATACATAATGAGCACCCTGTATGCCATAGCGTTGAGCTTTTCAATGCCACTTCTAATGTTAGAATATTTGAAATAATGAATGAGATTGCTATTACTATATTGAAAGAAAATATTGATTGTGGAAACAATAAGAAAAATTAAAGAAAAGAAACGAAAACTAACAAATGGCGAACGAAAACGTTTCGGCGATTTGTTAAAAATGAAAATGTATATAGGAAAACCGTACGGTTATTTGACACGTTCCAACGCCATTTTCTAATATTTACACACGGGTCATTTGAAGCTTGCAAGGAAGGGGCGACGAAAAAAACGAGAGCGTTACAATACATCAAAAAGTGATTTAGTTTTTCGCGAATTTTCCTCAAGGCACGTTTCGATTGTAAACCATCGCCATTACTCCTTCGGCGTGGAAGTAACTCGCGCAACAATTTTCCGTTTGATCCTATTCTCATTTCGTTATTCCAAATATTTACAACAAAGAATTTCGTATTAATCATTTACGAATTTCGCTTTTTGACAGTAAGGAAACCGCCGCCGCCGCGTGCCCGATCGGAAACCCCACTTCGAAAATTCGATAAACGCGAAATTGTTTTACTTAAAAAGCTTTTTCCTTTGTCAACAAAAAAAAAACAATTCCATTTCGAAGATGACGCTGACGGTAGCGTCGTCGTCGCCGGAAAATGTTACAAAGAGCTTTGATTTACGTGTGCGATAAATTAAGCGGGAGCGGAAGACAAATATTCACGTCGTTGCTAGCTGTCATCGAGCTCTTATTTAGTAGACAAGCATGGCAGGCATAGGTGGGTAAAATTGAATTCTTTGAGCTTACCCGTTCAAAAGCATTTCGCCCCGGTTCTTCAGCCAATAATTGATAGTGTTGGGAAAGGCCTCGACGTAGCACTCCAGCTGTACATCGGTATTCAGTGGAGCTCCCAAAAGTTGATTGGGCACTTTAATAACGGGAGCAACTAAAATAAATTACATAAATTAATTTAAGAGGGAAATTTTCGCGCTCTTAAGAAAATTATATTTGCATTTTTTATAAAGACAAATGTTCTTTCTCCAAATTACGCCCGTGACGCATTTCAGTCGCGCCATCTGGGAACTGCACAGAAAAATAATATGCTCAAGCATTACGGTTTTGCAAATTCGGGGCAATTATATTCAACAGGGTCCGTCCGTTCGTCCTTGTCGACTTATATAACATTTTTTCAGCGCTTCCGCCAGGAAATTTTGCCGACCTGCGTAGCTCAGAAGAGCTTACGTTAGAAGCTCTAACTTTGGCTACAAGGGTCCTGGGTTCGAATCCCAGGTAAGGCATGGCTGTTTGTGATTGTATAGTGGGTTGAGTGGGAAGAGTAGCAAATTGCTAACACTCCGCCCACTATAAAATAAAGGCAATAAAAAAAAAAATCTAAAATGTAAAGTGAAACTCAACGGGGTTCACAGTTTCAAAATGGTGGTTGAAAACGAAATGACTATAGGAATAAGGTGACCCAAAGTACCAACTCATTATTCACGTTCAAATGCCAAGGCTCGTGGAAAAGTAGAGACAGCGGCAGATAGTGGAGTGCAGACTTTTAGTTTTAGAGCACTTTTTCGAAACTTCCCTCATCTCCGATACGATAAATATACAACAACAGACCGCAATAAATAAAACTAAAGCTCAGAGAGTGTAAGGCTCTCGCAGAAAGTTTGACAATAAATATAGGGAGGGAAGCTTTGCAATACATTCTGTATTAAAGTTGCTAATCCGTTGTCTGTCCATTGACTTTCGTCTTCAAAGTTGCGATCAGTTAAGGGGGTCGCCCTTCATTCCAGTACCCATCCTACAAGTTTGTCGTTTTGCAGAAAAGTTGCTAACAAGTTTATCAGTTCGTAACGAGCACATTTCCACGTTCTAACCTTGTAAAGCTTGATCGGGGCTGATAAATTTTGTAATGGATCGGGTGCACCTCCTCGTACCGACGTAAATCGGTTTTGTTACAGACCGAGATTTATGTCGGGGGCAATTTGGTTAATTATCGCTGACGTCTTGGCGTTTGCTAATTTGACAAATGAAACGCTGCAGATTTTTTGTTCATTATATCACTTACAGTTGACACTTAGGGCGATCCTTTTGCTCACAGCTGGTGGTACATCGTTGCTTGCGATGCACAAGTAAGCTCCCATTTGTTTTCGATCCAACCGCCAAAAATGAAGGTTGCTTCCATTATAGATGTCAACTGAAACAAGAGATAATGTTTTAGAAATATGTATCTCTATAGAAACCAATTTCGAAAAAAAATTCAAAGGGCTGTAACTTGTGAACTAGTAGCCCAATCTTGGAACTGTTTGAAATTATGGATTCTACAGGCCACATTCTATAAGAAAATTTTTTTCCGGCTCGATCTAAGACAATTTTTTTTCGGGGCTCAAAAAAAGGCAGTGTATAACCTTCCTTTTTTTTACCAAAATTTGACTACATCAAAATTTCTCGGGAAAACACTTTTTCTTATTAATTTGGGTGCGTAGAATCCAAATCGATTCTTACTTTTTCGATCAGACATCTCAATCAAATGTTATAGACTAGAAACCAATTTCGAAAAAAAATTCAAAAGGCTGTAACTTTTGAACTAGTAGCCCAATCTTGGAACTGTTTGAAATTATGATTCTACAGGTTACATACTATAAGAAAATTTCTTTTCCGGGTCGATCTGAGACAATTTCTTTTTTTTTTTTACCAAAAATCAAAAGTCTCATCTTCATTAAACCAAACTAAATTCAACGGTCGATCGTTTACGTTGGTAGTACCGATCAAAATGTATCAAATAGTTATGTAACTTACAAAAATTACGGTTTTTTAAATTAAAAACGTGTTACGTAAGTTTCATAAAAGACATAAATTACATAAAAAAACCGGCCTCTTGTAAGTTACGCGTAATATAACCGTTTTTTATGTAACTTACAAATCGTTATTTTACAATCCACATCACTAATCTCTATTGAAAATTAATTTAGTTTTTGGAACATTGGTATAACCGCCCTCCTTTGTAACTTTGAGGGTGCTGCGATTATTGGTTTTATTTGGCTCGATCGCTCTGAAAAACTAAATATTACAATAAGTCCGGAACTTACGCCATATACAGGGTGTCACGATTAACATGTTAACGTAATTCTTCGTTGGACATTCCAATCAGTCGCGATTTGGCAAACACTTTTCATAAAAATCCGATACAATTGAATACCGAATGTGGCGATGCGCCGTTTGTACAAAACTAAAAAAAAATGAAAACGTTTGTGTTTCTTCCTTTTTTTCTAAAATCATCCTCATCCATCCCCCATTATGTACCCCCTACTTCAATTTTGTTCTCGCCTTTTCTATGTTCACCTCAACTTGTAGGTTTTTTTGATCATTTATATGTGCTTTCTTTCTCTTTTCCTTTTTCCATCTTTACTCTTTTTATCGATAGATCAGTCCTTTTTTTTCTGTCTTTTCTCTCATTTGCTTCTAGTATTACCATCCTTTCTATCCGTTCTTCTTTTTTCTTACGCGATTGCTCTTGCCATTTCTTCTTCTTCCCTCTTGATCCTCCAATTTCATCTGTAATCTTCTCTTTCATGTTATCCATTTGCACTTATTCCCCTTTCTTCAATCAATGTTTCCATTACTTTTTACATGTTTTCCGACTAAATCGCTTAATCTCCTATAATTTGACACCCTTTATTTAGCTCTTATTTTAATAAAAACCTACGCTATCCCTTGTCTCATTCACTCTTTATCGCTATTTTACCTCTATCTTCATCTCCCTTCAATCTAGCGCGGCTCCCGATAACTTATCTCACCAAAACCACCAACTTCGAAATACAAACCTTACCTTCACGTCATACTATACACGTTACTAAATAGAGCCTATGTTTGCAACTCAATCCCTAAATTTAATACATTCCATATCTAAACCGTAATGGAATACCACACTTAAAGCAATTAACACGCCGTTGCAACGCGATGCCGCTCTGCTGATAAAATTTCAATTAGACCAACAAAAAGCAAGCATCTTCCTAAAATTGTTCCCTAATGTTCATAATTACCCATGCATTTAAACTAGATTGGGTAATAAGGAGCTATAAAAAAAGGATCCGGGGTGGTTCGGAGTAATCTCACTTTAACGGATGTTATGTATGATCGACTGAATAATTTATAGGTATTGTAGTAGGCCTTGAAGGAGCTAAGCCGATCTCAAAGCGATATTTCATCTTCCTATCGGTACATTTCATGCATAAGTATTAGGTTATTTTGATGCCGCGATGGGGGCGAAATGATTATACGATGATAAAAAATAAGTAACAGATTTGTATGTAAAGAAAATACGCGAAATCTTATCTCCTTCTACGTTCCTCGTGTTAGATTTGGCGTGCGCGGATGCTGATTTCCTTTCATTTCGTGTCCGGAAATCTAACCACTCGTTAACGATTTGCATTTATCTCGAGGGCGGAAATTTTACTTGGCTAAACATTTCAAGGATAAGTATCACTGTGGTACTGTGACAATATTGGTCCTTCACAAGCCTGCAGAGAGATGGCATGACATATGCGAGACCATTGTTTAGTTTCACGCCGTCAGATGGCGAGGTATTCTAAACTGCATTCGCCAGAGTAATAAATCCCAAACGAAATAAATATTAAAGCATAATTTTTCAAGATGCCATGCTTTGATTTACGGTGGTTCCATTTCTTTCCCAGAAAGCTCCCGCCATTAGCTCACAGGTGTGTGTTGGTGGTACAATGTTAGCGTTGCACATCGCGCGAATCATTTTTCATGTCTAGTTTAAAAAATGAACGTGTAAAAGCTTTTTCTGATAAATGCGAGACTAAAGTAATATCCGAAGTGGAGTATAGGTACGTGCCCTGTTAGAAGCTCATTGTTGAAAAATGTTTTTTACATTGAAAAAGAAATATTACCTACGAAAAGCCATAAAAGTAATGGCGGCACGTTTCATGAATACTAAAAGTGAATTAAATAATAATTTGTATAATGGGTACCCACCTTCCACGATTTCCTTGTGCCCTTTACGAATTGTAATGGGATGACCGTCTTCGCGCCTCCATGCGATACGTGGTGATGGATGTCCAACTGCCTTACACCAAAGCGTCGTATTTTCCCCTTCCAGAACGGATAAATCGCCGCTAGTGTCGTCGTTCACTATATCTGGCGGAACTGGAACAAAAGTAAACGAAACTTTTACTCGAATCTGAATTTTTTATGGACGCTCGTTTTTTGAGGTTAGACACACGTTCGCAAATTTATACAAACTACCAAAGATGGCGTACAAAATAATTTATTAACTTCGCCTAAATGGAACAATAGTTCACGATGTCACCAGGCACGAAAAGCGCCTCGAAGGCTCCCACATACATTAAGGAAATTGGAAATGTGCGAGTTCTAAGCTAATTCATTTATAAAGTCGCATTTTAGTACTGCCGCATTAAAGAACTTCAACGCAATATGAACTGCTTCCATCTTGTAATGACCATCGTACATGTAATTAACTACAAGATCCGCTACTTCACCATTTGGATTGAGCAGAAGCATAAATTTGTCCATTATGGTTTGTTAATAGCATGGTTGGTCTTGTGTTTCTTTAATGGCTAAAATTTGAAAGCGGCACTCATATTTTCGGGCCACACCGGGAGCCACACTGATTCAATCTTCCCCTTTTCAGCGGTTCTTTAGAGTTTAACGCTGTCGAACATTCAACTTTGTAAGGATTTTGACCGCAACGGCAACTTAGACAAAACGCGCGCCGAGGACAATAAAAATTCATATCGCCAGTTTGTCCCGACAAAAGACATGCAAACTTGAGTGTAATTATTTTTAGTCGAGAGGAGAAAGATTCCTCCCGACGATTTTTACGACGCGAATCTTGCGGAGACGCAATTACTTATTCTTCTAGTCAATAAAGTTGCGTTTCAAAAAGGTTCCTCCGTGTGCACTCCTTTTAAACTGAAACGAGGAATTTACAATAAAGCTCTCGGGCGCATTTAATCTTGAATGATTTAAAACCCTCAACGTTAACGTAGGACCGGTGGTTTTTATGAACAAATATAAATGCAGAGGAACGAGCTTTTCGCACACGATATAAAATATTATCATATATGCGTTTTTCGGTTGCAATTCTCTCAGGTCGTCTAAAGCCTGTCATGATTTATGTGCGTCTCGAGGGAGCAAAACTTTCGTATTGGCGGAAAATCTTTTACTTAATTATCTTTGACTGAAGCTCCAGTAATTGCTAAAAGCTCTAAGCCGATCAAGTCTGAATGAACGTTTCCATAAATGCCATAAAAGGCGAAAGGTCACGTCTCCAAGTATTAGTTGCGAAGTGATATTTTCTTTGGTTTGCAGTAAACGATTACAGGCCCAATTAAAAATCCCCGAAAGCATCGAATCACCGTACAAGTTTATAACGTCAGATAAATGCAAGCGGCGCGGCGTGTCCAAACTTAAGGACTTAGGTTAATAATTTACAAATATTCCAAATCCCGCATTATTTACTACGTTGCGTAATTGCATTTTCATACATACACAAGGGAGGGTATTATGCAAATTAGGCACAACCGCCGCTTATACTAAAACGAATAAAAGTCTTGGTCTCGTATAATTTCGGATATACAAAGGGAGCTTTCTGGAAAGACGTGCCCTTTTCAGTACTTAATCTGGGGTAATTAAAAAATTAAAGTGAATGTCTGTTTTGCGACGAGACAATTAAATTTCAACTTAAATTCCGTATGACATTAATTTCGTAGATTACGATATTAATACGAGCGCGGAGACAAATAAGAAGCGATTATCGGATGGGTTTATATATAAAAAAAGGACCACAATGCCAAACACAGGCGATTTGGTCAGAATAATTTGAAACACTCGTTATAATTTATACTGAATGAGCACATTTATTTACGTTAATAATGACTGATGGTCACAAATTTATTTATTTTGTCTGAATTGTTATAGAAAATGAATTGTTTGTGTTAAGCCTACTCTTGTTACCTAAGAGCTGAACCAGAAAAGTATCTCATCCCTGCTACCAAATTGGGCTGTAGACTTAGCTAATTTTCAGTCACAAAATGAGGCAAGTGCTATTTTTTCGCGCAGTCATAAATGTGGAATTAAACTCCAATTAAATAATCCTTCAGCTTCATGGCTTTTTATTATTATCAGCTCCTTGTGCCAGGTAATCTCGCGTGAGCGTTCCATGAAATGCCCTCGCCAAATGCAAGTTGGTTGGTTTCCTTGGAATGGACATCCCTTGCGAGGGTGTTAAGCCATTCGCATGGACTTATCGTTACTAACCACCGTCCACGCTCTTCATAGACTACTAGGCATGTTCAACTATTATAGAAGATTTCCAATAAGTTGTAAAAGCTATCATGATACCATCGTCGTCCAAAAAATAAAAAAGGTGTAGATATGCGCCATTTTGGTAGAGCAAATTGTTTCCGTTTTCAAACGTTTTGTTCGACACTCAAATCCTTGTCTAGCTTTGCAATTTTAGACGTTTGATACTAAAATTCAACAGGATTCCAATCGATTCCCGCCGTTGCCCGATATGCGATAAGACCGACGCCACTCACGTTTCTTGTAGCTCTCGTTGGGGATAAATGCAAACGATTCATAACTCGATTTCGCTATCGCATCCTCTGTCTACATCCATCATGTAAAACGATAAAGAAAATTAGAATAACAATCTCCTACTTACTCAAACTTTAAAAGGGAACGTTTTGAATTACCGTCCAACCTGATTTACGATTTCAAAGATGTAGTATGTAACGATGTTATGAACTAAACTCATTTTGCTAAACAAGTCTCATAAAGAAAGGGGACGTCACATAAAAATGTGAGCTCGAAATGAAATATTATAGGAGCGAAAGATTTTATTTAAGAGTTTACAATATACATGTAACTAATTCCACTCACAATTCCCTTTTCCTTTGTTGTTACACAAAATAAGATTATGAATATTTATTACGTTGCATTCCGCGATGGAGAAACGCGTATCATTATACTTTTACAAACTTTTAAATTGAAATAGAAAAAATTTCCTACGGAATAAAATATTTCGCTTGACGTTGTTCGGGTGTCGCTTTTCAACTAACCCCAAATTGAGTTGTGAGTTTTTCATTATAAGTACAGGAAATGTAAATTTTTCTTATTTAAAATGTGAATGCGGGTAATATTTGTATCCGCTCTTTCTTGTTCGAAATGGCAAATTTCTCGTCGGTTTGAGTAATTCCGTTCGGTATTTTCACATTTCATACCGAATTTCGTGGTTTCTCCCTAATACTTTGAGCATCCCCCCTATGTAAACTAAGCTACACCTGTAGGATTTCCACGCGAGAATTCATTTATATACAGGGCATGTAAGTCTCAAGTGTTAAGTGTATTAAAATTATTATGCGAGGGCATTGGCACCAAACTAACAATACCTACCGAACCTAAAAAACATACTGTCCCTACTTGGCTTTTCACTAATTACGAGTTATCCAAAGGAAAATGCCGACTTTGTTATCAAAACCGTTACGCATTTGGCGCATTTATGCGGCAAAATGAATTTCAAATTGGAATAAAATCCAAGAATGGTTTGGGTTAGAACAAAGCGCGCTTCGCATCTTGAACAAATTCATTAAATCGATCAGGCAAAATTTAGTCAATCCATCCTTTTCATCACCAATAAAAATCCGTATGAGTTAGTTGCATCTAAGTATAAATCCACCCGATATTGCCCAGTCGATTACCGGTGATGAACTGTATATTGCACAAATACCAATTTATAACCTGGCCCACTTTGCACATAAAACGAAAAGAAAGCAGGTGGTTCGTATTAAAGTAACCAACAGCAGAATAAAAAACGTACCTGATATATTGGATTGACTTTGCCTTCCTAGTGCGCGGTAAAAAAAACCCTACGATAAAGTATTTATAAATGTTTTATGGGGGGCAATCTTAATCCTTGAGGGTTTAAAAATTACGTAATGATACCACGTTTTGACATTTTTATGCGTACGAAGGGAACGGCGCGCGAACTCCTAAAAAGAATAAGTGATTAATCGTTTCGCGCCTTAAAAACCGCACTTTTTGCGCCGGTGTGGAAATTTGCTAGCAATTACCCCCGTTTCGTTTTTTTTTCTTGCTCTCGGGCAGGGGAAATCGATACGGATCGATGACGGTGACGTCCTAATCTAACCTATAAAATTTGAAAAGTGTTTTGGTATTTGGTAATATGCCATTTAGTACGTCGATATAAAATCACTCGGTTTATTATCATTTTATTATCGAGAGCAATAAAAGTGAGCACTGCGAGCAGCTAAGTTTTATAACCATAAATTTCTCGTACCTCGTGTATTACACGAATCAATAACGCAGTTAGCATCCTCTGGTGGAGGCATCTGGAGAAAAATGTATCCCATACATCAACGTCAATGGTGCTCTTTTTATTAAATTATTATGTAAAAAGATACAGTGTGAAAGGACTTACATTATCGTGGAATGAAGACGAGCAGAATGACGTATTAAAAGTTTAAGCTTTTAAAAGCGTCATATGTAATTTATGATCTCGGTAACATCTGGATATACGATAGCACTACTGCTGAAAGATAAAAATGCCCTTTCAGACAAATTGTTCGTGTATGAAATTGAAAATTAATGTCTCTGTTACGCACAGTTGCTTTATCAGCTTATCATCTTTAAATAAGTACCCTATTTATGTGTTCTCCACGATTTAGCTTTGTTCATTAACCGAAATCAAAATCATAAATTGAATTCTGACAAATTTTGTGGCTTGTGTTGAGTTTTCATAGAAGCTTCATTATGTGTGAAAAAGGTGAAGAGATGTTTAGCGAGCGACGCTAAATAAAATACTGTTGCATTTTATGGAGTATATTTCCAATATGTACAAAATGGTAGCCGAAGTGCACGCGGCGAGAGCTGTCGTCGGAGTGAGCGTGGATGCAGGGTTTTCTGTGGTGGAGCGTGGCGCGAGGTCGAGCTGGCAAGACGAACTGGTTCTGCAGAGAGTGTAACCGGGTTTTAAATACAATTAAGGGCTTCTAAACCTTTAGCAGGCACTTTTTGCAAGATTCTTAAAAGCTGGACTATTGATGGCTAAGGCTCTTAAAGGCTCATAAAGGTCTTGAAAAGCTACCAACTGCTCTAAAATTTTCTATAAATGATTTGAAAGGTCTAAAAGACCTTAGAGGATTCCAGAGTGTCTCTCTGATATAATTTGAAGATCTCTTAAAGGCTTCTACAAATCTATACAGGCTCTAAAATGGGACTAGAAGACGGTTAATATGCGCTAATCTCCTAAACTATACTTGTGATGCCCTAATCTGTGATTTTTAAGAGAGATTTCTCTATTTAATAAATTGGAACGGAACAGTTCTGAAGGGAAAATGTTTCAGGCACAGCGAGAACAATTTGAATGGCGTAATGAGCGCCCTCATTGGAAACGTGACACTATTTCCAGCAGATTCGCCTTACAATAGCTCGGAACGAACACACTTCCATTGCAATTTCATTGCTTTTCGAGTATAGCCGCGGCAACGCGATATCAAAAGAAAAAATAAACGTCATATCCGGTATCGGATCACCTGTACACGGTAAATTGTAAGTTAATTTATTTTATTGAATCAACGTTGTTAAACATTGGATATTTCTATAAAATATCCAATTTCTCGCTATTCCACGTCCCGTTACGCAGGCTATAAAATTTTACAACCTGCAATTTGGAGGCGCATGGTTTTTGTTAGAATTTATATTTATTGGAAATTGTTTTTTTTTTCTCTTCCGAATACACGCATTACAGGTTCCTTTTTCCAAACATATGCGCCGAAATTTTATCGCCGGAATTTTCAAATTGTAGCAAATTTTGTTCGTCTCAAAACATTTTTAATTGAAGGATAAGGGCGGATATAGTACATTATGTAAGTTGTGAGACGAAGATCCCTTTCAAAAGGGAATTCGGCTACAAAATAGGTAATTGCATTACTTTTCGCAACTTTTAGGGCGAAACTTCTTTAAAACGAGCGCAAAAGGGGAAGATATTCGGACATTTATGTCGTCTAATGGATTCATTTCGTAAGATAATTTGTTACCGTTAATTGGGAGCAAATGCTGCCTCATTACGTGTACAGCTTTGCATTCTATGAACCTTCTTAGTCATTAACGCAAATTATAATGCTAACGAAACAAATCCGTACGGTTGAGCAATGAGTGATAATGAAACCTGATTAAGAGTAGGTTATTATGGAGCATAATGGGGTTGTTAATTAGATTTTTGATTTGTTTCTGTACACATTCCTTTCGAGTGTTTAAGCCATTTGTCACTGTCGAATGGAATTAATATATTTATGTTATAGTCTTATGTACCAACTGCTTCTGCGTTGTAGACATATCCAGAGTGAAAAAATACGACAGGCGTAACTTACCATTAACGTCAATGCATCCCTCCTGAGTCTTGAGAACGCTCGTGTTAATTTGGCACATGTAACAACCGCGATCGGATTCCTTTAATTGACGTATTCGTAATTGCCACGTATGCTGGCTGTCGTGACTAACACTTATACGGGAATTATGCGTGACGACTTTGGAATTCAAACTAAGTACCGTTTGATCTTCTGCTCTCACCCATGCCACCTGCAAAACAAAGGAGAAGAGCTATTATTAAAACTGCCTGATACACTACAATTATAATGAAACATCGCTTTCATGTTTTCTTCCCCTTTACTCTCAACGAGTCGAAATCTTACCAGATGTTGTATTATAAATTGTATTTTCCCCTCAAACATTCTCTAGATAGAGCATCATTTAGTGTGTGCCCTAAAATGTGTATCGATTAAAGAGAAAATTGAGACGAGGGTTGAGATATCCTGATAACTATCTGTCGTGTTTCGATCCTTTGCAAATCTCGCTCAACTGTAATCTGGCCCCTACTACTATGGAAACGTTTTGACAAACTCAATTACCGGTTTATCTACAAACTACCTGAAAACATCTTATCTTGTATCACGTTAAAAGCATTCAAACTCGGCTTGAAAGGTTTTACTAGATATTTTCAAAACTAATAGTTCGGGAGCTCTTAACACCGACCCCATTTTCGAGTCGAGTTTTGATAACGGAAATGCAAAATTATTTCCCTTTTGTTTCGAGTTAATTGCAAAGTTAAATTGATTTTCTAACGAAGCATTTAATTATACCAAATTGATGACCTTAGAAAACCGAGCCATTTTCCAAGGGTTGAAAACCTCTTGAATACGAAATTCACTTCGCTTGTATACCACCGCGTTGAGGAAATAATTACGAAATCATACTAAAGCTGTTAACGAAAAAAATTATAAAACGTGCGCTCTTTTCAATAAACTGTCAATGGGCTTTACATCTAAATAATGGAGCGCGTCTCCTTTTATTTTCCATTGATTGCAGATGCGGTATTGAGATTTAGTTCAAATTCCACTGTTGACAAGCTTCAATTGCAAATGTATGGAATATAGCTCGGGGTTTGTACACTTCAAAAATCCAAATCCAAAAGCATTGCAGCCAGATCTCCAATTCTTAGTCCATTTTTGTAAAATGTGTTACGTTATTTTCTTAGCAAATGAAATTCCCGATTTAAAGTCGATTTATTATTAAATTCAAGTGATCTTCAGTGGAAGGAATACTAATTTCACTACTAAATGACCCAAGTACCACTACGAAAATTAATTTCCAAAAATCAATGCCCTACAATAAGGGGTTGGGGAACATTCGGCATCACTAATACTTGTACAGGGTGGTTTAAATTCGTGACTGAAAATGTCAAATTCTGTTTTCATTTTCCCTAATAGCTTAAACGGCCGGAGATGGACGGTTCCCGTTGGCACCTTCTTTACTTTTTTTGGGAGAATCTGTTATCAAAATTTTCATAGCATGCTAGATGTAGAAGTTACAGGCTACTACTTTCTCATTTCTTATGGGCGCCATATTGGATTTTTAAGACCGAGCAAGTTAATTAGCGATTCTTCCAAAGGGATTACAGGGAATTACATTAATTACGATAGGGCGAATTCTTCTAAGATAAAATGCAGATTTCGGCCGCCTTATTAATTCACCTTTTCGTCTCGCACAAATTTAAAATTGAAATATTTTCATTTAGGCGACGCATCCCCCGCTTTCCTTTCACACACTAAATTATTTTACTTTACACAAAGCGCGCGGTGTCGACAAGAAGTACAAAATGGAAGGGAGGAAGAGAAAAATGAAGCGAATCTGTGGAAAATGCGAACATAATTTCATTAGTGTGGGTGTATGTGTTTGTGTATCCTAAGTGATGTTTAATTTATGTTTCCTTCCGTTGAGATTCCGGGATGATGAAAAATACCTCATATTTCTTTCCAACAATGTACCAAGGACAAGTACAAAGAAATAACAGAGGTACAAAGAAATTCACTTAAGGTTACAATGGTTTCTGCTTTATAACAACGTAGAAGGAATTCCTCTTGCCTGTATCGTGATTTATGACCTCGCGAAAAGCGTTCGAGCAAACCATTCGTATTCATTCATTCGACTACATTTGTACGAAAAGGTTCATACTTTTTCACAAGTTCAATTTCTTTATTCAGTTCCAATTTGCCGGCGAAAAGGGCGAGGGGTGGAAAGAGAAGTCGGTGTGTTGATACGAACAAACTGCAATTCATTATTTTTATTTTGTTTGCAATTTGTTTTACGACACGATCTTTTGCCGAAACGACAGTTCATTCTGCAATCTCCTGAATAAGTTATACCACTTTGTGTTTTACTGCACCGAAATCCTCCACCTACTAGAGATTTACATCTTTGTTTCTCGCAGTCGAGTTACTTTTCAAAAATTTTATGATTTACGAACCTCATAACTTTACAAGTACAAAAGCCACTCCTTTAATATTTGATACTTTTACTATTGTAATGGTAGGCCTAATTTACTTCGTAGAAATTCACAGAGAGCGCTTATCAAACTTTATCGGGTTGAAATGGTTTTCCAAATTCTTGGTGGAAATTCAAAGAATCAAATTTGTCATGCAGTTGCAGTTGCCGGCTCAGCATTAAGTCACTCACTTGTTCATGAGATACTAACAGTATTTTAGATATTAAGAACAACCTCTTTTTTGTTGTTGTCTAGTTGTTCGTTGTTCGCCGGTCACGGGAAAATAGAGTGGAGGTGTCAATCGCTTAAATAAGCGGAGGAAGTTAACGAGGGAGCTGTTCGGGTGATTTTTGAGTCTTTCAAAATTTAAAAGTCAAGCTTTCGAAGAGCTTTAAGATCCTAAGGGCTTTTAAGAGACTTTAACAGCTCGCCTAGACATACAAATTGCAATGACTGATTTTGTTGGCTCACAAGGATTGGTGGGTCTGAAGATAAACATTCAATCGATTTTTAACGCATTATGCATATTCAACAAACGGGTCGAATAATTTTCGGTCGAGGGACGATACAAACACTTTCGTCACGTTAAAATAAAAGATAAATCAAGAAAAGCTAGATGCGCAAGGAACTATTCTTATCTCATGCCAATACGAGTCAAAGACGATAGCAATAACAAAAATTTATCTTCCTAAAAAGTATGGAATCGAAACTTTTCCTTCGAAAAAGTTTTCCGAATTTAATTTCTAACTTGTCAATTCACTCCGGTGGCGATTAAAGTTGAAGTATTTCTTCTTTCCGATGCGGTATTAGTTACTAAAACTTCGCCATCTGAATAGGGAGTAACTAAAAAAGACAATAACATTAACAATAATAGGTACACTCGCCATTAGGAATCTCGTTAAAGCTTCGAAGTGAGAAATTTCACGTTTAACTACCGCTTTGTGAATTTTCCAACCCCATCCTACCACCTTTAATCGTAATTAATAAATGATACTTGACTAGACTGAGTGCGTTTTTGAAGGGCCTTTACTTTAATGGGGCATTGGAGAGAGTTTGCGGTTAAAATAACAACATTTTCTAAATAATTGGATTATCTTTCGCCTCTTATTGTATTCTCCTCTGTTTATTTATCTGTCGGTTTCCGAAGTTAAATCGGAATGTTGGAAGTGAATTTTTCCTCTTTTCCTATGGATTGCACGAGTTAATTTGTTTTTATACCTTGTTCGCTCGTTCAAATTCTAGATGGAGCTTTGAGACTGTGACAATATTTTGTGCGCTCCTATAAGGTGCTTTGTCTAATTTTGGATTTAATAGTAGAAAAACTACTTCAAGTGTTTCGCTTTCCTAATGGCACTGTTATCTTTCAATAAACATGTTCGTGTATATATATATATCAGACAAAAATAATTTTTAATTTCCCACACGGAGATAAATGTTTGCGTGGGCCGAAGAAAGAATAGAACACAGATAGTAGATGTAAGGATTCTTGAGATGGTTTCTTTGGAAACGGCCAAATTGATTAATTCGAGCTAAATCGAGTCCATTGTGAACGTAAACGAAGCTTCAAAAGCATACATCAAAACTTTTTTTTTTCGTGATAAAATCAAACAATTATCTTTATTATAGGGTTGGAAAATGACAGTTGTACCACCCGCCGCGTTACACATTATATTCGGCGCGATGTAGGCCATTTTACCCCCCTTGCCGCATTTAACAACTGTTTGTTACAGTAGATTAGCAAACATAAATAACGCCCGGCATATGATTAATGCTTAACAATTTATGTAATTTTCAGTTTTTACGCGTCGATATTTGTTACAACGCGAAAATTGTACCGACCGAACTAACCGCACTCTGTTCCGTGTCAGCTGCCCCGCAAAAACACATCTCCACTCGACATTAATCGAATTGCCACCCTCATAATTCTTTCCTAATGAATTGTTTAAATTGAATTGTATTAATATATTGTTTTGGTGTTACGCGAGCACTTAACACAGACTAAATACTGTGCGGCATTTTCCGCTTTGTAGTATTATTAATTCATTTCAAAAAATGTATAAATGCAAATTTGTAAAACGACAATCACCCAAAAAAATAAAGGCTCTTCTAGACGCTGCTAACCTGTACGGTTGAGATATGAAAACACTTAATTAACTGTTTAATCGCAAACCTTAAAGTACTAGCAGAAACCTCCTCCAGGGGTTTCTGATAAATTAGAAAAAAAGTATTCATAAACTAACCTTATATCTGCCTAAATTTCCAACGGAGCACGACAGAACGGCCTCCCTTCCGACGTTAACGGTCAAATTATGTATGGGTGTTAAAAATGCGGGTCCATCTGATGTCAGTCGGGCCGCTGGCCAATCATCTGTAACAAAGGACACTTTTAATAAAACACCGAAACTGTTATTAACCGTTATTATGAATTTCGATGCTTTTAGAATATTAAATTTGATGAAATATTAATTACTGTGTCGCACGCCATTGCGACAATAAATTATTATCGATGAGATATTGTGCGTTAGCGGGGGATTTCTTGAAGCGACTTAATTTTGTCCGTCGTTTCGAATTTTGTGCTTGCCAAGTAAATCAAATTTGTGCCGGCAAAGAATATTGAGTTATGTATATTGACCGTAAATCAAATATAAAAGTTCCGTTGATTTGTGCTGAAAAGCACAAGGGGGCAGTTTCAGAGAGTCGTACGTGCAAAAATTAATTACTCTAATTGGAAACGGAGTTCGAATTTTTAATTGCCGAGGAAATTAAAACGGGACAGTAAAAAGTGTAATTAAACGAGTGCTAATGATAACGTTAAATACGGAGATGCAACAATTTTAACGTACCAATTTCGAATTTATTGAATTCTACATTACAGTCAGGGGCGGACTGGCCCGGGGGGGCGGGTGGCGATTGCCACCTGGCCTGTACGTCATAATGGCCCGTTGGAAATTTATAAGTATGTGCTGTATTTAGTTTCTTGCACTATTAATAAGTTATTAACACGTTTCTCTAATTGGGGTGGATGTTAGGTTGTTAAAAAATTAAAAAATTCTGTTTTAATTGAAGTGTTGTACAATGAATTTATCATTTTTTGTCGTAGCATGAAAGTGATGAAATACAATGATAGGCGACGCGCCTCGTTTGGTTTGTATATTTTGTTACTTTTAATAATTAAAATTAATTATATAATAATATAATTATTATCAGCTGCAATTTAAAAAAAAACCTGTATTGTAATTGATTTCCGAAAAAGGAGTACTTTAAAATGAAGCAAAAAATGTTTTTGTGGTGCACCGCAGAGCTACCCCTGCGCCACCTTCATTACTACACTAATACTTCAATGGCCCGTAACCTATGCAATTTCACCTGGCCCGCCCCTGACTAGAAACCAATTTCGTAAGAAAATTCAAAGGGCTGTAACTTTTGAACTAGTAGCCCAATCTTGGAACTGTTTGAAATTATGGATTCTACAGGCCACATTCTATAAGAAAAAATTTTTTCCGGGTCGATCTGAGACAATTTTTTTTGAGGGCCTCAAAAAAAGGCAGTGTATAACCTTCCTTTTTTACCAAAAATCGACTGCACCAAAATTTCTCGGAAAAACACTTTTTCTTATTAATTTTGGTGCGTAGAATCCAAAACAATTCGTACTTTTTCGATCGGACTTCTCAATCAAAAGTTATGGACTAGAAACCAATTTCGTAAGAAAATTCAAAGGGCTGTAACTTTTGAACTAGTAGCCCAATCTTGGAACTGTTTGAAATTATGGATTCTACAGGCCACATTCTATAAAAAAAAATTTTTCCGGGTAGATCTGAGACAATTTTCTATTCGGGGCTCAAAAAAAAGGCAGTGTATAACCTTCCTTTTTTACCAAAAATCGACTGCACCAACATTTCTCGGGAAAACACTTTTTCTTATTAATTTTGGTGCGTAGAATCCAAAACAATTCGTACTTTTTCGATCGGACGTCTCAATCAAAAGTTTTAATTATCAGCTGCAATTTAAAAAAAAAACTGTATTGTAATTGATTTCCGAAAAAGGAGTACTAAAATGAAGCAAAAAAATGTTTTTGTGGTGCATCGCAGAGCCTATTAAAATGCATCAAATCGTAATAATATGCAATACAGTGTTTTAATTTATAATTAAGGAATATCGCAATGACCCGAAATACTAACAAATTTTCATGTCCGTAAGGTGTTAGAATTCTTAAAATTGTTACTGGAAGTTCTTATTATTAAAAGCATTTTTTCAATGCAATTTTGAAGTGCAGTACAAAAGAAACTGGTGTGTGGTTGCTTAATAAACTTAGAGTACTAAAATAATTTCGGCCTCGAGGTGATTTATGAACAATTTCTTTTACGCAATTTCTCAAAGAGAACCGATCGTTATTTTTATACAAATCACGAAAAAATTGCAGTACCTTACATATAGCGCTCTCTAGAAACGATTGTTTTCCTACAGTATAAATTTGTGCGCTCCTTATGATGGCTGTGGCGTCTGTATTGATAACGAACGAAGCTTGTCGTAATATCAGCGAGCTGGTTAGAAACTTCTTAAGTACTTTAAAGACGGCTTCTTATTCCGGGTCCCATGTCCATGTTGCGTCTTTCTTTAACAATGTCGTGCTCTGCGACACTTGCAGGCCTTCAGGTTGCACTACCGCCGACGAGTGAGGGCGGCGGTGAGGTCGTGCAGATGGGTCGCAAAAGCTATTTTTCAAAAACAATAAATCTAGCATCGATGCAGGCTCTTTGCGAGATTTCCTACCACCTAGCTTTTTCACCTAGTACCTACGAACTCGATGTAAATTCACGACAAAGTGTCTGCAAGCTGTTTACAAAACCCCCTTTTGAAAAGATAAAACAAGCGCTTCCCATTTATTATACCGTATTTCACGTTTTGTCTGTTGACACAGAGAGAAAAAAGGGCAAAACGTACAATACAAACCCACCCTCGGGCGTATTTGTTGATGCGTACTTTCTCGTTGCCTGAGCGAGGTAGGTAAACGTCTGAACGGGCTGTAGTTGTGCAAACATCTTGTATCTTCGCAAGATTTACTGGGCACATTCGCCCGAGCACGTTTTCGTATATATCGGGGGTAACAGTGCAGATGTTTGTATATTACCCCGAGATAGACGCGGCGACCTCTACGTATCGACTAACGCCGTTCGTGCGCCCAGAAATTATGCACAATTCTCACACGAAACACTTTTTTTTTTCAAATTAGCCCCCGGCACGTTAGGTCAGGGTCACATCCTAGCGGCCGGCGGTTCGAACCCTGACCGATTAAGAGAAATTTTTCGGCTCATGCCACCTTACCTGTTGTTAGTCAAATTAGCAAAGTTTGCTGCCTGCCTAATTTAATCACGGAAAGTTTCGCAAAGCACCGGCATAAAATATTAAGATTCACTTAGCTTCCTCTCCCACTTATTTATGCATCCTTCAAAGTAATCTCATAATAACAACAATGAAAGTGAACCAAGGTGGCACGGGAAGCTCGGCAATCGCACTTACCACAAATATGCCTCGCATTAAATTAACATTTACGCACCGCCCTCGGGGGTTTTTACTTTGTTAAAGAGAAAAGAAGGAGAGCGTTTCAAATTCGCGGTTATTGAAAAGCGGTTTTCCGATTATTATTTTCATGTGTACATAAAATATCTGCTGGGATTTCGATGTTGAAAGCATAGATGTGTATTTTTCATTTGATGTACGCCTTTCTTTATAAATTTATATACGAGGGAGAAAATTCATTTCCTACGGATGTGAACTTTCAACGGAGCAGGTGTTCTTCTTATTTGTAATTTTATCGTAACATCATAAAATTGGATGAGTTTCTAATGTCCTCAAGGATGAAACGCTTCTCTCACGGTAATCGGAAAGTAATGTACTCCGTTGCCGTTTAAAAATTCCTCGGCGACGACGAGAATCAATATAAATTATATTGCCGCCGGCTTAAAGGAATTAGGGAAAATTTCTCCATCGCTGCAGTGATTGAAATTAGCGTCATCGATTGAAACGTAACTAAAGGTGATCAACAGGCGACCTAAGTTTATAAAATAAAAATCTGCGTTCTTGCTATTATCTCAAATAAGGGGTGTTTTTGAGGGTTATAATCTTACACCCTCAGATCAATAGTTGAGCATAAGCCCTTTTACAGTTTTATTCTTGTCCCGCGGTGGGGAGACGAACGACAGGTTGAGGTCGATAGAGTGATGGATTTCGCAGATCCGTACTCAGCTGGACATGGTATACGGTCTCCTTAATCGTAAAATACCCGAGACAGTACCGCGAGATAAAGTCACGACTTTTAGCGAACGTTTAACTCAAACTCGGTGGAAACTGTTCTTACTGTAAATATACGGGTCATGCTATTGAAGAATGTCATAAGCTTGGTAAATCAAAAACCGTGGATAAGTCTGCCCCAGCAAGGAACAAATACAAATTGTTCAGGAAGCAAAAGAATTCTATTTTACTTCGGATTGCTTTTATTGCGGTAAAAATTCAGAAAAAGGAAATAATAAAGATGTTTTAATTGAAGCAGTTCAGCCCAACGAAACAAAAGAACATATTTTAGCAACATTAAAGAGAAGAGAGAAGACAGATATCGAAAAATCTTTATTAGTGCGGAGCCAACACGTTAATTTAGTTGCAAAACAAGCTATTTATCATGACCGTGTATATATCTTGAAACTGTTTTCCCAGTTTTTGGCGATTTTCTTGAAATTTTTCTATTGGAGTAATATTCGTTATTTTTGATTATTAAAATATAAGTAATAATAATAATAATAATAATCATATTTATTCCAAAAAAAAAAAATTTTTTTTAGAACCTCATGGCATAGATTCAGCAAAACGCTGCTCTTCCATCTACACCATGACAAAACAGAGAATATTTGTACAGAGCAAAACAGCGAAAGAAAATAAAATTATTTTAGAATAACTACTTACTAAGTATAGTGAAATGATGAATGAACAGATTGAAAGATAAAAGACAATACGAACAGGAATAATCAACAGTAACACGAAATCAAATTAAAGAGTGAAATAAAAGGTTAAACAATTGTTTACGAAAATTTTGCTGCCTGGCGCAGCTCTGTACGATAAAAAAAATAGATTTTTCATCCCTCTGAAAAAGTTTTTTTTCGAAAATCTCGGAAACGGCTTAACTTTGCGGGCTCAAAAAAATTGTCTCATTTTTATCATAAAACAAGCTATGTTTGCTCTTAATTTCAAAGCCCCACGATTTTTTTCGCAGTTTTTTCTTGGAAAATTTGGGTTTTTTTAAATTCTCTATTACTTTTAAATTGAAGACTTTCGCCTAAAATTAATAGTTTTGCCACTAATTGTAAAACACCGCTTTCC